GGCTCCACAGAGGAACCTCCAGTACCTTATCAAGTGGAAGGGGTATCCTCCCTCTGAGAACACTTGGGAGCCTTTAGGAAATCTAGGCAATGCTAAAAAGGCTATTGCAGATTTCCATAGGCTTTACCCCTCTGCTCCCAGAAGGATTTCAGCCATCACCTTTGATAGGCTTCACTTCCAACCACTCATTAACTATACTATACCACCTAAAAGGGTTCTCTTTGATTGGACATCTGGAAAGAAGAAGGGAAAAGCAGAAGAAGGAGTATCAACATGCTGGGACAGCATGTCTAGAAGGGGGGGTGATGTCAGGGCACCAGCTCATTGCTTGGTCAAGAGACATGACTAAGCCTTTATGACATGGAAGTAGCTGGTATACCTTGGCATGTGCTGGAACCTGCTGGAAGGATTGGATGGTCAGGTGACCTGCTGTGCATGGCTGTGCATGACCTCATATGACCTCATCCTTGGTCATATGACCTGATCACCTGACTAGGCTGAGTAAGCAAGATGTTCTAGCAGGTTCCACCACAGAGGTATAAATATAAGGCCTACTCTGCCTGGGACTGTCTCTTCAGACTTGGTCTCTTAGGATCATCCACAGATACCTATACTGTAGATAGGTCTTAGTCATCAGGTCTACTCCACTTCCTTGTTGCCTGCTTAGACTCTTGGCACTCTTAGGTGAGCAGACTTAGTCAGCCTGTGTTGCCCTAACACCAGATAGCCCTTTCACCATTGGCAAACATCAGACTGTCTTGCAACAGACCTTTGGTGTGCTCCTGACAGGGTGTTGTAGGTTCATTAAAGACAGGGTGTGTCAAATCTGTATGCATCTTGATTGAGCTGATTCATCTGCAGCTGGAGGAAATGAGAGGTCAAAGCCTGAAAGAGCTTCAGCTTCAGCTGATACAGTCAAAGGTGCTGTTCAAGTTCGACCAACAGCATCTGGCTCACCTGGCATTCCTGGTGAGTGGGTTATTCAGTGAGCTCAGTCTCAAACTCGTGAGAGTTGGAGATGTAGTGGTCATCGGTGGACTGCCAGCTATTATCTCTTCTGTAAGAGTTGGGCATGTAGCAGTTGGCGGAACATGGCTGACCCTAGTCTTCATTGTAGAGATGGAGATGTAGTGGTTGCCAGGGAGCTGCCAACCCTTGCATCTGCTCTGTGAGATCAAGATATAGCTGTGGGCAGTACACAGCAGACTCTCCCCTATTTCTTACAAGTTGGAGATGTATAGTGGTTGCACAATGAGCAGCTAATGACTTGACAGGTCAGATGCAAAGAGAAACACAGGAAATATGGCAGCAAAATGGTGACTGACAGTCATGGCAATGAAGAGGTGGTCAAGAAGGAGTTATGGCCATTTGTAGACCATTGTCTCCAGGATGTCGATACCAAGAATGGCAGGGATTCAGCTAAGATTTCAGTGTATGACCTTATACATCTCTGCACTGATTGTGTTCTCTGTTAGCTACTTTGTGACCTGTCTTCAAAAGCATCAACATGTGCATCCCCCACCTGACCACATATTGGCAAAGCTATTCTTCATTTTGGAGATGATCTGCCCCAAATGGCAAAGTGCAACAGAAGCAGTGGGTCAAGAGCTTCCCTCTCAAGTTGCACTGCTGGAGGTGGATAAGGTGCTGTCTGGATCTGGGTGACCAGTGATGGCAGCTGCATCGCTGGGTAACTCGCAGTCAGACAGCTGGTAGAGTATACCAGTGAGAGTTGGAGATGTAGTGGTTGGTGGAAAAGTCTCCCGTTCATTTACTTTTATTTTATATATGGTTGCCTTCTGATGAGGGCTAATATCATTCGTTCTAGGAGGAGAGCTGTATCCTGGATACGTGGGGGGTCTCCTGTCCACTCTGCCGAACATCGAAGTCCTCCAACTCGCTCATCCGTGGGAACGCCGAGGATTCTCTCACACCGACATGATTGAGTTACTGGGTGAAACTCCGTTGCCGCTTCTCATCACTCTTTCCTTGCAATTCATACTCATCCAGCACTCTGCCCTTCAACAATTCATCGACACCAAAACCATTCATTCGAAAGGGCAGTTTCGTTGCTTGCAGCTCTCACAGTGCGGACTGGTCGAGGGCAAGGTTCTTTGTCGGACGGAGCTACGACTTAATGGGATCCGCTGTGAATCCTGGATCGCCCCGTCCGACTAAACTATGCACGTCTCATACGAGCATCCTAAAACGCCGGCCATTCTCTAGGAAGGCGCCGCAAATGTATCGCTATACATAGATCATCATGACAGGATTCACGACCACCTCAAAGAAATTCACTTGTTCAACATAATGCACTGCAGAGTGATGATGGACGATCCGTTCTAGCGGTGTTGTGCATATGACGTCTCAGGCACCATGCAATAGGTGCATGGACTACCAGTCATATACGCCGAAAGGGATTCGAATGACGATCGTGCCGTCTAACAAAAACTAGCGTCCTGCGTCACCTCGTGCCTACTCGGATCCTCAGCAAACATTTGCATTGCCACTCAAAATTAGCTCAGAGAGGTGAGTGTATCACCACAGGATTGTTGGCTGAACAAACTCGGCTTAGAACCAGCTTCTCGCCATGATGAGAACTGCCACCCATCAAAAGACCGGTGAGAACGGTCGGCCGCCGACTGGAGATAGCTTGGCTTCAGGAGTTGGGCTTCAGGAGTTGAATAACTATTCAAGAGAACACAGGGTGGTCGTATGAGAACCCGACTAACCGGTTAATGCATGGATGTCTTGAACATCACCGTGTAGGCATGATTCAGTATCATCGCCTCCCCGCGGGGGGAAAACTCCAACAGAATAACAAAAGCGTTTGATCAACATACATTGTATACCTGAATTCTGCTGACAGACCCGCGCAACAATTCTGCACCGCCCTCGCGCGTTCCGGCGGCAGCCACACTCCCCCGCTGACCATACAGTGCTTCCACGGCCGGGATTTCGGCACGATCGAAGATCTCGATTACGGACTGACACCATCGGGTTGGGATAAACACGACGACGATGGGGAGAAGCTACCGGCGGAGATTCGATGGATTCCCCGCAAGGGGCTGCGTGTGGTGCAATGGGGTTAATGCTTCGAGTTGGTTGCAGAGTTGAGAAGCTGAGGATTGGAGCTCCGACCCAATGCATTGCGGAGGCATGCTCTTGTGTTGTTTCTATTCTGGCTGCATCGAGACCTTCGGATTATGACATTGTTGTGCCCCAGTTGCATCCGAGCGTTCGAGAAGTCGAAGCAAAAGAGAGAAAACCAGACAGATGGAGAACAAGACCAGTCTCGGACAGTTGGCCACCTTACGTAATGTCTTTTGGCACTTTTCGAGACTCCGACCTGTTCCAGAAAACGACGGGGCTCGGACCGAGGCGGCTCTTTCTGAGGCAACCGACCTGAGACACACAACAAGGTTCTGACATGGAGCAGGTATAACAAGTGCATGCCAACTGCTTCTGGAAGGGCAGGCATATAATGTTACCTGAGACATGTGCCAGTTTCCGAGCGGGGCGGAGCGTATGCTCTGTGCTTCAGGGTGGGGCTGGACCCGGTAATTAGTTGTTTGATGTCGGTTATTGTCCTGCCTGCAGGAGGCGGCATGGCGAGCTTGGTATGTTCCAAGGAAGGAATTTGCAGGGAGTTCCAAAAGAGGTTGATAGACATACATCGCTGGCCTTGCAGGGTATGCGTGCAAATGAGTCAGGCCAAGAGGCAGCAGAAGACGCGCCGTAATCTCAGAAGAATAAGATCAGAATCCCGTGCACGGAGCTAACGTGCGTCAATCGCACGTGCTACCGTGGAAGCCGAGTCCGGCCGGTCGCGATTTGGTCTGGACCCTGGAGCTCTCGCAGCCCGTGTCTGGGCTGGGCAACTTTGACCAGAGCTTGTTCGGTGCATGGACAGGCAATCATATTAATTTCACAAGATCCACCTTTATTTCCTTGGATGTCCATTCATTCCAGTTGTCGTCTCGACCGGTCCATTTTCTGACAGCGGCTGCGAATAACTGGGGTCTGTATCGTCTTTCTCTTTTTCTGCCGTCCCGGCCGGTTATCCCGAACATTATGGCCAACGTGCCTCGTGGCGATCCCTGTTACGCCTTTCCGATTTTCCCTGAGAAGGGGGGTGTTTCACCAGTAAAGACCGATACGTCAGTGCCCTGTTCTGGTGGCCTTCTTCTCGTTCCGGGGCGGAGCTCGTATCCCCATCATTCGCCACTATCCTCGGGAGCCGTGGGCATTAATCCCCTCCTCCCCGCAAGAAGGAGGGAGCACCTTGACGATCGATCTGGGAGATATCCAAATCGGGAGATGGATCAACAAGCGGAAAGGACTGCGCGGGACGTTCGGGACGTTCGGGACGTTTCTGTCGACCCTGGATGAACAGAACAGGTTGTGTGCCTTGTGTGAGTGCTGAACGGCCACAGTCCACGGGGCGCGACCTTCTCACCTTGGAAGGGGGTGAAAGTATGCGATGTGAACCCATCCAAGTCTCAACCGGAACGAGGTCCGGTGCCGCTGCCGGCATGCTCTGTGTCGCAATTACACGGCGCTAAGGGGGTGTTTAGCGCTTCTATGACTGGTCAGCCCGCTGGATGCTGTTCGCCTCCCCTCCTCCTCTCTCCTGCCTCTGCCCTGTCTTCTCTGGATCCACAGCCTCACCTACCCTTGACCTAGTGTCTCTACTTTTCGCTGTTCTTCTCGACCCCCGTCACCCCCGTGTGAACGGGCGACGAGCGAAACAGCACTCTCCCCCTCTTAAAGGCGCATATACGTCGATCAAGGTCTCACCTCTACCCCCCCTTTGAGACAGAGATATGGTCGCCCCACCCCCAGCCGCACCTGTCCCAGACTGGACGCCAACCACACCTTTCCCTCTCCTTCCCGCCCTCAGTCATCCATCATCCCCCTCCCCCTTCCTCACCTCCCCCTCCCCGCCAGCGCTCGCAGCCTCCCCCAACCCATCCACCTCTCTTCCAGCACCGAGCACCTCTCCTACCCCCGTCACCCCAGGCCCCCCATCCTTAATGCCCCTGCTAGATTTCTATGGTCGAGCAAGAGAGTGGACCGCCGCCGCTAGGTTATCACTCGAGCCATCCCCACCACCGTCGCCTCCAAGAGCGGTGATGCGGCCCAAGAAAGTGCGAAGGAGAGGCAGACCATACCCGCCCCAGCCAAGTATAATCATCAAAGCTGAACCGGAAGAAGTCTCCCTCCACGCAGCGGTGGTGACACCACCTGCTGGACTGGGTCTGCCGATGGCTCCGCCATCGATGAGGGCTCTTGAAGGAGAGCTTGTCGCTGGAACCGTTGTACAGGAGGAAGATGCTAGGCTACAACGCCTGCTAGGGGACTACGAGCGCATGCTTTGGGAGAGAGTCGAGAGCTGTGAGAGGATCGAGAGGCTGATCGAAGATTCGGCGAGGATGTTTGCTGATCGATGACCTACGAGGGCGATGCTTTGATCGCCGCGGTACATGTCGTTTGAAGATTGGACCGATCTACGCTTCCCGGACTCGACATATGCGAGCTCTGCACATCGAGAGCAACGAAGTACTTGTACAACAGTCGATCCGCCTCAAACCGCGAGTTATGCCCGAGTTGTGACTCCGGTGCCTAGCAGGACAGCCCTTCAAGAATGTGCTCATATACACAGGTTTGCTTCCTGTGCTGCTTTTTTTTTCTTCCTTGGTATTGCTGCTCACACCCACATGTCCACTTGTACGCTGTTATATCACCACACTAGTTGCCCTTGCTCTGAACGTGCATACATTGTACTTTATCCGTGACTACCGTTCTCTGGCCTCCGAAACTTAATCAAAGTGACTTCTTCCTCCACTTTAATGTCATTGAGCCAAATGCCAGCTCGTTATCCCGTCACGTGATTGTCAACCTCGACCCTTTATCCCTTGTAACAACTCCGGCATCTCAACCTCAAAAAAATGGAAAAATTCAGCGCCTACAGAGTACGTACCACCCATCCATTCGTACACCAACCTCAACCCCGTAACAGGATCCCGGAACAGGCATACATGTACGCAGAGCCCGTCCAGTCTCGATAACTTCTGACGAATATAGCCTTTCCTCCCTCCCACATCACCCAACCCTCCTACAGCGCTGCACACCGCGCTCATACCACTCCGAGCACTCGTAGCAGTCTTGCGCGTAGTATTCCTTCTAGCGGTGGGAATTGTATGGAGCGCAGTGCGGCTGGTGTCTCTGCTCTTGGTGCGTCCTGCGCTGCCCGCAAGAACCAACTGACGACAGGTTCAGATTCCAATATGGCCGTTATACATTCTTCTCGCAACATCCCTCGACGCTTCATTAGCCCAATCATGTTTCCTCATACTGGGATTCCACATATCTTCAGAAATCGTTGCCCTTAACCGCTCGTTCGTCCCCTCGCCCTCTCGCGAACCAGACTGACCCTCGGCAGAAAAGCGAAAGATATCTCGCATGCTCGCTGGCGGCCCAAACGGGGCGACTTAATCGTCTCCAACTGGATATCGTGGATTGAGATAATATGGTTCGCAGCCAAGTATCGCGCTACGTTCGTGCTGCCTCTTGCTGCAGCTCCTGCAGCTCCAGCAGCGGCAACTTCGAGCCCGATTTCCTCGACCGGTCGCCGAACAGGCACGGGCTCAGCAGCGATCTCCCTCCCCCCGCCCGTGTCTTCCCAGCCCCGCGCGCCCATCCTCGGATTCCGCCGCGTTTCGCTCTTCCAGATGCTCTCCGCAGTAGGGAGTACACCTCCCTTCCCCGGGTCCGAAGGAGAGCCACTTGAGGAGATCAGGAAACGCGCACGGGGTCCACTGGTCGTGTTCCCGGAGTGCACGACAAGTAATGGCAGAGCGGTGCTCAGGTTTGCAGAGGTGTTTGGGGGAAGCGTGGTCCCTCCTAAGGAGTACCACGTCTGGCTGGTGTGTGTCAAGTACGTTTGCCCAAATACTCTTCTATCACGTGCTAATCGAAAACAGATGCGAGCCACCAACGAACTTCCAACCCTCGCTCGCCCTTTCTACGCCTACGTCGCTTCGCACCGTACTCCTAACCCTGCTCAGCTCCCTCTCCCTACAACCTGTCCACCTCCGCCTCCTTAACCCCGCCGAGTCCCCCTCTTCTCAGACTTTCGTCGTTTCCCAGTATGTCACGCCAGGGATGAGGGACCCACTATCAGAATGCTGTGCGGCGCTGATCGCTCAGGTTGGACGAATGAGGAGAACTGGAATGGGATGGGAGGACAAGGTTGGGTTTTTGGAGTTTTATAGGGGGAGGGAGGGGAAGAAGAGGCAGTGAGTGATGTGTGAGAGCGCATATAGGGTTAGGGTTAGGGTTAGGGATTTAGGCGGTGATAATATTCTGGGCATTATGTTACATCTTTTGACCTAGATCCCAACGTTGCGGTTCCCCATAAGATCACCCATCTCTCACTGTCCTCCCCCTCCACCGCCCTGCTGCTCCCCTCCAGGAGCCATCACTACCCCCTCGGATCAGCTCCTTCCTCCCTACCTCGACCGCAAACGAATACTCACAGAGCAACAACATAACCGGGAGCAAGTACATCCAGTATTTTTGGATTAACGACTTTTCCGGCTCGGGCTTGATGGCTTCGCCTTCTTCTGACAGCTGGGGTGGGGTCTTGAGTGCCAACCTGCGCCCGTGCTCGTATTAGCAAATCCCCCTGCGGTGTGAAAGACGCACGGTGGGATGCGGTCAGGTAAATGCAGCACTATAGACGTGTTCTGCAGCCCTAGGGAGGACGATGTCACTGGGCAGTGTGCAGATGGGGCCGGATCTAGCGCATAAGACAGAGTGTATGGCTCTCCTGAAGCAGACAGACGCAGGGTGATGGTATCCTCCTTTGCGGCGGCTGCGAAACACTGATCCTAGTGAGCGGGGACGATTGTAAGGAAGGGAGGGGCATACGGCTTTCACACCGGCAAAAGGCCAGTCGTCTTCTGCTCTTCCTTCTAGAGCGAGCGCGACCTGGTAGATTGCATCTTCTCCTGTGGTCGTGGACAGAACTGAGCCGTCTGGTGCAGGAGCGTAGGACGCCGGCACGGAGGAGAGGTCGATGGTACCTCTATGCGACCAAGTAGAGGGAGAGGAAGGGAGCTGTATGCGGTGGTAGACTTCTACTGCTGTTACTGGAGAGAGGAGTGAGAGGAGGAGTAATGGTAGCATAGTACTACAATAGGGGTGAGCGCTCAACAGAAAGAGTTAGGTAGGTTTCACGTGTTTCTTCAGAGCAACGCGCCTTGCTTCTTTTCAACAAAGTCAAGGGTTCCACGTCACAAAAGTTCCTTTGGGCATAACGACGTCGACCGCATACACGTAGCGCACTAACACATCTCTCTCTCTTACTCTCTCTTGCTTCATTCGTTTGTCTAACATCTGGGAATACTTGTAAAAGGATGCGCTTCTTCCAGGCGGCACTGCTGGTGCTGCCATGGGTCGCGTCTGCACTGGGACAGGAAAGCTCGACGCCGAAGGAGAAGCACGAGTACCAGGTATGCCTACAACCTCTCCCCCACACCTACGGACTAACAACTTCCACTCAGTCCGATGTCGCACGCTTACGCAGGATAGTCATCAACTCCCTCTATTCGCACAGGGACGTCTTCCTCCGCGAGCTGATCAGCAACGCCAACGATGCGCTTGAGAAGTTGCGTATCACCGCTCTCACCGACAAGTCCCTTCTTCAAGCGGGGGAACCGCTCAACATTACTATCAAGCTTCTACCGTCTCCTGCAGGAACGGGTGAAGCTGGCCGTGTGGTCATCACCGACACAGGTGTGGGGATGACACCGGAGGAGCTGACGCAGAACCTGGGCACGTTGGCAAAATCCGGTACTTCAGACTTTCTCGTCCAAGCCGAAGGTGCCTCCACTTCTCAGCAAGGAAACCTCATTGGACAATTTGGACTTGGGTTCTACTCCAGCTTCCTCGTTGCTGACCACGTGTATGTCGCTTCCGTCCCTGCGGCCAGGCCTGAGGGTGGAGAGAGGGAGCAGTGGGTGTTCGCTAGCGGTGCGGAGGACCAGAGCTTTGAGGTATATCCGGACCCAAGGGGCCGGACGCTCGAGCACGGCACGGAGATCACGCTTGTCGTGAGGGACGATGCGAAGGAATTTGTCGATCCGAAGAAGGTCAAGGAGCTCGTGTATGTGCTTGATTAACTCTGAACCTCATAACGGTGGGCTGATGTGACGATAGCGAGAAACATTCATCGTTTTCGACTACCTATCCGATTTACCTCTACACCCTCATCACCGAAGAAGTACCGGACGAGGAGGCATCCTCTGTGCCTATTGCCGAATCACTCGAGCACGAAGCGCCCAGTGCATCTCCGAAATCTGAAGCAGACGAAGACTCCGAAGCTGCGATCGTCGAGGACCTACCTGAAGAATCGGAAGATACTGCCCCTGTTACCCCCCCTCTGCCCCCGATGAAGAATGTGACTCGTGAGGTGTACGAGCAGCTCAACGACCAGCCGCCGATCTGGGTTTGCGATGCAAAGACCGTCTCGGACGAAGAGTACAACGAATTTTACAAGAGCACGTTCAAGGATTCGCACGACCCACTCGCACACCTGCATTTTGCAGGTGACTCGGGGAGCACCGTGAGCTTTAAGAGCTTGCTGTATATCCCTAGCGAGTTACCCCCGGACTTTTGGAGCAGCCAGATGAGCAGGGTCAACGGCGTTAGACTGATGGTTAAACGAGTGTTTATCACCAACGACCTGGGAGACGATGCACTGCCCAAATGGATCAGTTGGCTCCGAGCCATTGTGGACGGTGAGGAACATGGTACTGCTGAGATACAGTGCTGACTTTGGGGAACAGCGGACGACCTTCCGCTGAACGTCTCCCGCGAACAACTCCAATCGACCAAGTTCCTAGCACAAATTAAATCCATCCTGGTTAAACGTGCTATCTCCCTCCTCCAGAAGCTCGCCAACGCACCACCTTCGATCAACGAGGAGACTGGGGAAGAGGAAGGAGGCGCGAAATATAAGGAGGTATGGAAGGCCATTGGCAGCGCCATCAAGATGGGGGCGATGGAGGGGAGTGCAGGACAGAAGAACAAGCTTGGGAGTTTGACCCGGTGGGCTACTAATACGAGGGAGTTTGTGGGGCTGGATGATGTGGGTGTTTTCCCCTCTTCTTTCGAAAGGTGAGCTGATGAGAGCGATACAGTACGTTTCGAATCGCAAGAAAGGCCAGAAACAGATCTTCTACCTCGCTGGTGTAGGCCAGAGGGCGGAGGACCTTGCCAAATCCGTGTTTATTGAGAAGCTCCACGCGCGCGGATATGAAGTTCTCCTCCTGACCGAGCCCATGGACGAGATCCTCCTTAATTCGTTCCAGCGTTGGGGGTGTGTTCTTTCCTTCGTCGTGTTTTCTTTCCGTGCCATGAGGCTGATCCCGAACTAGAGGCCTGACATTCCAGGACGTGGCAAAGAAAGGTCTTAAGTATGGGGACGAGGATTTGGATGCCGAAGCGGACAAGACCGAGCAGGCCACTTTAGCCGTGAGGTTCGCCCCACTTCTGGGTTGGCTCAAGCAGGAGTACAAGGGCACTGTTATGGATGGTGAGTCTACACCGCGTCTGCCAGATTAGAAGCTCATATAATGCAGTCGTTATCTCGAACAGGCTTGTCACGAGCCCATGCGCGATTGTTGCTGACCAGTATGGGTACTCAGCGAACATGGAGCGCCTGATGGGTAAGCTTCCTTGGTACATGCAAAGATGTAGTTTGCTCACCAACACCATAGCCGCTCAGCAACGGACTGCCAAGGATTCGGCGAACGATTGGATGGCGGAGTTTGCTCGGAAACAACGGTCCCTCGAGATCAATCCCAAGTCTCCTCTCATCGAGGGGATGCTGCGAGTGGTCCAGGGTCTCGATTGGGAGGAGGATGTCCTTTCGGACGAAGGCGACAAGCCGTCACGCGAAATTACTCAGGCTGAATTTGAGCTTAAGGAAGTCGCTCAGATCCTGTTAGACGGCGCGCTTGTTCGCTCTGGCTTCGAAGTCTCCGACCCGAATACGTTCTTTTCCCGGGTCGACATTATTCTTCGCCGCTCACTCGGAGTATCCGAGACCGCACAGGCGAAGGTGGACGTGCGTCCGGCACCACCGGTCGAGACGGGTCCTCTGGACTGGAATTTCAAGCAGCACGAGCCGGAGCTGGAGTTCAAGGAAGACCCCTTCGAGCTTGGAGATTTTGATTATGAGTTGCCAAAGAACCCATTCTCGCAGGAGCCGGAGGCTAAGGCGTTCGATGAGGCGCAGGGACATGATGAGCTGTAGTCCCCAGTTTGTACGTCTTGCAACTATAAAGCCGGTAAATTCTATGGATATCCGTGTCGGACCAGTTAACGACGGGTCATAAGTAGTCCGCAGTCCCCTGAACCCAAATACTTGGAGATCCAAACTCCGAACTGTCTCAGTACTGGCCAGACCGGAGTATTGCCATTCGTAGGCAGCCTTACCTAAAACAGGTAATTTTGGGACTGTATAAGGATGGTGGCTATATACCTCCGTTGCTGGAAGTACTTCAAAAGCTCCACCAGTCCTCGTGCAGAACTGGCTCTCATGCCAGATCTGCTAACACCGCTATCATGATCCTCCTTTTCTCTCAGCTACCTGCCCGACTAGGCAATGGCACGTTCGGTATACCCCTATATCGACTGTATCATGGCTCGAAAGCTCTCTTACATCCGCCTTTGGTATCTGTCTCAATCGAAACTCGGGTTACAAAGCCCACTACATTGGTCGAGCTGCTAACAACATCCTCGATATCTCCACCAGACTCAATCGAGTCCCCACCAATCCGCCGTGTGGGTAATGTCAGTATAAGAGCACCACTGCGGATGACCTCAAACAAAAGACGCCGCTTTCGAAGGTTAATCGGAATCCCCTACTCGACAACCTTGCAGCCATGATGTTGAAAGTTGCGGATTTCTTTGACAAGAATTACCTACGAAACACTCCAATCGAACAGCTCATCAATCTTCACCGCTGCTGGCCACCACTCATTGAAGGCTTCTTAGGGACACATGCGGTGTCTGTGGATGAACAAGGAGACACTTTCTCGAATGACGTTTACCTCATTCAACCAGGGATCAACATCCTACGACTCTTCACTAAATGCGAGTATAAATATGAGCTGCAATATTCTGTACACAAGAGAAGAATCGCCCGTGTCGTGTTCATGAGGACTCCGCAAGGCTACATTCCTATCTCCACTGAAGAGGACAAACGCCCTGAACCATTCGAACGTGCCATGATGGACCTCCGGTCGCTCCTCAAACAAGATGTCCAAGGGGAGAGCATGGAGAATCCTTCCTTCGAATTTCGTTGGCCAGTGGAGGACCTTGGCCACAGCATATATTCCCGTGCCAAAGGGTCCCCACTACCTCTGAAGGTGGGGGAGAAGATGTTGATACTGGTGTGTCCCCAATTCATTAGTTGGATGATACCACTGGGCTGATTTCGGACAAGCAATGGACCTACATGGTCTATACATGCTCATGGGGAATAATTGCCAGCCGAATTGGATTCCTCCCCTGCATTCGAATTCTTTCGGGAGAGCTATTAATCGGTAATCCCATCTATGTATGTCTATCTGCACTTGGCGAGAAAATTGTGCACTAAACTAGGTGTGTGAAATCAGGAACAGCGCCTTCCAGCATGGATAGGACTGCAGCTGTTGCGAATTGCTGTGGAAAGGAAAGAGTGGTCGAAATCAGAATGGGATAATATCCTCTCTGGTTTACAGATGAAAATCCTTGATGTCTTTGCTCCACTGCTCCCGTTATTCTCCTATTCCCCACCACCATACCTCCATCACTGAGAGTATACAGTATGGGACAGAAATAGTGAATGGGCCATTGATGCGATTCAAGTGGGAAAACCCTATCGGAGATAATGCATGGTCTTCAGCTCAATTTTCTGTCGTCTGGACCCTCTATAAATTAGATCCATAAAGATGACATACATGAGCAGAATGACATTGTTTTCTATTATCTCGTCGTTCCACCGACAGCTGTCCATCAGAGAACTGAGGCTGAAGTTATGTTCGCCTCCAGAATCATAGAGCGCAAGATCATATCAACAACCATCAATGCAGGTCGTCCCACGGACGAAAACAAGATCCATGACTGTTGAATCTATATACTTCACAATTGATCTACCAAGTTAATGAACCGGAGGGATACATTGGCATTGCGCCCAAAATTAAGCAGAAGACGGCGAGAGTCTGCGCGAAGATGAAGTGCAGAACAGGATCAAGCATGGGTGAGGTCACTAACAGATACATTCGCGTGAACCAAGTACTGCGGGGGAGAGAATTGCGTGCGAATAACACAAAGGCTGTTCGGTGAAGTATCGGAGATATGTACATGCCATGGGTACTGTATTGTAGTTAGTCCGTCGTAGCCATACCCAATATACTCGTTGCCGGAACATCCGTTTTACCGGCTCGCATGCGGTATCCGGATACCGCCGGACCAATATCGAGGGTGTGTCTTACTTGATTAGTTTCAGGTATCTTCCATGGTATATTCCAAATACCACCTCCACATTCCTTTAGATTCTATATTAGATAGCTCTTATCCCCCTGTAATGGGAGGCCGGACTCTCCCCCTTCGACCACTCTGTATCCCATCTCTAGCTAGCCCCAATCCTTGATATCACATCTTACTCGAACGTATCATCGTGCCTATACCGTCATACCGGTATACTGCCATCCATTATCTGGAAGCACGCTCACCCATAGGAGGTTCACAAGAGAGCTCGATTAGACTATCTATTGTATCTACGGTACAGTAGGAGTCACATCAGTACACCATTATATTGGATGCTCATCTCGCAGATCCAAATAATTGTCTCGAGTGTATAATACTGTACACGTTAACTAGTTGAACGAGTCGACACGAGCTCTCAGTGAGGCAATAACTCCAAGTCGTACTTTGAGTGCTCTTCAGGTGATGTCACAGCTGCTGACTTCTGTACGTCTGAGTCGAGTTCCTCGAGTTCGGTACAGTGTCCGTCACATGGTTCGCCATGGTGATAACTACAGTGGAAATCGATCAGGCATAAGGAGGCGTCTTTCCTTGCGAGGATGTTGCGTGCTGCCACGTCGCCATGCACGATTCCCAAATCATGGATCTTCTTGACAAGAGTCAACACATCCTGTGCTCTACTCGTTGTGATAAGCACATTGATACGGCAGCCGGTGTGACATGACTCACCTTTCACGTATGTCCTGAATGGGTCTGCCCTCATAAGAAAGCACTAGCACGGAATGCGTTCTATCTGCAGATCCAAATAAGCCGAAGCAATGCGGAATGGCATGACCCCACTGTGATCGAAGATCTTTGTAAACCTTGGATTCCCATTCCAGCTCCGCTTGTCCTGTTTCTTCTTCCACCCATTTGACGACAACATCCTTCCCATCCAATATGCCCTTGATGACATACCCTAATACACCGTAGCCAATCACATGAGTGAGATAAAGTGGGCCTTTGGCATGCATCCCACGCGGCGTCCAATAACGCCGCAGTTTGAGTGTGTTATTCCATAGATCAATGATCTTGAAGACTGACCCATTATCGGAAACGTCAGATGATAATGCTTTATCAGTTGTTGCCAGTGCTCCATTGCTTTCCATTTGCCGGTCTCTCCTATTTGGTGGCTTTGATGACCTTCGTGAATCTGTTGGTGTTGTTCTTCCTGACTCTCGTGATTTATTGCACTTGTTGGATAGCACAGGTACCGAGTTCCCCTGTACTCTCAGTGATGGAGGTGCTGGTGGGGAATAGGGGAATAACGGGAGCAGTGGAGCAAAGACATCAAGGATTTTCATCTGCAAATCAGAGGGGATATTATCCCATTCTGGTTTCGTCCACTTTTGCCTTTCCACAGCAATTCGCAACAGCTGCAGTCCTATCCATGCTGGAAGGCGCTGTTCCTGATTTCACACACCTAGTTTAGTGCACAATTTTCTCGCCAAGTGCAGATAGACATACATAGATGGGATGACCGATTAATAGATCTCCCGAAGCAATTCGAATGCAGGGGAGGAATGAACTTCGGCTTGCGATTGTTCCCTAGGAACATGCGCTGGCGAGGTGAGACCATTCCTTGTTGGTGATCAACCCGATGACATCCGCTGAAATGAACTGGGGACATACCTCTGCCAACATCTTCTCTCCTGCGTTCAGACGTTGCGGGGAGACCCCGAGCCGGGAATATATGCCATCACCAAGATACTTCATTGGCCAATGAAATTCGAAGGAAAACCCCGTTATGCTCTGATCACGGAGATCGAAGGGACAGCGATTCGCCTCTCTGAGCGACCACAGAGTCTTCATGCCATCTTCGTATGGCTCAGTGCATTTGTCTTCTTCAGCGGAGACAGGGATATATCCTTCCGTAATCCTCACGAATACGACACGGTCGATTAATCTCCCGCCGATTGTAGGGTATTGCACCTCGAATTTGTACTCGCGTTGGGTGAAGAGTCGTAGAATGTTGATTTCAGGTTGAATGACATAAGCATTGTTCCAGAGAGCATCCCCGTGTTCAGCCGACAAAGCCGTCAGTGTCCCTAAGGTGCGTTCAATGAATGGTGGCCAGCATCTGTAGAGATCGACAAGTCCGTCAATCGGAGTGTTGCGTAGGTGAGTCTTATCGAAAAAATCGGCGATTTCTAACGTGAAGGCTGCGAGTTTTTTGAGCATTGGCCGCTGAGTGACCCTCCCAAGCGGTGGCGTTATTCTGATGTCGCTCAATGGTGGTAAGTTCGCAGAAGTACTGCCCTCCAGGTGGAATCCGCTGGACATGATTGGGTCTAACCGAGAGGTCGGGGGCGGCGTCGTCAACAGTTCCACCAACGTAGCAGGCTTTGTTGCTCCAGCTTGGAGGCGATACAAGGAGGAGGAGTGAAATAGAACCTTCGACCTGCGACATAGTCGATGCAGCGGCATACCGAACATGCAGTTGTGTGATTGGGAATGTAGACGAAAGAAACTGGGATTCATGATGGCATCTCCAGCCTGAGAGTGATGGATGTCTGGGATGCAGAGGGAGCATCGGTCGGGATTGAGTATTTAGCTTCCATAATATATGGAAGTCCTTTGCGGATAGCTGTTTAAGGGTCCGGGCGCATCGACTTTAGTTAGCGGCTTTGCAATTTGTCCTCCGCTTCTGTTCTTCCACACGCTTCTCTGCTTCTTTTCTTCTTGATCTTTCCGGAATCCTTACCAGCACTCTGGGCCTGGCGACTCAAATACAAGTTCGTAGTTAAAATCACGTAATAGTCACGTAATTGCTTATGTAAGCAATTTGCTTCCGTTTCCCGCCTTTTCGCGCCCTCCCAAGAACTTCACGTGCCCATGACTGGGGTCCCTACAGGGCCATCGGAAGCAAAAATAATGCCCGAACTGGCCACGTGGGACCAGTCCGCGAAATGACGTGGGCAGAGGTCTTTTGCGGACCGCTGGGACCCCTTATCAGGCGACCAAGGTAGCTGTCCGCAAAGGACTTCCATAATAATACGCCCACCGTCTTCTGCGTGAAGACGTACAAAGCCGTGCGTACTTCCATCGCAGCTGGTGATGGGCTTTTTCATTAAGAGAGCACAGACGCCATACTTCCTTTCTCAATTAACCTTTGTGTGCAATTCAATATGTCCCTCCGATTCATTAGCTCGGTGGTACATATATGGTGTATATAGATTCAAAAGTCATGGCATCACCGGCAGTCGAATTTCAGGGACTCACATCGTTGCTCACTTACACCCTCACCATGTCCCTCCCAACATCTTGGCAATCTTCTTGGGCATCTCATATTCCCCAACTGACTGCCATCCAACGTACACTTGGTTCCTTTCGCCCTTTCCCCCACCACATCCCTCGCATTGGCCAGCTCGACGCGGACCTCCTCGACGAAGAGCTTGCCCAAGTCCTGCAAGAACCCCTCACCAAAGCGCTTCAAGGCCTACAAAGCTCCTGGCGTGGATTGTTCACTCTAGAATTGGGGTTACTGATACGACTAATACTGTACAAGTTATCAATATGGGATAATGCAGCAAGCTATGGAGCGCAATTGCAGGGTCTGAAATTGGTCGATGCCCACGCGATTTCAACTTCAAATGCCGGACCAGGGGAGATTCGAAGACAAAAGCTCTTCTTGCATGCTCTCCTCACACTTGGAGTGCCCTATCTCCACGCTCGAATACGAGGCTACGCACTCTCCCGAGCTTGGCCAGACCGCCCTCGAACCGACCAGCGTCGTCTCGCCTGGGCCTGTCTGACGAGTGCGGAGAACGCTCACGCTGTGCTCGGCCTCGCAGGATTCGTCACGTTCCTGTGGGATGGAAGATATAGGACTATAACAGATCGGATATTGGGGCTGAGGCTGGTATCGAGTAGGCGGGTCGACAGAGTGATCAGCTACGAATATATGAACCGGCAGATCGTATGGCATGCTTTGACAGTGCGTTCTTCTCCTTCAGCCTGATCATAGTGCTCACCGAATTTGATAGGAATTCCTCTTGTTCCTCGTACCATTGGTGGATGTAGCTGCCCTACGCCGAGGAATACGACAATACCTCCTCTCACTCCGCAAGTCCACCTACGTGCCTTCACTGATCAAAGGCCTTCTTGAGCGTGACCCCACTACCTCCAGCTCTAACGAGCTCAAAGGTCCTTACACCTCCCTTCCTCCCACAGAATGCGCCATCTGCGCCGAACGCGCTGCCTTGCCAAATATTTCCTATCCGTTGTCGAACCAGCTTACCGCATCCACCATAATAGGCGCTTTTGTACCCTCCTACCCCGTCCAAACGACCTACGTCGGTGATTGCGGGCATTCATACTGTTATGTGTGTTTGACGGAGAAAATGGTCCAAGCAGCGGACGAGGGCAAGGAAGGGTGGAGGTGTCTGAGATGCGGAAAGACGGTTAAGAGCGCAGCGAGATTGAAGCCTGTTGAGGAAGGTGAAGTTATCGACGGAAGTGAGGAGGATTTAGGTGATCCGGATGCTACTGCCGCAAGTTAAGAAGATTGACGTATGTCTTTTACACCTTTATTGCTATGAGAAATATCAAGACACCAATTTACACGGCATGTTCACAAAGCGCAATATTCTTGTTGAGGTTATCAGAGGCAATGCATGTGAACCTATTGATTAACAATACGATCTCTCAACGTGGTAGCATCAGCTGCTCTGGGTGCTGTGAATGGTCTCCGGATGGTTCGACTCCTGGAAACCGGTGCGGAGGTTCTGGGGCAATGATCCTCGTATTATTCGTTGATCACAGTCGATACAGCACCGGAATGCGTTCTTGCTTGACCTTGTTCGTGGGTGACCGGATACGGACATACTTGAACCGGATCAAATACGTACTGTATGTCCACATCGGAGGGAAAACGAATGGCAAGCGCTGGTCCGCAGACACCGGAGAGACAAGAGTGATTCTTGCAGAAGTGATGAGATAGCTGGGGCGAACGGAAGTTGCCAGGTCATGATGCACGTCTGGGATGACACGGACAAACTGTCAGCTTAACCCATATGATACCCAATAGTGTTCTATGCCGCACCTTATTCTTCCCTCATCACAGCGGCGACGCTGAATCTGTTGTGGCCGACCGCTGGAACATCGGAATTGTGCGCATACCCTGGGGCATCGGCTCGTCATCCAGCTTCCTCCTGTTCCTATCTCCCACTGCTAACTTCCCCATCCCCTTCTCCAAACTCTCAAGTAGCGTGCACGCTTTGCACAATTCGTTGCTCGCCATGTACCCACACCTCTGACAGAACTGCTGTGGCTTGAGCTCCACGTCCTGTGCCACCTGAAAGGCCTCTCCAGAATGTATGATATCGATGATTGCGCTTGGCCGGGCAGCCTCCAAGTCCTTGAGAAACACACGGGCATGTCCGCGGTACGCATCGGGCGCATACAAACATTCTGTCGAAAAATAGTCCAGCTTCTTGAAATATGCGTACATAACGATCTCTTTCTCGTAAGCATACTTGAATGGCTTGCTCCTTTTGATGCTGTCCTCGCCCTTCGTGCATATGGCGGTGCATCGCCCAAGCCGCGCAATATCGCCTCGAAGAATATTCATCAGCACAGTCTCAGCAGTGTCGTCCGCATTGTGGCCCGTGACGATGTGATCCGCGTCGAGGGATGCGGCACCGCGGTCAAGAGCTTGTCGCCTGAAAACTCCGCAAAAGGTGCCTAGACACAACCGTAGATGTCAGTAATTGTTCTTTCTGAGAGGCCACTACAGGGTGGTGCTAGTGGGAAGAAGACGAACAGTTGTTCTTTCGACCAATCTGCTCCACAACTCGGTCCATCGTCCACCCATAGAGCTCATCGTACCCGAGAATCTTCAAAGGCAGACCATACTCTTGCTGATTGCGCTTCACCGACTATAGTTGTATGAGAGTCGATGCATAGAATGAGTGCCAGGAGGAAAATGGAAGGTGGCATTTGTACATGGGACGTACCTTGAGGGAGTCGTCCCGATATCCAGTGATACCCTCGTCTATAGATAGCAAATGTAGCTGCAGCCCATAGCCGTACCTCTCATTCAACACTGTTAGGACGTGTGCCAACACAGTCGAATCTGCTCACTCCATCAAATCCTTCCTCTTATGGAAGGGCATAGAACGCACCTTTCCCTCCAGAAGCACCTATGGCGACCTTTTCCCCCTGCTGGAAAAGATTGGTACCAATGATAGTCTCGTGCACCTCGGTCTCAAAGACGTAGAAGAAGCATGGTTTGCAAAGCTGCTGCCCGGTTTTCGGTCGGCGCAGGATGGGTTTAGATGTGTGGCATAGAGCGCAGGTGCGGTTTGGCACCATAGTTATGATGTGGGAGAAGTGTAAGTGCGGAGTCGGGGGAAACTTTAGCGCCCGTCCCTTGTGACGGGACAATCCGCGGGATTACTATTCTGGCACTTACTACAGGACGGCTCCGACGATATCTGCAATACATTGATCATCTTGATATTCAAGAGCATTGGTCTAGGAGACTCCGCTTTGGTTATGCAGGCATGTCGGCAACTTTCAAAAGTACCAGGGGACTTCATAGTAATCTTATCATACATCATTATCAGAACTGCAATCCGTATGTATCTATTCATCCTCTATCATGCGTCAGTAATCAGAGGCATTGATGCGGTGGGTTACAGTGTAGGAGTGCGAGAGACAGAGGAGCGAAACCCAAAGCAATATGTTGAGGATAAGGGCCAGACAGACATTTGTGCTGCAGAAAGTTCCGCTGACTTAGCCTATTATTCCCAGATATTTATAGAGTTGCTTCGTGACCAACGGATTGGCGTTGGAGATGTACTGGCTCTGAAACTCGCTAGGTCCACCAGGACACGCATGAGCGGCAAGATCGAGCTGTTCTTTGATGAAGGGACCAAGCCTTTGGGTTGTCACCGGATCGGCAGCATTCAACTAGGAAGGTATTCAATAGACCATTCATTAAAACGAAGGAGGGCGTACTTGATCACGCCTCCCCTGTTCCAGGGTTCCTTTGCAGCTGTCTGGTACTGTAACACATGCCCACTCTTTGCTGTCTTCCGTCATGTAAAGAGGATGTTGCCTGAACAAATGACAATCACAAAATGCATCGGCGCATTGCAGAGGAAAACATACATATCCAGTTCGTCATTCTTCCAAGCTTCCTCTAGCTCTCCAAGCACACTTAGCCAAATATCAAATATGTCGCCAGTCAGGCGACTCAAAACCACAGGCTGCCCTGTAGCGACTAGGCATGCGATGCCCATGGCGAGAAGTTTGCGATTGTTTGGCTCCGACACAGAATCAAACTAGATATATGTCAGCCGGTGTACGGAAGTACAGGTAGAGTTGGCACCTTTTCCCACCATTGATGCAACACATCATTGTAAAGCTGCTCCAAAGACAGACTATGTTCATTCGCAGAAGCCTCTATGAGCATCTCGAATGCTTTCGTGTTGGTAAGCGCGAGACGAGCAAAGAAAAACAGATACTGATGTATAATGATACTTTTTGCCTGCAAGGCACGTCAGTGACAGGCCATCGCGTTTGAAGCCACAACAACCTCTACCTTGCTGGCCAGGAAATCTTCTAGGATGTTCCAGAAAAAGCCAGTTGTGTGAAGGGGTCCAGCCCATACCTCGGGAGGACTCATGCGAATCATTATTTGGGCCGAGGCCATCATCTGCTTGACATTTGACACGGGCGCCATCTTCGATACGATATCAAAACCTTCGATAACGCCAGTGGCATTCGCCTGATTGGTCCTCGATTAGTCCTTGGGCAGTTGCGCATACTTTTCTGAACCACAAACCTGAAGGATGCGAGGTGCATCTACCAGAAAGTATCCATCTACCAGAAAGTATCCATCTACCAGAAAGTATCCATCTAGCACCTCCAGGACTCGTCCGAGCACGTCTGTGTTATTCCGGAGCAGATCAAGGAGCAGGGGAAGGAGTTCCATCAGATTTGGCGACGAGCCTTGTGCGTTTGAGAGAGAAGTGGTCCATCTCACAGCGTGAACCCAAAGGTCAAGAGCGTCGTCGTCGAGCTGAAGAGCAACCTGCCGGGATAGAAGATAAATCTCCGTAACATCGGCGGGGACTATTCACATACCTCAGCCTGGAAACCCATCTTCACGAGGGGAATGACGATAGGCCAAAGGAATATTGAATTTGTTTTGGTCGCCTTGGCAAGAAAATTTGTCAATATGAATTCAAAATGATAAAAGGCAACCTACTCCGACAAGCTTCGTGGCGATCGTGATCAAATCAGCTTTCAACAAGCTGTTCTGCTGTTCATCTGCCTTCGCCCCTGCAGACATGAGCGTGCGTCAACGTCATGTGTCAAGAAAACGACCTACACATGGAGGGAATAGTATCACAAAGGTCCTTGGCGTAATTCATGATCTGTGAGACATAAGTACGCCCTGCAATGTCTCGTACGTATATGCATACCAGATCATCGGCGCTTTCGATTACGATAGCCAGAGCCTTTGTCGCACAGCGCTTGCTCTCCATGTTCTCGCAATCGTTGAACAAGTTCACGAGGCCAGCAAGGACGTTCCGTAGGTACGGGGAAAAGAGTTCTTTGTTATAGCCAAGAGTCTGCAACCCCAGCTGAGTGACAACGAAAATGGGTATAACACTCCTGCTCACATCCGTGCATTGCCTAATGGCATCCGCGGCAGTCAGCCGCACAATAATAGATGCGGACTGATCCTGCAAGAGTTGAAGAAGTATTTGCCAGACGACAGGTGTTGGGCCAGGCATAGCTTCCTCGTGTACCCATTTGCCAATGATGCTGGCGATGGCACGCTTGACTACGCTGTACCTGTATAGGCTCTTCAGTAATCTGGTATGAGACGAAGACCGAGGAACCTACACAGGGTCTGTCATCTGAATATCAGCAGCGAAGTGGCTTCCGATCATCTCGTCATAGTTGAGACTGCCCTTGAGCTGATGGACGGCGCGATTGACGGCGCAATACACGGCTTCCTTATGGAGGTTCGTTTGTAGGTTCGTTTCGTGGTTACCAACAACTTGCTGATACAGGCCCAACAGTTCGGGTTTGGCAACATCGGTGAAATTGGAAACAAAGATCATGAGCACACGCTCGGCACTCCCCTGTAGACTATTGTCATTTTCCCCCCAATGCTATGACAACTGGATAGCATACTCGCAGTTCATATTCCCACTGTTCGGATTCGCCTTCTTGGGCTACAAACCATTCTTCTGGTTCACTTTCCCATTTCTGCAGGTCCTCACTTCGAAGAGGTATGAGCCGACTGATGATTAAGTCGATAGATCTCAGCACATGAGCAGATCCGAGAATCTCTATGTCATGAGAGGTAAGATGTTAGAACGAATACGAACACTACCGCACGAACCTCTTAATTCAGTAGAGATGTGCGCATCTGGGGAGGCTAATAGCTCCTGTAGATTTTCAACTTTCTTGCGTTTAGCCAATAAAGACCAGTCTTTCATGAATTCGCGGAACAGGAATAGTGCTTGAATAACGAGGCGAATGGGATATAATGCAAATTGCGAATCTGGAGCATGCTCAGTGAAGGCCTCTCGCTGTTCACATCAACATACCGATTACAGTTGGAAGTTGAGCTGCATCAGTGACGAGATTCCAGTAGAAAGTGATAAGATGAGGTATAGACGGGTGAAAAACAAAATTATCTCGGTTGAGCTGACACAGGCGGCGAAAGATCTTGCCGAAGACCATAACATGGCGAGCAAGCAGGGTGAGTGTATGCGCTATTGCCGCATCATTGCAGGCTGTGTTGTTGATACCGGAAAGAATGGGTGGGTTGATCTCCGTGAGGGAAGAGAGCGTTTGCATTCGAATGTGGCATACGACTTGAAACTGTTCCGAACAGAGGTGCAGCCCTTCGTGAAGCTGAGAAGAAGTTGGCTCCCGCTCACCGAAACAAATATAGAGCATGCACTTGCCTTTGAGCCCCATCCTTCGTCCTCAGCAGGGTGTTGCCATCGCCAAAGAAGAATCTTGGAGTAGCTCTTGAACGCAACATGAGCGATCTCGAGATCGTAGGCCAAGAGCGGGTTGCCGAGGTTGGCCAGGTGGAGCTCTTCACGAAAGTAAGAAGAATACTGGCTCCAGAGATCCATAAACGGTTGGAACAGGGTATCTGCCAGCTCTGCCATAGCATTGATCTGATTGGGCAGCCTCGTGGTGCAGAACTCCTTCACGATGGCATGCAAAGCTCGCAACGATCGACGTAATACCAGCGTATTGACGGGATCCGTAATCCCAGAACTTATTCTTGCATTTGCACTATTGCTGATGAGCTGACTGAGATCGCGGATTAGATGTGGCCTGGGAATATCAGTCTTAGAAGGGGGTCTCAACGCAGCGAAGGACGCACCATTTCATAGGATAGTCACCCCGCGCTATCCTTGTGAGCACAATGACATTGAGATAAAAGATCTATTACGAGTTTTAGGATCATGGCTAAGCTCAGGAATATATGTATTCACGGAATCCACAGGTTCGTCCATGAATGTCATAGCGAGTTGCCGGCAGGCTTCTCTCTGCTCGTTCGTGAGCAGGCTATGTGTGGCTCAGAAAGCGTATGACAAGGGAGAACAACTATGCTCACACATTGCTCCTCCAGTGAGAAATCATCTCATTTTTCAGCCTGATCATGGCCATCTCCCTGACTGAGGTCGATACGCTCTTCTCGGCTGCGATCTGATAGATGGCATAGAACGCGCCCTTCTCTTTCTCGAGCTCGGGAAGCCGTCGAGAGGCGGGCATCATACGTACCGGGTCCTGCGAGCATGCATCAAACAGGACTTGATAGAGCTGTTGCTGCAGGTCGGGTATGCCGGAGAACTCCATTGGTTCTAAACGCGGTAACTGAGGTGGTGGTTGGTTTCCTGGTGAAACGCGGACGTGTGCGAGAAGGGTGTCCATTTTGGTGTGAATTTATAAGAGGGCGAAGAAAAGAGGTAGGAAATTCGGCAAAGACGCCGCCCTTGTTGGCCGCCGTCTTTTAAGCCTTCACCACCCGGCGTTGCCGTTTTGCGACTTTCTACACACCCGTCAGTGTGGCAGTCGGTTCTCCTTCTGGCGTTGTAATAACCCTGTACGGAAGCAAATCAGTATGTCGTCACGCGTCCCAAGACGCGCATGTTAGGCCTCTCTCGCTCTTCTTCGCTACATTGTCGAGTCTGGCGGCCTTTCCGATTTCCAGCTGGAGTCACCAGATCCCTCAATTGGCAGCTCGGATCTTCTATCGTAATACACGACACCTTGCTGCATTGGGACTCTCAGATGAACAATCTAGGCGAAGGATGCTGCACATCACGCGACACATATCCACGATATTGAAAGATAAGGAGAACTTCGCCATCATGCCACCGTTGTCTAGTCACAATGACAGTCCACGAGACGAGGTTGTTGAGGACTCTGAACCTGAACGTGAAGAACAGCGACGAAAATTGAAGGCGGCAAAAAAGGCCACTCAAAGTACTGTACGACCGCCACTGTCTGTGATTCCTGTCGACACGGAACCCGTTCCAGTCGATGTCGAGGGCTCTGACAATCGTGAGTTTATGACATAGATGCATACGATACTTTCATGTGCTCATTCTATATCTCAGTATCTTACAAACACCTAGAGGGTTCAGCACCATCGATTGTACTATACACTGTAGAAGAGCTGTCGGCATCGACGGGTCCAGAAGCAGCCTCCACATCCTTTCCCTCACTAAGCCATGATGATCTTCCGAAATATGGGCACCCCATTCCCGTTACCCGCGTGGAGGAGAACGGTCCCGATGCTTTAGAGCCAGTTCGCACACTGAATTTGACGCACTTTGCAAATAACGCAACTGTCGTTCAGCATAACAGGCGCTCCACTTCTCCCGCCCCCGTGATCTCCTCCTTGAATCAGGCAAGAGCGCTGTCAACTTCGACTGCACCATCTAGATGGCTCAATTGCCCCCTTCCTGAGAAGAGGATGAAGATTATTACCAAGTGTCCCTGCTGCGAGCTTGCGTGGACGGCGAGGAAGTCAAGTCAGATGAAGTGGGAGCATATTGCGAGATGTGCCAAGAAGAACGACTACACCGTGGAAACACTTCTAACTCGGCTGGACCAACAATTGGCGTCCACTGATACGATCAATGTTGAAGGGAAGTCAAAGAAGAGGAAGGCAAAGACACCACTCGAGCAGAAAGAAGTGCCCAAACCCGACACACTCCTCGAGCGCGTCACACATGAAGCAGTACCGCCCAAACGCGGCAGGAAGCAAGCCGTCCCCGAAACCGTGCAGAATGTCTCCCAGGCACATCAGCTTATCACAGAGAAGGCCCGAGATGTTCTGCTGGCCGGCGAGTCTGTCGTGCCTGCGCCGCATGTAGAGTCTGCAACTTCTCCTGTAGCTGCTCAATTGCCTCTTGCTACGCAAGCATTCGTGCCGAGCAAGTTTGGTGGTGCACGAAGAACGGTGAGTCTATTGAACGACAATCCTCTGAAAGAGAGACCGCCTGATGCAGGAGCAACACTGACCAGCGTAAGTCCCTTGCACATCTGACAACCCGTCGCTGAAACTCTGCAGGACCGTTTCTCCTACCTCCCCCGCGATGTCTCTCCTGGTCCTGATATCAGCTCAAACGCCGTTGTCCCTTCGGAAGCCCAAACCAGCCTGGCCAACCTCACGGCCAGCACTCTTGACCTAACCTCGAGTCCTGCAACTGCCTTTCGAAAGCCACGTAGCTCCTCACCTAAGAAACGCCTTTCTTTACGCCAGATTGTACGACAGGAAGACACGCTACATAACAGCGACACAGATAGCATTTCATCGGAAAATGGATGGGTGGATGAAGGTGCCTGGGGTGCAGATACTGTGCTAGTGTGGGATGGTGACAGAAGTGACGGCTCGACGTCATCATCAGTCGTTCTATCCAAAGCCAAAGGAAAGAAGAACAAAGGCGAGGGTCCCCTTACTTCCCCGATTCAAGCACCAGAACAGCCTAAGAAGCGAGGGCGACAGCGGAAGGATGTGGTGGTACAGGAGAAAGAGTCCAAACCAACAGATGAGGAGACTGTAGCGATGATTGAGAAAGAGCTGAGGACGATGATCGAAGAGGACGAGGAGCTATATTTGCGAATCTTGCGATACGAAGTATGTTTGACATGGGCAAGAGCGTTCTTGACTAATGCCTTTCCCAGCCTATGAAGTTTGATGACTTGCTGAAGCGAGCCCTGGACCGCGAATTGCCCGAAAGAAAGCTGAAAGAACGATTGCGTAATTTCTTGGATAAACAGGTGTGTCTTCCTTCGCCTTTTTACCTGCAGTGGTTGACGAGGATGCTCCAGTGTATCAATTTCTACACGGCAGAACCAACCGGAACGCGTAAACGCTATTAACACATCTTGTCTGTTGCATTTGTATTGTAGACAATTTGTTGTATACATCCACACGTCGCACAAGAGGAGTGAAATGATTCGTCACATTTGTATATAACAACTACATGTTCGAGAAAGTGTAGTTTGGTTGTGATGTCATTCTTCAGTTAGATCAATCACAGTGTTGTCCTTCACCCCAAACCCTAGTGACCCCTGCACCTTACTCTCAACAATTTTGTACTTCCACTCTGGTTGTCTCTTCTTCATCTTCACGCTATCTAATATCCATTCCGGCGTGACTACGTGAACTTTGCGCTCGTTCGTGTTGAGGTGCGTGTGCGTCTTCGATGCGCTCAGCGGCATGCTCGTGATAATATGTGTAGTGCCGCCGCCAGCCATATACCTGCCCAAGCTTTTCAGAAAATTTCCATAAATCGTATATATATAGCGCACCGAACTCGACCCCCACCCAGACCGACAATCCGTTTGACCTCCAGATCCGTCGTTCCGTTCATGTACCCATTTATATACACGACACACCCGTGGAATACCTCGTTCTCATGGCCTCTTTCTTTGGCCTGTTCACGCAACTTGATGTTTCTGCTCTTAAAGTACAGTTGACTCCGTCTTCCATCCGATCGCTGGTGACCTGTGGCAGCTGAGGAGGTTGGTTCGCAACGCTCGTAGGCCGTGCTGTGCGTGATCGGGTTACTTTCGGATGAAAGAGAGTTGAGGATTTGATTTCTCAGGGCTTTCTGTAGCGGCCCAGGAGGAGGCCCGACATCAATGATTGCGTGTTTATCAGGTTTTGACCTTGATTCAACAGTGGCACGAACAGGTGCAAGAAGCCTAACATTCAAATGCATGAACAGTCATCCATGAGTCAAGTCTGAGACACACACTTGTCTGCTCGTGCCTTGCCTTGAGCGGCTTCACGTCGACGTTCCTTATCCGTCTTCGCGCCTATAGGAGGTGCAAAGGGGTTGAAGCGGAGTGCTTGCCGCTTCTCGCCAATGTTGCTATTGAAGGCACCGCGTGCGCCTCCAGGTTTGGTACGATAGAGATATTTGTCCATGTATGGGAAGCCGTGCGGTTGAATCCAGAGGCGACAAAGTAGAACGAGTGTACGCAAATGAGTGTAAGATAAGCAGGAGTTAATGCGGTCACCAAGTTAGAAAAACATCAGAATATGTACACGGGATATGAAGTCGTCGATGTTGAATGAGGTTGGCTGGTGGCGGCACGCGTGGATCGAACATGACGCGCGGGTGTGTGACCCAGCGCGCCTGTTTTACTTTCACGTGATAATGACTCAGCAAATTCATGGAAGGCTAAAATGCTTCTCCGACTGTGACGCCCTTGAAAGGTGGACATTCTGGTTGGAGCCAGAAGCAAAATCTTTGGCAAGGGTCGAACATTCTTCCTCAATATTGTTCGACTCATATCATTATCATTCATCGTATCTTCGTACGGAGACGATGCACATGCCTCTCACCGGAGGCTGAATCCGACTAATATCAGGCTTACATAAACTCGGTCATCGACATCGCACATGTTTCTTCGTCTGTCATATCTGTTATCTAGACGTGCTGGATCCCGAGTCTCAATTTCTCTGCCTCAATACTATACGATGGAAACGAGAACTTACGCAGTATGTCTGTTTTGCGACACTCTGTCTTGACGAGCTCAGACGGTTTGCAGGAAGCAGTTGATAAGCTAAACACCCTACAATCGAATGCCGCCACCATCGAAGCAATCAGGGCTTCTGGTAAGCCCAATAATGATGCGACCATAATAGAGATGGCCGAATATCTAAAGAGGATCGGATACGAGGTAGGACTCATGATCATCGTTTATGTAATCTCAAACAAATTTTGCCAGCCGGAGGACCTTAACAAGCTCAATGTGGTTCATGTCACAGGAACCAAAGGAAAGGGTTCCACATGTGCATTTGTCGACTCGGTACTCCGACATGTTAAGCCGAACTGGAAGACAGGTGAGACGGTTGTTGACATTACCGCAAACATCGTCTCACTTAGACAAGGACTGTACACCTCTCCTCATCTCGTGGCCGTACGGGAGCGTATAAGGGTCAACGGACTACCTATATCAGAGGAAGTGTTCGCCAAATACTTCTTTGAAGTATGGGACAGGCTCGAAGCCAATCCAGAAGTACCTCCGATAGATGTCATTGTTGCTTGTATTCCTGACCCCTGTTTCTCAGAGAGCGAATCCGGCAACATCACCTAAACCGATGTACTTCCGATACATGACCCTGATGGCTTTCCACGCTTTCCTCTCTCTTGGGGTATGTAATCCCTAGTCACAGCATGGTTTGGTTGTAAAATTCTGATTTACCCAGGTAAATGCTACAATATTGGAAGTTGGCATAGGTGGACTGTACGACTGCACAAATGTAGTCCCCAAACCCCTGGCCGCAGGCGTCGCCTCCCTGGGCATAGATCATGTCTTCATCCTAGGCAACACGCTGGGTCAGATCGCCTGGCAAAAGGGGGGTATCTTCAAAGAGGGAGTTCCAGCATTCACGGTCCCGCAGCCTGAGGAGGGCATGGAAGGCTTGCGGAAGCAGGCGGTGGACCGAAAGGCTTCTTCTCTCAGTGTCGTGCCTGTGCTCCCACAGGTGGCGGAACTCGATCTCGGCCTCTCCGGGGTGCATCAGAAGCAAAACGCGAGCCTGGCGCTCAGCCTTGCACAGGCAGCGATTGAGGGAACAGGGGATAAGGATGCGAACCTCCTAGAGCTCCCACTGTCTGCTACCGTGAAGACTGCGTTGGAGAAGGCGAAGTGGCCGGGCCGCTGCCAGGTGGTCCCAGACCCTAAAGATTCGAAGACGACGTGGTTCCTCGATGGAGCGCATACTGTTGAGAGCTTGACAGCATGTATGCAGTGGTATGCCGATACGGGAGTCGGGCTGCGGCAGTATGTTCTTCCCCACTTCCCAAGTTATGGACTGACATTGCTTCCAAGATTTCAACCGATCCGGATCTTGATCTTCAACTGCACCAACGGCCGTTCGGGGCAGACGCTACTCGGCGCACTCCTATCCACTGCCGTAATCCAAATCAAAAAACACGAGCAGGGGGACGCACTGCCAAAAGACGGGTTCTTCGACCACGTCATCTTCTGCACCAACGTGACATACGCAGATGGGCATTTCAAAGGAGGCGAGTTATCCGTGCCGGTGATGGGCAATGCTAACGCGTATTTGCAGACTTGACGTCCAAGGTTCTCTCAGATACGGGTGTCTCATCACTCAAGACGCAACAGGAGCTGTCCCAGGCGTGGATGTCACTCGTCCCTCTCTTTTCCGAGGAGAACATCCATGTCCTCCCCTCAGTGCAGCATGCCGTCGACCTGGCGCGGGGGCTGCAGGTCCCCCAGGGAACGGAGAAAGACGTGCTCGTTGCTGGGAGTTTGCATTTAGTGGGCGGGGCGATCGAGGTTGCTGGGTTGAGCGAGACGGTGTTCAGTGCATAAGAGTCACGTCATTGTATGCGGGCAAGGGAGGGGGTCGCGGCATCTTCACATACCGGGGACGATCTAGACTGCATATGGGGCTCAACCCCCTCGCAGACATGTAGCATCTACACACTCATAGACTATATCTGAAATCTCGTTGATTCATGCCTTGATTGAGTGGGGTTATTGTACATTGCGTAATATTGTATTGGGGGTATCAGTGTTCAGTGTTTTCGCTTGCCGAGATAGGTGGGTAGCACCGCATGCACGCTCGTCAGGTTTCCTACGTCTTTGTCGCCTTCTATCGAGAACCGCTTGATGAGCTCTTCGAAGCTCATCTTTCCTTCTTGGGGGGAATGGACCACGTTGTCGTATTTGAGCTGCTCCACCTGGTCTGATGTCAGTTTGTCCCGGCTAGGGGGTAAGAGACGTACCTGATGGCGGGTGATGGTGAACAGGTTCTCAGGGAGACGCTCTAGTACGGCACCCTGCAGTTTTCCAAGCTCGTAGGGAAGACTGATTATCGGACGCGACTTGTGATCGTACTCGAGCACGAGCTGCATCAGCTCTTTGTACGTGAAAACTGATGCTTGTCAGATTCGCCGAAAAGAAACAGAAAGAACGCACTATCCGGTCCGCCAGCGTCGAATGTCGTCCCTGCTACTGCTTTCTCCACTTCCTTATCTATATCACGCCTCGTACATATCTCGACGGCCTGTGCGATATCCCCCGCAAACACGGGCTGAAACCTGGTTGTCCCACCCCCGAAGACGGGTAGGAACGGCAGTACCCCTGCGAGCTTCGCGAACCGGGCGAAGAAGCCGTCCCCAGGACCGAATACAAGGCTGGGGCGGATGCTCGTCGCACCATCCCCGAGGATCCCCTTCACTGCTGCTTCTCCCAAGGCTTTAGTACGCCAGTAAGGGACGGGACTGCGTACGTCCGCCCCGATCGCACTGAACTGGACGACCTTGGCACCGACGTCTCGCGCTGCGAGGGCGACGTTCCTCGTGCCTTGATGCTGTACGCGCTCGAATTGTTCTGGAGTTGCGTTGAGCAACCCAACGAGAGAGACGACGATGTCTGCGCCTTCGAACGCGGGGAGCAGGGTGGAAGGCTTGGTGATGTCGGCTTGGACGGTGTGGATGAGCACGCCTGAGGGAAAGTCACGATCGCCAAGGAGTTTCTCCTCGAGTAGGAGGGGGTTACGGCCGGTGAGCTGGACGCGGTTGAGGGGGTTACATGCGAGGGCGCGGGCGATGTAGGAGGCTAGAAATCCGGCGCCGCAGAGGACGATTTTGCGCGTCGCCGGTGGGGAAGTCATGTGGAGGCAGTGGGCGTGACGATGGATGGCGGTGGATGTCAGATGATGTTCTGGTGGGGTCGTCAGTGACAATGACCAACAGACCATCTCATACGTCGTCAGCGGGTGGATGACTCCGCGAGGGCAGGAGAAGCGTGTAACATGACCATCGGGGTAAGGGTGTGATCGAGGCGTTCCGCGAATGAATGATCCGGTGAATTTCCTTCTTGGGACAGTTGACACCGAACTTCGCCTAATCCGGTGATGTTGTGTCGCACAGGGAGGACCCTCTGTGCTGGATGTATGGATCGTAAACCGATGACAAGAGAATCGGAACTCCGGTGTTGGATGACGTATGAGACTTGTTTGTACCGCCGCTTCTCCATGCCGATTGATGCACATGATACCCGGTTCTCACATGGTACAGCCACACACCGCGGTGACCTTGTTTACCCTTCAAGCCAAAATGAAAGAGTACTTGACGGCCCACAACACCTCCTCCACACCACCCACCTAACACCTCGCACATGTAATGACTGAGAGCAACTGACACAAAGAACGCACACGACCTGAATAAACAAAGCCCATCCCGCAGTGCTCCTTTCCTTCCCTTTCCCTCCTTTATCATCTGCCCCATCTCTCTCTCTTTCCTTCACTCACCCTGCCCTCATCTTCAACCCCTATCCTCGCGCTCTCTTATCACCCACCAACTCTATGAGCCTACCCCGCTACAAGGGCCCGTACGACGTCGGGCTCACTACCCTCGTCCTCCCGGTTCATCCTACGGCCTCCTATGGCAAGTGTCGTGTCAGGGGAGATGAAGCACTCAGGCTAGAGGAGGTCGCATTCAACGTCTTCTACCCTGCGAGACCCGCAAATCGCCGCAAGCGAGGAGTTCACTGGCTGGTTCGGTACGCCCCTCTCTGCTCATTTGCACTTTTGCTGACTTCATTTAGCCCTTTCTCCCTCACTGTGGAAGGTTACTCAAAGTTCGTTGGCTTTTCGACATGGATCCTCGGTAAGCCACCAATCTTATCACCACAAGTTCCCCTTGACAACCGTCACCAGCCCCCCTCTTTTTTCTCCTCGGCGCCTTCGCCAAGGTACGCCCTACCTCGTCACATGTGCATATTCACGCTCATATGTCCGCAGATGCCGGTGTTTGCCAACGCCCCCCTGAGGCAGGAAGAACCTTTCGAAGAAAGTCAGGAGAAGCGTCTCCCCGATTTTACTATTGATGAGAAGAAACAATGGCCCCTAGTGCTCTTTTCCCATGGTCTTGCCGGCGGACGGACGACATATAGCACTTTCTGTGGAAGACTGGCGAGTAGTGGATACGTCGTGCTTGCGCTGGAACATCGGGATGGCACCGGTCCGATGGTGTACCCGAAAGACAAGAATGGAGCTGTGTATGCGAAACCTTACTCAAGGGTGGACGAGGTGGAGTAAGTGCCTGGCCTTACACGCGCATATACGAAGCTGACATGCGCCCAGATGCCCCGATGTTGATGCGAAGGATCTCGCGCTCCATTTCCGTAGGACACAACTCGACTTCCGCAAGCGTGAGGTATACGAAGCCTACCGTGCTTTCCGTGCTCTCGTGGCTGGTGACAGTGCACACGGCGGCTTGCAGAGTATCGACGGCTCTCCTGTCGATTGGGACATGTTCGTCGGTACAGTTTGCGCCGAAGAGGATGTCGTACTCAGTGGGCACTCGTTTGGCGGCGCAACTGCCTTCCATATCATGTCCTCCCCGCCACCGGAAGGGTTCAACAATATCCCCATTTCAAGAAGTCTTGTCCTCGACCCATGGCTTGACCCACTGCCTAGTCCCGGCCCTAATCCTAGAACGGACGTGCCCAGGCCGAACCTCTGCGTCGTCTTGTCTGAACGCTTCACTCTCTGGAAAGCTCATTTCGCAAGGACGAGCGAGGTGGTCTCGAACTGGAGGAACGAGAAAGGCACTGAGAGTTGGCTGATGACCATTTGTCAGTCTTCCGCGTTATCCACGTCTGAAGCGTACTGATCTCGTTGTAGCTCGCTGTCGGCACGACTCGTTCTCAGATTTCCCACTTATAATCCCCTATTCACACCCTCGCGGCCGCCTGCTGCACAACGTCATTCAGCGGATCTCGCTCGCTTTCCTCACTGATCGACTAGAGCTCGAGTTCCGCAAAGACGAGCGCTACCCGCTGCACGTCATCCAGCCCCGTATTCGCAAGAAGCGCGGCAAAGCACGTCTCAGCGCACCTAAGGGCCGCGTCGTATGGCACGACTAATCATCATCACCACTAGTACTACCACCTGGAACCACTATCTTGTCTCAACACCAACTCACCTAGACCATACGTGTACCATATCGTAATCCTATCGCCCTGGCAGGGCAGCTAGTCTCTACATCGGATACTCGGCACATATTGTACAACCACCACACGCGCACAACACCACACACCCACGCTCACAAGAACACTCACGATCCTATCATATAATAATACCCTTTCGTTCGCACTTGCACTTGCACCTGCTTTTGTTCGGTAGTTTTTGACATTTGCGAAACCGGGATGACATACACGAGCGGAATGACATTGTTTTTCTATTATCTCATCGTTCCACCGACAGCTGTCCCCATTAGAGAACTAAGGCTGAAGCTATATTCGCCTCCAAAATTGAATTCCTCCCCCAGCCATCACAAGGCGCGTCGCACCGAGAAGCTAGCTCAAGCCGAGCATGCAGCGAGTCCACCGGGCAGGATGTGGTGTGCGTTGACGCAGAGAATAAATGTCACACTTGGTGTTTCCACCAGGTTTGTTATTGTGGTGGGATCGTATGCGTGTTTTGTTCGTGAGGTGGATGGGGATCCATCTTATCGATGACCATCAATGCAGGAAGTTGTCCACGGACGAAAACAAGATCCATAACTGTTGAATCTATACTTCATAATTGATCTGCCAAGTTAATGAACCGGAGACCGGAGGGATACATTGGCATTGCGCCCAAAATTAAGCGGCAGAAGACGGCGAGAGCTGCGCGAAGATAAAGTACAGAACAGGATCAAGCGCAGGTGAGTTCATTGACAGATACGTTCGCGTGGTCTGAACACTGCGGTTGAGATGGATGCGTGCGAATGATATCATCTGCACAAAGGTTGTGCTGGTGAAGTAACGTCGATATTCACCACAGTTACACCGTTACACCGTTCGCTCATCTTGCAGATCGGAATAATTGTCTTACGTGTATTACACTGTCCACGTTAACTAGTTGAACAAGTCGACACGAACTCTCAGTGAGGCGATAACTCCAAGTTGTGCTCTGAGTGCTCTTCAGGTGATGTCACAGTTGCTGACTTCTGTACGTCTGAGTAGAGTTCTTCGAGTTCTCTGCAGCGTCCGTCATATGGTTTGCCATGGTGATAACTGCGGCGGAAATCGATCAGGCATAAGGAGCCGTCTTTCCTCGCGAGGATGTTGCGTGGTGCCACGTCGCCATGCACGAATCCTAGTTTATGGATTTTCTTGACAAGAGTCAGCACATCCTGTGCCCTATTTACTGTGGTCAGGATGTTGATACATCAGTCGGTGTGGCATTACTCACCTTTCACCTATGTCCTGAATCGGGCTTCCCTCATAAGAGAGCACCAGCACCGAACGCAGTCCATCCCCGAACAAGCGGAAGCAACCCGGAACGGCACGGCCCCACCATGATCGAAGACCTTTGTAAACCTTGGCTTCCCGTTCCCGTTCCTCTAGACCTTCCTCTTCTTCCACCCATTTTGCGACAACATCTTTCCCATCCAATGTGCCTCTGAAGACATCACCTAATATACCAGTACCGATCACTTGTGTGAGACTGAGCGGGCCCCTCGTTGGCACCCCACGCGGCGTCCAATAGTGTCGCAGTTCGTAGATGTGGTCGAACAGATCGCTCATCTTCAAGACTGACCCGTTGTCAGAAATATCGGATGACAATGTTTCATCAGTTGCCGTTGCTTCGGTGGCTTTCTTTGGCCGGCCTCTTCTACTTTTCTGTTTTGTTTCGGCGACCTTGGCGAGCTGGTTGGCTTGGTCGATGCCGACTTTTGTGATTTTTTTTCACTCAACGGATGGTACAGGCAGCAACCTCATCTCATCTTCCTCAGACGGCGGGACCGACAGGAACATCGGAAGCGCCGGAGTGAAGACGTCCAGGATCTTCCTCTGGAGATCAGAGGGGATGTTGTCCCACTCTGCTTTCGCCCTCGTTGTTCTCTCTACAGCGATTCGCAAGAGCTGCAGTCCAATCCATGCTGGAGCGCGTCGTTCCTGATTTTCACAAACCTCGTTCAGTCGACAATTGCGTCCATCAGCTCAAATAGACATACATAAACAGGATTGCCGATTGCCATATCTGCCATTGAAGTACGAATGCAGGGCAAAAGCGCGCATCGGCTTGCAATCATTCCCCACGAACATGTGCTAACAAGATAGGACCATTCCTTGTTAACAATCAGCCCGACGGCATGAGCCAAAATAAACTAGGGACACACTGGTATAAACATCTTCTCTGCTCCGTTCAGAGGTTGCGGGGAGCCACCGGGCCACACGTATACGCCTTCGCCAAGGTACTTCGTCGGGTAGCGAAAGTTGAATGAAACGCGTTCCATACTATGAGCGAGGTTATCTTGCCCGGGGAGATTATGAGCCGCTTGTTCGAGCAACCGCAGATCCCTCATGGCGACTTCGAACGGTTCAGGGCGTTTGTCCTTTTCAGCGGAGATAGGCGTGTCTGTTTCCGCGGCCACCATGGCTACGACGCGGTCGATCGACTTCCTTTCTACTGCGGCGTATTGGACTTCATACTTACACCGGCACTGGGTAAACAGTTGTAGGAGGGATATTCCGGGTTGTACGATGTACGCGTTGTTCCACGTAGTATCCGCCTGTTTATTGGGCGATTGAGTCATCGGCTCTATGCCGAGCGCAATTTCTGGTGCCCAGCAGTGGCGCAGGTTGACAAGTTCGTGAATTGGAATGTTGCTTGGGCGAGTCTTGTCAAAAAAAATCGGCGATTTCTAACGTGAAGGCTGCAAGGCTGTCGAGTACTGCATACCGAGAGACCCTAAGAAGGGGGGTTCTTGGTCTGATGTCGCTCAATGCTGGGGATCTTGTACCGGTGTGGAGCGGGCGGAGTGGCTTGGATCTGATTGGTTGTGCCGGAGATGCTGGGGGTTCTGCTAACAGCAGTTCCACTAACGTAGGGGCTTGTGCACCGCTTGGATGGTGCCAGACGACGAGTGGGGCGAAATAGAACTTTCGACCTGTGATATAGTGGACGTAGTGGCATACCGAAGGTGCTGTTGGGTAGCCGCACGAGTAACTGAAAGGAACTGAGCATCATGATGGTGACTCTCGAGACGCACTAGCTATCAGGCTGTCCCTGGCATGGGCATTGTGGACGTGGCTATTGGTGCTGAATCCATCAAATTGTTTGTCCCCAACAGTTCCATGTAGTGGGTATGCAATAATGGAGCCATAGTGGTCGAGAAGCTGGAAAGGAGGACATGTGAAGCATGGCGCGTGATACTTCCTCCGGAGCCGAGACAATTCTTCCGATAAACACCCAACACACAGGCAGAGGTCTTTTAGCTCCAGGCTTTCATTCTTCTTCGATGGACTTTACTAAAGATTCTGATCCGGGAGGAGTCAAGGCACTACTAGCACAACTGAGGAGTTCCCAGGCATTTCAGCAGGTGTCGAAGGCCAACGCGGACGTGCCGAGATGGCAAGCTGAAACTGTTGTGGATGGAATGCCTCATCATGCGCCTCTTGTGGAACAGGAAAGGACATCGCAGAGCCCAGTTGCTGCCTTATTAGCAAGGCTCAGACCGAGCGGACCTCACGTGGCGGCAGAGGGCAGTGATTTAGGTCGGATAGAGAGGAGCGAGAAGAGCGTGGAAAAGGAGGAAGAGCAAGCGAGAGTGTCTCCAGCCAAGAGGGATTACCGGCACATGACGGTACAACAGGCGCTACCCCAGCTATATGAGCTCTCCGGAGACCCGGGGTTTTTGAGCACATTCAAGAAGGTGCGTCTTGATCTACAATTATGAGAGGAAGAATAACTGAATTGACGGACGCGGAGTGCAGATGAAGGGAGACCAGGATCGGTTGGAGCAGAAACTGTGGGACGAACGGGCAATGCTTGTTCGGAAACATGAAGAGAAGCTGAAAAATGCTAGAGGAAAGTGGGTGCGATTTTGATGCAACATGAATAGGTGTTTATTAGGTTTAGGGCTGCGCTCATACGCGCGAGCGGGAGTTTGCTGCAGGAGGAGACGGTGCGTCCCATCGTCTCGGTATCTTGTACGACTCATGATCCCGCAGAAACTCAAGCAAGCCATGGAAATGGAGCTGACCGCATTCTACGAACGTACTGTACTTCCTGAATGGGATGACCTTGTGGAGCGACAACAAGATACGCTGGAGAAGTTGTATGTCCCTACGATGTTCAGGACAGGGGTTGAGACGGACCGTTCCCGGCAACAAAGAATCGTTGAAATGTTAGAAGGCATTGTGGCCGAAGGAGACGGGGAGTGATTATGTCCAATTACTAATGTGTTTTATGTGTAACCTGATCCCCCAAGCAATATATACCGATTAGTACAAATATGATATCCAAACTTCAAATCTCAGAGTTGTTGATACGATGATAAGCCCGAGTCATGCCGTGACGCCTCGGCTCCGCTGAAGGAAGAGCGCTTGAGCGCCACAGCATATATTTCACCACACGACGTTGATCTCTTGCAATTGGACTCACACCGCACTACCTGAACAAAACACAAACGTACCTGCACACGATAATAGAACCAAGGAGAAAGGCACATGCCTCCGAAATTCGATCCATCCGATCCAGCTGTAGTACAGCTTATAACGCTGTTCGACTCCCTCGGACTTAGTCCCAGCAAGTCCCTCGAGACCGCCAAGAGTTCGAAGAACGCCGCCCAGCTCAAGGAGCTAATTATTGCTCATGGTTTGGAAGGAAAGAATCTTGAGGAGAAGAAGGCACTACTTGTTGCTGCTCTTGCTGCGCAGGGTACGTACCTAGGATCGGAGGCGAAGGCATATGTGATCGACAAAGTACTGGAGGGGAAGCTGGAACGTGGAGATCAGCTCACTGCCGCCGTGAAGTACCTCGCACAGCACCAGCTCACTGCTACCATGAATTACCTCGAGCCGCACCGTGGAGCGATAAATGAAGCGGAGTTTGATGCAGAGTGTGGTGTAGGCGTGGTCGTTACTCCTGATCAGGCCGAGCAGCTTGTGCTCCTCTATCTTGCGGAGAACGCGTCGGCCATCGAGGGATGGCAAAGCTTTAGCGCTACTCTCATGAAGCTCAAGGCTACCCCAGAATTGCGCTGGGCCGCTACCCTCGATGTGAAGAATGCAACGGAGGCGGCGTTCCTGAACAAGTTCGGACCGAAGGTATCGGTCAATCCCAAGGACATGAGGAAGGCTGCTGCATCGAAGACCGCGACACCCGGGAATGTCACACCTACTGCCAGTGATTCAAGCTCGGGCATAGTGGCATTGAGCTCGGAGAAGACTGTGTTCGAAGAAGGCTTTCTAGGAAGGCTTCATAAACCTGGCGGCAACCCCCAGCTCAATGGGGCTTTAAGGGAGAAGCACCTCAAGACTACAGGAGGTCAGGTGTGGACTCGTTTCCCACCCGAACCAAACGGATACCTGCATATCGGCCACTCTAAAGCGATTTTCGTCAACTTCGGATATGCGGCACACTTTGGCGGAAAGTGCTATTTGCGGTACGACGATACCAACCCAGAGGCAGAGGAGCAGCAGTACTTTGATTATATCCTCGAGATGGTCCGATGGCTGGGCTACGAGCCGTGGAAGATCACCTACTCCAGCGACTACTTCCAGAGACTGTACGATCTTGCGGTGGATTTGACCAGGAGGGACAAAGCGTATGTATGTCATTGCTCTGGTATGTTCACACCCGTCACTCTGCCTCACCATCTAACTGGTATACAGCCGAGAAGATATTTGCGGATCGAGGTGGAGAAGAGCGTGGACCGCGGAAGGCGTGCGAACACCGAAATCGGCCAATCGCAGAGTCTCTGGCAGAATTCGAGGGCATGCGAGATGGCAAGTACAAACCGGGAGAGGCAATTTTACGAATGAAGATGGATTTGGAAGACGGAAATCCTACGATGTGGGACACAATCGCATACCGTGTCCTTAATGCGCCGCATCATCGTACTGGCACCACATGGCGCATATATCCAACTTATGACTTTACCCACTGTCTCTGTGATAGTTTCGAAAATATCTCGTACGTCTGCAATGCCGATGTAATACGTGCCGTCGCTGATGGATATACCAGGCATTCCCTTTGTACAACCGAATTCATCCTCTCCCGTCAGTCATACGAGTGGCTCTGCGACGCCCTCGAAGTATACAAGCCTAAGCAGTCCGAGTATGGTCGCCTCAATATCCAGGGCACCGTTATGTCGAAACGTAAAATTCTCAAGCTGGTCAAAGAAGGTCACGTCAGTGGTTGGGACGACCCCCGTCTATATACCCTCATCGCCCTACGCCGTCGTGGTATTCCACCCGGCGCTATCATCTCTTTCGTCAGTGGCCTCGGAGTCTCAACTTCACCCTCCAACATCCAGACCGTTCGGTTTGAACAGGCCATTAGGCAGTATTTGGAGAATTCCGCTCCGCGCTTGATGATGGTGCTGAAACCATTAAAAGTCACGCTCGAGAATGTGCCGGAAGATTACGTTCTTATGATTGAGAAGCCTCTGCATCAGAAGGTACCAGAGTTGGGAACTAGCAGCGTCCCCTTCACCCGAACATTGTACATTGATGCGGAAGATTTCCGCCTGGAGGACTCGAAGGACTACTTCCGCCTCGCACCTGGCAAGACTGTCGGCTTATTCCAGGCTCCTGCTCCTGTCACCTGCACGAGATATAGCATTGATCCAGTCACGGGAGAAGTAGCTGAGCTGTTCTGCACACTTGGGGAGAGTAATTCCACATCGAACAAGCCTAAAACCTTCATCCAGTGGGTGGCCGACCATCCCGCCTCGGGCAGTCCTATACGCGTCGATGAGACGCGTATTTTCCACCAGCTATTCAAAAGCGACGATCCTGCTGCGACTGAAGACTTCATCGCGGATGTGAATCCCAACAGCCTGGAAGTGGTGGAAGGTGCTTTCATAGAAGTTGGTTTCTGGCCCCTTGCCAAGAAGGCGATTGGAGATGCCCGCAAAGACAGTGAGGCGAGACTGAAGGCCGCAGCGACTTCCGGTAGTGAGCCTGCGAAGGAAGCATCACCAGTAGGAGCTCTACACGACGCACATAATCAGCCCGTGGCGAGCGTTGAGCAGCTCGTGGGTAATGAATGTGTGCGCTTCCAGGGCTTGCGTGTTGGCTATTTTGCGGTTGATAAAGACGCGCAGCTAGGATGTCTCACGGAGGGTGACGCGCCGAAGCCTGGGTCGCGTCCTGGGGATGTTGTGATCCTGAACCGCATTGTCACCCTCAAGGAAGACTCAGCCAAGAAGGCTTCGTAGAGCGCAAGGTGGTTGATGCAGGTAAATTACGCGTCGAGATTACATTTTAGACCGTGTTGATGTATGCATGTTGGCTGTAATGATGTCACAATACCGTTAACCTAAATGTGTCTGTGCGGTTCGAAGCGCGTTCCAGTGATACTTCCGCTGACCACAGACCCCTTCTACACGGCGCTTCCTTTTGCCTCGTTTCTTTCGTCCCCAACCCTTTCTTTTCGTGTAGACCTTGTAAGTGCACGGTTTCGACGTGTCTTTACCTCTTGGGTATCGCTCTCTGACTCAACCTCGCCCCGAGCAGCTTTTTTGCCCTCTTGATCTAGTCTTGTCTGCTCTGTCATCATGAGAGAAGTCATTTCTATCCACGTTGGTCAGGCTGGTGTGCAGGTGAGCTCTAATGCAATTGTATCGAGTGCATATACTAACCGGCTTCTGTATAGATTGGTGCGTTCATTATCACCCGCGACCCTGTCAGGAGATTAACAAGCTGGAATAGGAAATGCATGCTGGGAGCTGTACCTGACGGAACACGGCCTCTCGGTGAGTGCACGCATACGCATGGAAGTGAGGCATATATGCTTATTTAATACCCTGTAGCCTGATGGCCGTCTCCAAGCCAATTCACCTTCGTTGAATGATGATGGCTTCAGCACATTCTTCTCCGAGACTGGCTCTGGCAAACATGTGCCTCGCAGTCTGTACGTGGACCTGGAGCCAAACACCATCGACGCCGTCCGCACCGGTACCTACAGAACTCTCTTCCATCCTGAGACTCTTGTGAATGGCAAGGAGGATGCGGCCAACAACTGTGCGCATATGACAAAATAATATGTTACAATTGCAGGCTAATCACAATCCAGACGCTCGTGGTCACTACACTGTCGGCAAGGAGCTGGTAGACACCGTCCTTGACAAGGTTCGCCACCTCGCCGACAACTGCACTGGCCTTCAGGGCTTTTTCATCTTCCACTCTTTCGGTGGTGGTACTGGCTCTGGCTTCGGTGCTCTCCTCCTTGAGCGTCTTTCTACCGACTATGGCAAGAAGTCCAAGCTCGAGTTCTGCGTTTACCCCGCACCAAAGATGGCGACGTCTGTTGTTGAACCTTACAACTCCGTCCTCACGACTCATACCACCCTTGAGCACTCTGATTGCTCTTTCATGGTCAGTCTTTTTCAACTAGTTCCAGACTTTTCTGATTTACTCTTGTTCTGCAGGTTGACAACGAGGCTATTTATGATATCTGCCGCCGGAATCTCGGTGTCCAGGCTCCTAGCTACACAAACCTGAACCGGCTTATTGCCCAGGTTGTCTCCAGCGTCACTGCTTCCCTTCGTTTTGATGGCAGCCTCAACGTCGACCTGAACGAATTCCAGACTAACCTTGTGCCCTTCCCTCGTATTCACTTCCCTCTGGCTACTTACGCTCCTATCATCTCTGCGGACAAGGCGCATCATGAGCAGAACTCCGTTGCGGAGATGACCTCGTCTTGCTTCGAGAGTGGTAACCAGATGGTCAAGTGCGACCCGAAGGACGGCAAGTACAGTCAGTATTGCGATTATCTTCCATTGAATATGTGCTGATTGCATATCAGTGGCTTGCTGCCTGCTCTACCGTGGTGATATCGTCCCGAAGGATGCCAACGCCGCCGTTGCCACCATCAAGACAAAGCGCACCATCCAGTTCGTCGATTGGTGCCCGACTGGCTTCAAGCTTGGTATCTGCAATGAGCCTCCCGCGTATATCCCCGGCGGCGATCTTGCAAAATGCTCCCGCTCTCTTTGCATGCTTTCCAAGTACGAGTGCCTTATATTTGAAGTATTACAAGCTGACGGCGATTAGCACAACGGCCATTGCATCCGCTTGGGCTCGTCTCGACCACAAGTTTGATCTTCTCTACTCTAAGCGTGCCTTCGTTCACTGGTACGTTGGTGAGGGCATGGAGGAGGGTGAATTCTCTGAGGCCCGCGAGGATCTCGCCGCCCTGGAAAAGGATTATGAGGAGGTCGGCAACGACAGCGCTGAACTCGAGGAGGAGGCTGAATACTAAACGTACTGCGACGGCTTAAATGATTTCCCTATTACGCGCTTTCCATACATATACCTTTCTTTGAATGCCAGCCCAATATGAGTTATGATTTCCTTAACACTACCAAACGATGAAATATTCAATGCTTTTAGACTGCTACATACCGAAGAAAAACCCTCAGAGGAGTCACGTGGTCTTGAGATGCTGCGATGCACGTATGGATCCGCGCCACCATTATCGCGGTTTAGTAGTTAGTCATCCACCACCACCATGTCTACAGACGCCGCTTTACTAGCTGAAATAGCTAAGCTGAAAGGCGCGATCAACCAGCACAAGTCAAATCAGCAACACCAACCAGCGATACGTAGTTATCCAACTAGGGGAGGCTACGGTTTGCGCAGATCATACAGGGGCGCTTATCGACCACCATATGCTGTACCCAGGCCACCAGCAGCCGAAGAGAAAGAGGTTGTAATAGGAGGTGTAGCATACATCACAGATGGGAAGAAGATGACAAGAAAAGATGGTGTGCCCTGCTTTTTCCAGTCTCTTATGTTTGCTCAATCTTCACAGTTGTGAATCGGCCAGTTCAAAGGGCTCCGTCAAGACCAGGTTCTGTAGGGTCACCATCAGCAATAGGATCGGATTATGTATCTCTGGATATGGATGGAGGCGAGATCAAGAAGCCATCTGCAGTGTCACAAAGCGATCTGACAGCTAAGAGGACACGATTGAACAATTTGACTCTGATCTTGAATAAGGCTCAAGCTGAACGGTCAGTCTATGTTCACAGTCGCGAAAATCACTTTCTAACGAGTTCAGATATCGTCGTCGTCAACCATCTGCCACCAAACCGGGGAGGGAGAAAAAACAATGTCCCTTCTTCACGAGGACTGGTTTGTCTCGTCTCGTCTCTAATTCTGCATTTTGTGCAGGACTCACATTCTCCCCTATTTGTTTAGGTATCTGCACTCGAGGTCGTACATGTCGCTATCAACACGATCCCGAGAAGGTCGCCATGTGTCCCAAGTGGCTTAAGGGGGATTGTCCAAATGGAGACAGTTGCCCTTTGTCTCATCAGCCGACGCCTCAGCGAATGCCCTTTTGTGTTCACTTCGCCAACGCGGGCCGTTGCAAGAATGGAGATTCTTGCATGTACCCTCATGTGCATCTAGGTGCTACTGCTGGTATCTGCCGAGATTTTGCTGTTTTGGGCTACTGTGAGAAAGGCGCGGACTGCGACAAGAAGCATGTTCGGGAGTGTCCTGATTTTGCAGATACTGGAGTTTGCAAAAATCGGCACTGCAGGCTTCCACATGTCATTCGGGCAAAGCATGCGGCTAAGGCCAAGGATGCTGAGGATGATGCAGCTGTGGTGTCTGCTGGACATCCAATCTCTACGGGCAAGAGGAAGGCCGACTTCGAGGATATTTTGGACCAAACACATGGAGCCAAAAAGCAGAAAGTTGACGAGAGTTACGCATCTTTTGCTGACGAACCAGAGTTCATACCCTTGACATTTGAGGAGAGTGAGGAGGACGAAGAACCTCAGGAAGGAGAAAGCGAAGAGGATACGGACGAGGATGAGGAAGATGATGCGGACAATGTGGAAGAGGAAGATGATGATGTGCACGACGATGCAGATCTTGTCATAAATGCCTGATGATTTCCCACTTGACAGCACAAGAATACCCTTTATCTAACAAGAGAATGACATACATGTTGTAATGTGTAAATAACTGAGCGCCGGAACTGCAGCCTTGTGTTCTTACACGTAAACAACCTTGACTATGAAATGGGCTCCCTACAATGGTTGGCCTGAATCTCCACGACTCCTCATTCCCCGAGTCTCCTACCCGAACCTGGGTACCTCCGAGCCCTCGCACCTCCTGGCATCTGTTGCATTCCGTAAGGTGGGGGGAGATCCTCTCCCTCGTCGTCGCCGTCAACAGCCATACCTTCTCCAGCGTCATTCATGTCTTCATCATTCAGTCCAAGTTCGTTATGTTCCCGTATAGCATCCTGCGCGGACAAATTGCCGGGCATAGTTATGTTCGGGACGGGCTGGTGCAATACGTCCGGTACGGGGCGCATAGACGGCGTCGCAGGTGCAGGGGGAGAGGTGAACAAAGGTGACGTGGACCCAGAAGCGTCCACAGCTCGTGCCGCAGCTGCCTCGTTCTTGTGCTGTTCGAGTTGGCCCCTGCGCTTCACGTCTCTCCGGTCTTCTTCAAATGCTTGCATCGCCTAAACCAGAATACATGAATGTGAGTGATGAGTCAAAACCAGAACCGGAGGACGAACCTTCTGGACCGCAGCCTCTTTGGCAGCTTTGGCGGCTTTGAGAGCCTCAGCTGTGCGTGCTTCTTGGATATCCCGATTTAGGGTCACTTCCCTGATTATCTCCGCACCTATGCGCAGACTCGTGAGCCTTGCGGGGGTGGGATGGAAGATGTAGACAGGTTGGAGGTCTTGCACATCTAGTCGGAACCCGAGCTGTGGGAAGGTGTCAACGCATCGGGAATGAAATACCCACTGGAGCGCACCTCGACTGCATATTCTAGACCTCCCTTCACGTCTACGAGCGTTCGCTTAATGGTTTTGTTTGTGGTCTTAAATAACTGGAACTTGGGGTTCTCAGGATCATTGGCTAAGTTGTCCGACAACGTGAGCAGGGTCTGTCAGCGCCCACATCAGCATGAGTGTAATTTAGAAAGTGAGCAAGCTAACATGAAAGCACGCCGATATCGCTCTCGGATCGTTGTGCTTTACGATCCCAGGATCGATCAGCCTTCGAAAGCGCTGGCGCATCTCATGGTTGTCTTCATGGTAGGCCTTGTGCAGAGGCTCTTCTGCAGCTGCTGCCGCGGCACGCACCTGGGCGGCGAGGAGTGCGTCTGCTCGAGACGAGGAGGATGTAGACATGAGGATGGTGTAGAGAGATTGTCGGACTGATTATGGTGGGTATGAGCTGTGATACCAATAGAGTGTTAGGGTAGCCGCTCTTACATGGGCCTCTGACTCCTTCTGCGGTGGCGAGAACGTGAAAGGAGCTGTTGATGTGACAAGATGATCACACTTACAATAATATCACTATTTCATTTTAGTCTCTTCTCATCAACTTAGTATCACTGCCCTCTATTCATTAATTTGCATATATTTCGACAGTCTCTCCTCAAGGTTTGTGATTTGGGCTCTGATGCGATCGCCGGGTATCACGTTCAGATCGCGGGTCTGACCAGTGGCTAGGAGTAGACCCGCCACCCAGACCCAAAAGGGCTGACGTCTTCGGTGCGCAGCCCCTTAGGAGCACGCGCATACATCCCCCCAAACCTCCTGTTCAGACGACCAAGTCCCCCTCCTTGCCAACCCTTCACCCTTTTAATCCCCACCCTCATCTGCTCATCTTAGCACCTTCTCTCCCTCCTCTCCCTCCTTAACCATCACCCACCGCAGAGCGCGTGCATACAACATGCATCTCTCAACTCTCCTTCCCTTCTTGTCCCTTCTGGCCATCCCCACGGATGCGAAGGTGCACCGCATGAAGATCAACAAGATGGCCCGCACGGCCGCTTCCTTCCAACAGGACCCCAGTCTCGAGTCCGCCTACCTTGCTGAGAAGTACATGTCGCGTGTGCAGCTGCCGATGGGCTATGGTGGGCCGGCTGGCAAGGTTTCTGAGGGTGTCCATCGTGACAAGGACCTCTACTGGACTCAGGATACCACCATCCAGGGATCACATGGAGTGCCCTTGACCGATTTCATGAATGCGCAGTACTTTGCCGAGATCACTCTCGGTACCCCTCCCCAGACTGTATGTTGACCATGCTGTACGATCGATATATGCGCCTGACTCGCCCTTCTACAGTTCAAAGTTGTCCTTGACACTGGCTCCTCCAACCTCTGGGTGCCTTCTATCAAGTGCACTTCGATCGCTTGCTTCCTTCACCAAAAGTACGACTCAGCCGCCTCTTCCACTTACAAGAGCAATGGGACCGCCTTCGAGATCCACTACGGCTCCGGCTCCATGGAGGGCTTCGTTTCCAACGACCTGCTTACCATCGGCGATCTTCAGGTTCAGAAGCTGGACTTTGCTGAGGCCACCAAGGAGCCCGGCCTTGCCTTCGCCCTCGGCAGGTTCGACGGCATTCTCGGTCTTGCCTACGACACCATCTCCGTCCTCCACATGACCCCCGTCTTCTACCAGATGATCAACCAGAAGCTGCTCGAGAACCCTGTCTTTGCCTTCCGTCTCGGCAACTCAGACGCTGACGGTGGAGAGGCTACCTTCGGTGGCATTGACGAAAGCGCATACACCGGTAAGATCGACTACGTGCCGGTGCGTAGAAAGGGTTATTGGGAGATCGAGCTCGACAAGATCTCCCTCGGCGGCGAAGATCTTGAGCTCGAGAGCACTGGTGCCGCCATCGACACCGGCACTTCCCTTATCGCTCTTCCTTCCGATATCGCTGAGATGCTCAACAAGGAGTGCGTTGTGATTTGGTTTCTCAAATGACTCCTTACTAATTCCCACTTAGGATCGGCGCGACTAAGTCCTGGAACAACCAGTACACTGTAGAGTGCAGCACTGTCGATTCACTGCCTGAGCTCACGTTCTACTTCAATGGCAAGCCCTACCCTTTGTCCGGCCGCGACTACATCCTTGAAGCACAGGGAACTTGCATCTCCTCCTTCACCGGCCTGGATATTCCTCCCCCTCTCGGTCCCATCTGGATCGTTGGTGACGTCTTCCTGAGGAAGTACTACTCTGTTTACGATCTCGGTCGTAATGCCGTTGGCCTTGCTAGCGCCGCTTAAATTATGCCTCTCCTTGTAACTGAAACTGTTTCTGACTGCATACGTTTCGTGTACTTCGTTGTCGCGTCGGATGCCTTGCGAGTCCTATCACTTAATGCCCGCCTCCATTCTTTCAATGCCCACTCCTGTCGGTAGCATTCTGTAGTAATCATGCAATTGAACGTGCTTGCCGGTCACATCGGCCGCATGTTATTGTTCGTGAAGTATGTCAGGCGGCGTCTTTTGGTGGCACATCAAAGGGGCCATAAACAACAGCTCAACAAGGGACATCATTCTTCGAAAATCTCAAGGACAAGAAAAGACGCAGACTAATTTAGTTCCTGACAACGTAAGACATCCCGTGGAAGAAATCACATTGCGTGCTAGCGTCCCAGTCATGGACAACACCGATCTGCGTATAGTTCACCTGCATAGCAGGGAAGTTGAAGCTCGTCCCATTGTTGTACGACGGCCAGTTGGGCTTGTCCATCCCCGAGTAGCTGACAGCGTTCGGGTCCGAGTGGGTGTTAAAAGAGAGGTACCAATATTTCATGTACGCTCCGATGGTGGCGTTGTATCCCGTGGTTGCTTTTGGTGAACGTTAGAGCAGCTTTTACAATGACATGCAGGCATACCATTAGCGGAGAGCGTATTGTACACGGATCCACCTGTCGCACCATGAAGTTCAGTTCCCGCATAGAACATGAGCTTGTACGCCGGCAACCCTGCATCAGCAACAGCGGCATAAGTGCGTCGTCGGGCTGAGAGCCATGATTGCTACCTTCGGTATAACCTATGAACAAATATGGTTAGGCGTTGTTCGCGAAGAAATTTCAAGGAAGGACCCACCGCCTCCATGAATCATAAGCAAGATGGGAAGCTTGCTTATTTTTTCGGGTGTGCAGGGGCTTGAATGTTCAGCAGCAGACAATCCTCTTGACCAGCGGGTGGGAAGGTGAAAGTGCCGTTCGGGCTGGACCAATAGGGTACACCTTGGGTACACTCAGGCCTACACAGGACTGTTCAACCTAGGCACATATGGAATAAGTATGAGAACAAACCCAAGCACGGTTGCATTCATCGCGCCCATGCTGGCATAGTTGTTCTTCTTTTCAATGTCCTGCGGCGGTATCCAACGAAGTGCACCAGTTGGTGGCTGAGAACTATTAACGTATGGAAGTCAAACTTTGGCATAAGGGCACAGACCTGGGCATATCGGATGCCATACCAGCTGTTCATGCTGTCGTAAGATAAGAAGTCAGCCTTGAGGGCGCCGAAGTCAATGACGTACTCCGAAGCAGAGGTGTACATGCCTTCATATTGAGCATAGCTCAAGTTCAACAGGGGCCCACGCCACGCAGTGACAGCCAGAGGAAGAAGAAGGAGACGCAGAGAGTATAGGCCATAGAAGGAACAAGTGGATGACGAGATGTTGACACTGTTTCCTTCAACGAGTCCGGCTGGTTGGTTATCAACACAGTTCCTGTTCATATTTATACCCCGACAGCCGAGTTTAGAAGAGGACAATGGTATAGACATCCGTGTGGAGTGTGCTCAATGTTCAATACCTTCTGGACGTCCATGGTGGACTGTGTCGTAAAGAAAAAGCCGTGATTGAAAACGTAGATGCTCGTTGACTGAGGTCAGCCGATACTGACCGGTAAGTATAGGAGACACGAGCATCGTCAAGTGATATTAGCGCAGGAAGAGATGAGCTATAAGGAAGGTTAGAAAATGTTGTATTTGCGGCCACTTGCGACCTAGTATGGTAATGTTGAACATCCCGTGAGACCATGACGGGGATACTCGGAACTGAAGAAGTGAATCTCCTCACTTTGAAGCTGGAGAAGATCGATCGTACCGTGATACCAAGTGGAGGAAACCTTCGAGTCCGGGGTTGTTGAATGGTAAGAAGCATGAATGTACCTGGAGGTGCCAGTGTGCTGTCAATGGGCGCTCTGCCTCCGGCGCCAGTTAGGGAGCATCGCGCATGGGACCCGACGAGGTCGCATGGCTCGAGAATACGACACATTTTGACTTCTCAACTTTCCCCTTTAATAAGAGCTTCAGTTAACTGCAATGTGGGGAATTGAATGGTCGAAAAGGTCGGGAAGAAGTCAACGGAAGACAGCTAGACAATGGTGATGCGTTGGGTCAAGAGATCATCCTGTGCCGGTAATATCAAGAGAGCTCGGTTCATTCAAAGGGCTAGTTGGACCGACAAAGTCGTAGAAATCCCAGTGCCCCATACAGTTCTAGGACCGAATGCGGAGAAAACCAAGACACGACAGAGAGATCAGGTGGCTCAAGTTTGTTCCGTGGCGAAACACTCGATGGCACTTCGAAGTTGACAGAAGCCAAGGACTCAAGGAAGCCCAGATCGAGCAAAGTGGAGGATGTGTCCTAAAACAAAAGATGTAAACCACGAGAGCTGAAACTGAGCACGCTGTGTGGGTACCACTTGCAAAGGGACGAGAAGGTGATACGTAAACACAAGCCGTGTGATCATTGCTTCTCCATCGCCACTATCAGGTAGTATTGAAGGGATGGCGAAGTACGTGGACGCACCTGATGTGTCCCTTGAATACAATTATCAAGTAGATAACCGAGTCTTGCGATCCTTAGATATCAAAGGCCGGTTCCAAGCCATATCTGAACGTTCCCCAGGCGATAGGACACCTGGCTTATCTCGGATATCACGGAAGAATACCTTGAAATCCTTGCAAATTCGGTCACATGGCGCAGCACGGCGGTGACTGTGGTGAAGTCGATGAAACATAGAGGCCCATGGTTATGTCCCGTGGTGCCACGTGGCGGAGTACTGTGCCCAGTTCATGGATCTTCTTTTGAGAACAGTCGACGCCCTCTGTGCCCTATTCACTAGGTGATGAGCACGGTGATAGATCAGCTCGACTGGCTTTGACGCACCATGCACTTATGTGCTGAGTGGAGCTTCTTTCATAAGAAAGGACCAGTACAGAGCGCATCCATCATCTTCGGACAAGCCCAAGCAAATTGGTATTGGGATAGCTTTCGCCTAGAACAGAGTGCTAAAATCGACTAGAGCTTCCTTGGCGAAGATGGGAGCGACGGAAAGTAGAAAAGTAGATGCGCGAAGACCTCCAAGATGTTCATCTGGAGATCTGACGGAACATCATCCATTCCCCTTTCGCCCCGCTGTCCACAGCCATTTGCAAAGATAGTAGTCCCGAACATGCTGGAAGGCATCGTTCCTAATTTTCCCAAGGGTAATTCAGCGTGAGAGGGTTCATTGACCAGTAGATGCATACAGACACAACATTTCTGATTGTGAGACCTGCCAGATCAATGTGAAAGCAGAACAGGAATGAATGCCGGCTTGCGATTGCTCCCCATCAACATACACTAACGAGGTCAGCCCATTGCATGTTAGCAATGGCCCAAACAGCCAGCTGAAGTTAACTTGTCCGAAGAGGACTGGAGAGGTCAATCGGTCCATAGAGATCGATTGATTTGTTTGCTGGGGGTGCGGCCATGACGCGTCCTGGTTCCTGAGCACGTGTGCGCTGATGGTGGACTGCGGTGTGAACGTTGTTGCTGGTCGCGCCCACTAGTAGAACATCTGTTTAAACCGAATGAACGCTGCTCGACGCTGAGGATATCGTGGAATCAACGCAGTTGTACTGGATATAATGTCTTTCCAGCATGAAGGTCTTGGCCCCACGTTCGCCCGGGCTGATCCACACAAAATTGACATCCAGCGGGACGTGAAACTCCCAAGGTAGACACCACAACAAACCTGCAGGCTGTGTTGATCAGCACAGCTCTCTAACCCGACCTATTTGGATCTTGTACATTACGAAATTGATCAGGGCTCGAATACTTTCGTGGGCAGCTTTCTCCGGGAAGAAATGGCCTGGTTGGTGCTCAAACGACGGGTCATGGAGTTGAAATCAGAAGTCAAGATCAGATTGGGCCTGCGCACCTCAATGCTCAAAGCCGTGGAACTGGCACGGTACAACGTACGCGTATGTGGCCCTCAAATTGATATAAATATCGCCTGCTGAAGGTTACACAGGCTATACTACTCGTCCGATTTCGTCCCGTATAATCCCCGTGAGTTTCTCTCTAAATCAATATCTCAGTTGATCACTGATCATCGTCCAGTCTCTGGAAATCGTCGCGCTACATCACACTCATGCCGGTCGTCGATGTACCTGGTGCCTCCCTATTCTACGATAGTCGAGGCAGCGGTTCCCTGTTTCTCTTGATCCCGGGCGGTCATGGCACTGGAGATGTTTACCACTCGACCGCTGCGATTTTGTCCTCGAAGTATATGGTTGTGACCTACGACCGCCGTGGCTTCTCGCGTTCAATACTCAATGGGGAGCAAGACTACTCTATTCGCCTAAGGACCGATGTCGACGACGCCTATACACTAATCAAGCACCTCTCATCCGACGGAACGGCTGTGGTCTTCGGGTCCAGTTCGGGTGCTATAGTCTTGCTGTATCTGCTGCTTAAGTATCCCGAGGCCATCCGCACCCTGATTTCGCACGAGCCACCAGCTTTCGACTTGTTGCCGGATAAGGCGGACTGGATCAAGTTTCAACAGTCGCTCTATGACACGTACAAGACGGAGGGGCTACACCCCGCATTCGATCGATTCATGGATCGCATTTCCGGTGGAATGGAATTGAAGTTTTACAAGCAACGTGAAGCCATGCTTACCGAGGAGGAGAAGAAAGACACGAGCAGTCAGGAAGCGAAGAATCAGATTTACTGGTTCGAGCACGAGCTCAGGCATTACCCGCCTGTCACAATCGACGTTGATGCCCTTGTTCAGCACAGCGAAGCTCCTCTTGGCAGTTGGAACTGATTCAAAAGACTCGTTCGTTTATCGGCCTACCAAGAACCTTGCAGACAATCTTGAGTTGTCTGTCCTTGACCTGCCGGACGGACACGTTCCTTACACCTATGCCGCCGAGCCCTGGACACAAGCGCTCATCGAGGCACTTGAGAAGAATGATGTCTAAGTTTCTCCGCCGCGTAGAAAAGATTGTTGCTCACAGACGATGTTGCTTGTCTTGCCTGTCTCTCCACGAATAGAATACTCTGCGATGAATTGTGGGTTTTATTCCCGCTTGCCTCCAGCCTGTCGGGGATTGTGCAGGGTGTCTACGACCAAACGCCCGCACCAGCAAACGGGCGTTTGTGGACACGCCCCTAATGTTGCGCAGTTATCAGATGCTCCCTGGCCGCGTGACAGCGTCAGCGGGCCGTATACATCCTCCATAGTATAAAGATTGGCGCCCTCAAACCCTCAAACCAGACTCGCCCCTGAGACCAAATTTGTTCCAGCTATCGTGTGTATGTCTCTTCTTCACGTTTTCAGTTCATTGATTGCTTGTGCCCAGAACAAACGATATCTTGCAGCTTGCTATCATGCCAACTCTTGACGTACCCGGCGCCTCTCTCTCCTACGAGACTCACGGAAGTGGTCCTCTTATCGTCTTCATTCCCGGCGGTCAGGGGACCGGTGATGTCTACCACCCTATCGCCACAGCTCTCGCTGCCAAGTACACCTCTGTTACCTATGACCGACGTGGTTTCTCGGCTTCCATTCTTACGTCTGAGCAAGACTATATTATCAGGATGCAGACGGATGTCGACGATGCGCACGCGCTGATCAAACACCTCTCACCTGATGGTACGGCCGTGGTATTCGGTTCCAGCTCGGGTGCCATTGTCGCTCTCTTTCTCCTGCTCTCGTACCCGGAGTCTATTCGTACAGTCATCCCCCATGAACCACCGGCGATCGACCTTCTTCCGGATAGGGAAGCATGGACCAAGTGGCAAAATGATCTTTACGATACCTTCAAGACCGAAGGGCAGATTCCGGCGTTTCTGAAGTTCGTAGAGAGTATGTCCGGAGGAATGGAGCTTCAAATGTTCAAACAGAGGTGGGCGATGCTCACCGATGAACAAGAGAACGACTTGAGCACCCAGAGGATGAGAGATCAAGCATACTGGTTCGAGCACGAGGTCCGGCAGTACCCGCTAGTGAAGATCGATATCGAGGCTATTGCAAAACATAAGGACAAGCTTCTCCTTGCTGTAGGGGAAGACTCGAAAGAAATGTTTGTTTACCGTCCAATCAAGATTTTATCGGAGAAACTGGACTTGCCTCTCCTTGAGGTTCCAGGAGCCCATGTCGGGTATGCCTATGCAGCGGAAGCATTCGCGCAGGTTCTTGCCGAGGCTTTGGCAAAGAAAGGTCAGTAGGAATCTGAATGATGAACTCTGAAGCAATAGTTCTCAGTCTGGATCTATGTGTTTGTATAAAGTTGTTCAATGAATCAGAGGTGAATTGCTTTCGATAAAGCGCTAGCAGGGGAATCAGACATCTGTTTCCTGCTGCTATACTTGGATGCCAACCTCTCTGAAATCAAGCTGTGTGTGGATATCAATCCCATCGCATGATGGGAAGAAAGGAGGTCAAGCACGTTCATAAAGTTATAAATGGTCGTCGTGGCGGACAAACTGCGGTTGTCCCTATTTCGCTGGGACGTCATTCTACGCCAGGGTCCGCGTCCAATTCATTTCCGCATAACCTTCCTCGACCAACCCCCCCATCCCCCAAAAGTGCCTGTTCGTCTTACCACACTCATTTACTCATCCTCCTCTACGACTTCTTAGCTCGTTGAACATAGTGGAGTACTATGTGCATTCCCATGACACCAAATCACGTCCGATTGATTGATTCGTGCTACCCGCACCACAGTGCGTTGCTCGCGACTGCGCCCGACTACCGACCAAACTCCCAGGAGCTATCACGCTTGACCTACTATGCAAGCAATAGACCAGGGAAACTTCCGAAGATCACAAGCTATCTTGAGAAGCGGGCAAAGAACGAGGCGAATAAAGCCAAGTATGGGTCCGCGAAGCAAAAAGCGTGCGCAGTATATTCGAAATGTCCTCGTCATCAGTCTGACAACATACCAGATCACTGTTGATCACACTTGCCATATTCCGTGCACTTACAGTGGAATGTCGGAGAGAACTTCCTGTATTCTCGCGCACCGTCATTGTTGTCGTCAGTGTTGCAGTTACATCGCTGCCAAATGACATTGAAGTTGCTGCACGGGCAGCCAGCGTCGTGCGTGTTCATTATTCCCATCAATCGTCTAGATGCTCATTCATGTTTTAGTTCACCGCATGGACAACATACACTGACGGGGGGCTAATAGGCGTAGACGATCACCTCACCAAAGCCTATCTTTCCGTATCCCGACACTACTCCCATCTCTCCGTTCTCGTCAACAACAAGGATGCTGAGTTGCGCAACCGCTCTCGTCTGCTCGGCCTTGCTGCAATCTCCGGAATTGTCGCTTCTGACGCGCTGTATGCATCTCTACCCGAATTCACTACCCAGATACCCGTTTTGGCACCTCCGTTGATTCTGAACATCGCTGGCATGCCGACCAACACTCTTGACGACATTTGCTCGACCATCGAGACTGAGCCACAACCCACGTCCCCGTACCTGGCGGAGATCCAAGCCCGACCTCCCCTATCACAGAGACGAGCCGCGTCCATTCACGTTCATATCGACGGAGAGAAGGGCCCTTCACAACTAGACGTTGCCGAAGCGGCCCTTCGTGCTCTGAAGACAATCTTCCAGCAAGGCAATGCTGTCCAGATCGCTCGGACGATGGCCGCGATAATAATCAGCCTTGATTCCAGTGACGTCTGGACCAACGTCGAGTTTTGCTGTTGGCTAGCAGACAAGGCGCTTGCCTGGACGCAATACCAGTACAGGTTCGCGGTACCCACGAAGATGGTAGAGCTGTTGCTAGCCAGTCAGGGTACACCGGTGCCGACAGCAAGGCTAATGAGCTTGATGGCTATGCTGGCGACTGTGTTTACTTCGCCCATCTCGCTGGTTAACTTCTCAACATCTGATGTTCTGACCAAACTGATCACGGTGCTCCTTCGAAGAGTCGCGATCGACCCGGAGGATGGACTTTTACCCGCAGTCGTGCAATGTATCTCTTCTCTCGGCACACATGTTTACTATGCGGATCAAATACAGGATCTTGCAGAAGAGCTCATCACACGACTAGTCAACATACAGCTGAATGGGATCAACGGCCGCGGCCCTTCTGGCACAGATCCGACTCGTACAGTGTCCCTCCGTTGCCTCGTCTTATCCCTGAAAGGGTTGATTGAGACTGCCAACCGAGTAGGAAGCATGAAGAAAAACGTTAGCTCCACCGTGCTTGGTGAAAGCTCTCGCATCGTAGCAGAGCCAATGGAGTCTATCCTTGAACGGCACGATTCCTCGGGCATTCGCGAAGACTACTCTCACAACCCTCGGAAAAATAACATTGCTCCCGAGCTTTGGCAGGAGACAATCGCCGTACTTTGTGAGGCGGACTTCTCCGTACGATCGAGTTATGCTCAGGCTTTGGTCACATTCCTGCTTGCAGAGGTGCCGAAAGAGCCGTACACCTTCGATTCAGGCTTGTTGAATAGAGAAGAGGGCAAGGGCGTTCGGCTGCCATCACCTGGACGTCCGCTCACAATTCCCGATGCGACCACACGGCTCCTGCATGCAATTCACGCGGCGGCGTTTCACCTTGCCATGTCACCCTCTCTTGGATTTCGCTCTGGAGCACCGTCGGAAGCATCGGATGAATTCGACCAGCATATTCACGTCGATCCACCTACACCTGATGTAACGTCCAATAGATTCGGGGAAATTGAGCTGCATGAGCAACATCGGACAACACCATCACGAAGGCGGCTGTCGAGAGTACTGGCGGCTCTTATCAACACACCTGCAGTTGACCACATAGCGACAGCAACATTTTCCGACTACGCGTGTTTACTGAATATTCTCATCACGGTACACCGCCGCCTGCCGGGCCGAGCGCTCTTGGTTGGCGTCCCGATGTTGATTGCCATGGACACAAATGCAATGTCAGCCTTACGAGAAGGGGATGAAGCTGTCCAGGGCAAGGCCTGGGCTATAAAAGAGCTGTTGGGTCGTGTTTGGGAGGAGATTGGTGAGATTTGGGCAAGCGACGGGATACAACGCCGTGCGCGCGAGGTACGCTGAAGTTGATGAAATACCAAGAAGTCTGCTGAGTGGAAGCCAGGCACTTGATAAACTGCCAAATCCTGGGTCTCTCGCAGGTCCTACCACACCTCCATTGGGTACGAACAACCTCGTTCAGGACCCGGTGCCATGGCCTGCACCTTCGCCTGAAGATGGGAGCAAGTTTCCTTTCATCAATGCAGAGATGATGGTGACACTGCTAGCAAACAATGAGCGCGTCCAAGCCGTGTTGGGTCTAGACAAACAAGGTGTCCTCAAGCGGTTGATATTGGACTGGACTGAAGAGTCAGCACTATCAGACTGTAAGCCCTGTTCCTACCTATCGAATGAGTATGCCTATTGATGACGTTGCGTAGCCATTGAAACTCTGCATCATCACGATGTATTACGCGGGGAAGGTGCTTCCGCATTACGCAAGATTTCCCCCGCTCTCATGCAGATAGACAACATCTCCTTAGCGAGCGTCGCGAGGAGCGGAAAGGGTGGTGGCGTAGATATCCTACGCGAAGCACTGGAAGGTCGGGGCCTGGGAACTTCAGCGTCTGTGACGACGTTCGATCGCATGTCAGCTCAAGGTGGACATGCAGGCCTTCTAGTGCCCCCAACGCGACCGACCTCGGCAGGTCGCGAACGTTTGAAGAGTTCACCATCCGAGGTCCGAGATGCCCTTGATAGGCTTGGCATTGGCAGGCAGACGCAAGCAAACGGCAGACTGCGATCCCCATTCCCAATTGCCGAACGTTCTGAATCCGAAACAAAACCCCATGTCTTAGTACCGCCATATCGGTCATGAGATATTCACTCCCACTGTGTACATTCTACCTAGCCTTCATTACAATATATTCATAATGGTATCAGGAGACTGCCTCTATCTCAGGTCTGACGCATCATAATGCGTTTCCGCGCGTTTTCTTCCTTTTCCCGCCAGAATACGATCTCAGCTTGAGCTTTCGGATTGCTGTTCGAGAATGGTCCGGACTGCAAACTGATGTTATCACCAGCCTCACCCATATCTAAACCGCATACCATGGCAGAGTGCAACACATTCTCATATGCTGTAGACAGGTACACCGCTTGTTGGCGACTGTCCTTGATCTTGTTTCCGTGTGTGATTATGATCTGTGCAATTTCTGGTCGCATTCGGCCCAAGCTATAAAGGTATCAGAGGGTGTTAACTTGTTTGTGGAATTGTCCTACTTTGAAAATAGCATGGCTTCTTCACTTGGCTCGCTCAAAGAGATGAATGCGGCGAAGAGAGTCCCATATGTACGTGATACCTAATTCATCTTTAGCTCGTGGAGAGTTCTGGGTACCAAAATCACGCACTGTTTCCACCACCGAATCCTTCAGTGTGCTCTTCGTAAGCAGTCCACCATGTGCACCCTCCAACAGCTTCTTGAGACTCTCCACCTGGGTATTCATTTCCTTCTGGAATATTGGCCACATGGAAAGACGCATTTCCACCAAGAATGATTCGAGCGGAGTACATGCCCGCTTCTGAACCTCGATTAGAACATTCTCATTGAGACGCATCATGGTGAGCAGCGGGATGATTTCAGGTGGCGTAGGCTGCCAACAAGAAAGAGCTGTGGTCTTGCAGTAGTCCAGAGCAGTCTCGATGACTTGCTTCCACACTGTGTCCAGCGCTTTCCTCGTATCATCCGTAGCAGCTTGCTGTTCTTCCATTGACACCATGGGTCGACTGCTTCTTGTCGGAGACATTGGGACTTCTAATATCGAGCCTGCATCGGTTCGCCGCTCGTCAAATGTAGGGCTTATCACACCTGGCCTCGATGGTGGGAGAGGAGCCGGTGCTTGATTGAAAAAGGTGTTGATGAAATTGTATTCAGCAGTCGCGTTGTCCATGAGAACCAGCATCAAAGATCTAAAGAGCGCTTCTACGGGTTGTTTCTGGAAATTTCGTCAGAAGATACAGGAACGAGAAGGAGGACCGTACATAGGCTTTGTCGTCAGCCATATATGAAAGTGTTACTGGAGGACCCTCAATTTGGGCGTGATCCAAACGGCTCCAATCATAACCTTGTTCTTCTGTGATTTAGTTAGACGGCCGTGATGCTACTCCGATGCAAAGAAAAAGTGGCACACCCTTGTGAGCGTCAGATGGAGCGGCCGTGATTAGCTGCGATTTGGGAGGATCTCTTGTCTACAGTCTAATCAGCCCGATCACTTCAATAGTAGAGTGGTGCACTCACAATAATATATCCGACACTTCGAGCATATCTTCTAAATGCTGTTTCGTAGTATGATCGTGCGGCACCGACGTAGGCTCTCTGTACCTCCGCTGCAACTTTGGGGGCACGTCGTTGCAGGAAACCAAACAATGATTTGAATTTCAAGAGAACCGATGTTTGTATAATCTGCATATTTGTGCTGACCGTTGCCCGTATTGGCTGCATCAAACTCAGGAAGAATTGACGCAGCTTAGTTGCGGCCTGTCGAACGTTCATCTTTAGGTCTGTGGTGTTTTGCTCGAAGACTTACTACAATCCGCAAGCCTTCGCTCACTTCGGACAGGTCTTTTGCTGCTTTCACTCGTGTCCGCTGTTGAATAGTATCCAGCTTAATTTCCAGCTCCTCAATTGCGGGAATCCATGTATCATTGACTCCATTGTCGAGGATGAGCAATGCCAACTCGGGTGGAATGGCAAGCTCCCCAAGAAGTTGAGATAGCGGACGCTCTATTTTCTGGGATTCCCTTCAGCACCATCTCATTCATCAAAAAATATAAAAATTTACCCTTCGGCCTTTCAGTTTCGCGTCAAAATCCTTGCTGCGAGCTTGAAGATCGGAAATTTGACCAGATACCGCAGACAGGTCGGTTTGAAATGTCGAGAGGAATGTTTCCAGGTCTCCTAATAAGTTGGTGCTCGTCTGTATTATGTTAATTTGTGTAGGTACACCACAAGAATCCAGATACCTCGACTTGCTCATGCAATTCTAGGTATTCTCTAGTTTTGCCGATGACTACGAATCATTCCCATGGTTAGAACGCGATTTCCTCCCATTCGGCTTCGGACATACAAAAGCCATCATCAGCATCATCTCTGGTACCGGGTTGAGTTCCTGCCCCAAAACTCAAATCAGAACAACATACTCGATTATGTCGGTCATTATGCCCAAAAGTAGTTGAGACGGAACTCGCAGTTGGTTGTGGTAATGCGTGCGGAGGGACAGATCTAGACGCCCTGAGACGTGTAGCTTCTCGGCACTGCCACTGATGAAAGATAATGGGCTTCTTTGAGCGCCCTTTTTTCAGTCATACAACGTGCTGAGAAGCCCTTCCATCAAGGCGCGGAGGTTGTGCGGAACAAGGGTGCGGCTTGTCTACCTACCATCATGTCGATTGATATGAACGAACCCGAATGCATCGCGCCATTTCGAGACTGGGTCAAGTATCATGGCGCCTGGATACATCCTGCTTTGCGCTTCGTGTCCGGTAGGAAGAGCTATAATATCCGTCATATGGCTTTGATATTCAGACTCTCACAGATGACTCAGGCATGTCCGTGGTGACCGTTGAAGATCTAGCCGCAGACACGCCAGTATTATCTTGCCCTTTCCATCTCGTGATCACTCCTCAGTCTGCGAAGGCGGCAATGAAAGGTGCTTTCGGAGATTTACTTGACACGCGCCTAGACTACCTGAATGAACGACAACTTGTGGTCACTTACATTCTGATGCACTTTCTGAATCATAAGTACACGTATTTCACGCTCCAATGACTCTCTTGCTGACTCATCTTCCAAGAACTGAATATTTCAAGCATGGCCCTTACCTCAAAACACTTCCTGGAAGCTCTCGGCTCTTCACTCCCTTATACTTTAATCCGGAAGAAACGAAGTTGCTTGGTGGAAGCAACGTGGCATTAGAAACCAAGAGGCGGGAGGAAATATGGAAAAGAGAACTCAATGCTGCTTGGCCAGTCTTCCAGCGCATCTTCGGGGCACATCTTGTGTTCACTGGGTATGCCTTCCTCCGGAACCTTGCATACTGTTTCTGAGGAGGATATAGGACATATTGGGAAAAAGTATGCACCTGGATAACCTCCCGTTCATTTCCCTCATCGTTGCTGTCGACGAATAACCCCAACACAACCTCGTCGGACTCAGTGCCTGTTCTCCTCCCTGTTCTCGATTGCATGAACCACAAGAGAGCACACCCGGTTACGTGGCTGACAAGTACGAAGCTTCTTCCAGAAGCATTGGCCACCGGTGCTAATGAGAATGGGCCGTATATCAACTTGGTGCATCATCCGACGCTTGAAGCCGGCTTACAAGTGTTCAACAACGTATGACAAAGCTTTGTAATCAGACGTCAGCTGACGTATCTGCTAGTACGGGCCGAAAGGCAACGCCGAGTTCCTTCTCGGATACGGATTCACCCTGCCGAACAATCCCAGCGACACGATCTTCCTGTCCATTCCTCAAGGCCAACTTCACGAGGTGGGCCGTGAAGCAGAGGGAATAATCCCAATCTGGAACGAAGTGCGCGAACGGATGGGAATCCGAAGGGAAGATACGAACTGGCGGAGCGTGATGGACGTTGCCCAGGGGCTGTCTGATATGGTCCTGGCGAAAATGGACGTGCACGATGTGGTCGAGGACGATATTGATATGGAAGAAGTTCGCCCGCTCGTTAGAGGATATATCAATAATTACATGGATGGTACGTTCCTGACCGCTGGCTGCGGAAGTTGACGCTGCGCTCATGGGGATCACAGGGCAGCGGGACATTCTTCAGTCTATGTACGATTTTTGCGAGCGGATGCGTAGCCGCGCTCGGGAAGAGGCGAGAGCAGCAGGTGTAGATCTCGCCGAAGATGAATTTGATGCTGGTGACGAGGAGGTTTATCAAGAGGTGGCGTGATTCCATGGGTGTTGGGGGGACGGATGGAACACAGAAGGGTTGTATCACTCATTTGCGAACCTGTTTGGAATAGAAACCGTATCAGACAACCGAGTATGATTATATGAGCTACAAGAGGAGCCTAACAGACACAACCGGGCATTTCCGGTATCTAGATACGAACACAAACAAGAATGGAAACATGAATCCTTCCAGATCAACGGTCTTCAGGCCATCATTTGATGACTCGCTGAACACATTTTAGTCCACGCTAGAACCATTTCCCTCTCCTTCCACCTTTCTCAGTACAATCCATAGTTCCCCTGATACGTATTAAGAAACATATTCTGCACGCCATCTGTGTTCATCTGGTCCACCGTAGTTGCCGTCGCTGGCCCTGGGGTAGGGCCAGACCCCGGAGGCGGGGAAAAAGTGTCGCTACCGCCCGAGCTTGCAGTTGCGTCCGGCGGGGTTGCATGCTGACTCGCCCCGAGCATAGCAGACAACCACTCGGTAAAATTAGCGTCGAACATCTCATCACCCAACAAGGAGTATTGTTCTGCTGCCGGATCGGACGTGACGGGTACAGTGGTAGAAGCGAATATCTGAGTAAGGAAATCAGGGCCTTGTTCTTGTGAAGCGTCGAGCGGCATAGGCACTATAGGGTCGAAGAGCTGTTGATGGGGCAGAGCGGTGGTGTCGAACGACACCTGTGTGGATTTGGGGAACATGGGCGCCAGGGGTTGCTGGATTGAATGCACGATCGGTTGCAGAGCCGGCTGAAGGGTGGCAGGAGGGTACGCGGGGGTAGACAGAGTGCTAGACACGTCCGTCATGCTGGGTCCGCTTGATAAGCTTGTAGAGCTGGCGATGCTCGGTCCACGCGGGACGCTCCCCCCGGCCGCGAAACCTGCTGAGCCCGCATTGTCGCCCGTCTTCCGCCTCTTTCCCGACGATCTGTACATCGCCGTTTTCGTGAGCTGCAGCAAGCCCGTCAGGATATCCCTGACCATACCGCCCATCTGCCATGTCTGCTCGAGGTACGTGAGCGCCTCGAGGCACTTCTCAACTTCCACGATACTGTCGGCCTCCTGACGCTGCCACATGTCCATAAGCAGGAGCGTGCCCGCAGAGAAAGAGGAAAGACCAGTTTCGAGGGTACGCCCGTTCAGCAAGTCACGAGTGTACAACCCGCTGATGGTGTGTGCGAGAGCGCGGGCAGCACCGGAGCACACGGCCGAGGAGGGAACGTCTTCGTGCAACGCGAGCTTGGCTGGGTGGAGAAATGGACGGTAGACAAGAATCTGTATTCGCATCAGTAGGGTTGCAAATTGTAGACAGAGGGGACGCACCTGCGTAAGCTGATATTGGATATTTACCAGTGCAGTGTGTAAGAACACTGTGTCATCCGGATTCTCAGGGTCGAACTTGAGCTTTTCGGGCTGCATCTCACTCAAGCTATTCAGCGCCGAGCTAAGGTTGATCAAGATGACTCTTTCCCATTCTGCCAGATCTGGACGCTGGGTGTTGCGTGCGGCGTAGAGCGTCGACAATGCGCGGGAGCAGATCTGGAGGAGACGGAGTCGGTAGACCCAGGCTGCCAGGTGCAGGCAGCCTTCTCCTTCCTCGACTTTCCTTCCATATTGGAGGTTGTCCAGCTGCTCGTCGTCCAGTTCTAGCGGGAGCTCGACGTCGTAGCTGCCGGAGTTGTCAGTCCTTCACCGCGAAGGGAAGGGAAAGGAAGGGGGCTCACTCTTCCTCCCTGAACGCTAGTGGCCGATCTAGGAAACTCGCCATAGTCCGATCCATAAAATACGCCGCCCAAAACACGCGCTTGCGCATCTCGTACTCGAACGGGTCGGCCCTCTGTCTTCTAGCAGAGCGCCGATGTATCCCCGCGTCCTGGGCCAACCGACTGGCGAGCCCGATCAGTCCCCACGCAGCAGAGGGCGTGATCGGCGTGCCCATTATCGCCAGCCCGCCTAGGACGGTCGTCTGCAGTCGACAGAGGGTGGGCGGGGCGTAAGGGGGGTAAGCGATCCTGCGCATCTCGTACCAGTACGGTAGGCCGGCGGAGTGCTTGTACTTGTCGTTAGGCCAGGCCTTGGTACGCGGGTCATCAATTGTCTTAGCCCCACAGGCGAAGACGGCAAAGGCTAGAGCTGCCCACTCGCGTTTCGTGTGATTGGCCGGATCGGCCCATTGCCTGAGGAACGTCGGCCTATGGAGAATCGGGAACCCAGCGTTGAACTTATCGAAGAACCCCTGAATGAGCTGGTCGGCCAAATCCGGTTCAGGCCACTGGACGTTCATCTCGCTGACATCGGATTCCTCGAAGTAGGAATTCGGATGTACGCGCGTGAACTCGGGGCGGATATGGAACAGACGCCTTTCTTCCGGTGCACGAGTAGCGAGGAGCTCGTTAAGCTGGCGTACGACCATGAAGTGGCTTGTCTTGCCGTGGAAGAACCGGGGTTCGTGTAGCTTGCGCTCGAATTGCGGTGGGTAGAAGTCCTTGCTCGGCCCTCCTGAGACGGGGCGGCCGGACCCATCGTCCTCGTCTGCTATGCGCAGCTCTCCGAACCCCCGCAACCGCATATTGGTGAAGAATTCGTTGCGATTGTCGTCTTCGGAAATATCGTCCTCGTCTGGTGACTCTGCGCTGTTACCCGCGTCGTCCCATGGGAGCGCGTGGCCTGAAGACGGCCAGGGGGCGATGTTGGCTAAGAGACGCTCGAGATGTTCCACACGGGCTTCGAGCCCTCCTACGTAGTTTTTCGAGGGAGGCCACTTGCGAGGCGTGCTCTCAAAGGTGCATTCCCGATTGCTTTTCAGACTGCTCTTCGTCAGTATGCATGACGACGATTGCAAAGGGGGCTAACGCACCAGTACGTGCAAGCCGTCTGTCCTTGTTGGATTCCGTCACACCTCACTTTCCGCTTATGACACGCCTGGACGAAGTGAGTATTTGGATAAGGGAATGTAAGATACTCACGTCGCATGCCCTTCTGCGTTTCCTGAGTGACTTTGTTGAGTTTTGGTCAGATGCCATGGTCAGCGTTGAGGGAGGGGATGAAGAGAAAGAAAGCAGGGAAGCTGTGACAAGGGCGTAATTGATAATATTGTCGGAGAATGCTGATGGGTAACCGCCCTACGCCCGATAGTGACGTCCCGAAAGAGTGGGAGAGGACTGAGACACAATGAGGCTGTGGACTCACTAATCCACCTTCAGGTCCACCCACGTGGTCCGACACGCGTATCTTCGGCAGTCATCATGCTCTCACGCGACTTTCATTACTCCGTAAGCCGCTTGACTACATGCCGCTCCGGGCGAATAAAGCTCTTTTGGATAATATTAATATTGTAGATACTCTATACAGTATGACTCGAGTCCAGTCCCTCTCATAACCAGTCAGCCTAACTGGACAGTCAGCAGGTGACCACGCACAGCCTAGAGGCACACAAGTACTGGTAACAGATATCCTCAGAAGTCGACGTCCAAAAAACAAGCCGGTAAAGAAGTGATCGCCGACAATAAATCGTATCAACCGCTATTGTACACTCTTTCCCGCAATGCACTTCTTTTCCTGCTGGGCGTAGAGACGGGCTGTACGCCTCCTATTCGATCTGATCTGAATGCGGAGTATGCCGTTATCCCGGGCATTCGCTATCAGATAGTTGGAGCTGGGCCAGGCCCACTTCTTTCGCGTCCGATGCAATGATCACTAGTGCTTGTTTCGTAACCTCATGATATCCTCTTCCTCTCCATCAGACGACTCCTTCTCCCTAAACAACACCAAAATCGTGACCCTCTTCCCACCTGCTCACACCTCCGCCCTCTCCAGATCTACCAACCCCTTCAACAGCGTCCTGATCTCCAATACTTCCTCCACCACCCCCACTAGAGGGGAAGGCGCGTGTGTATCGCCCAAATGACGCTGAGGGGCGGATTTGATCTCTACTTCGTACGGTGCTGAAGGGTGGGGAGGGACGGGGAGGTTCGAGTGGGAGTCTACCTACGGGACTGTCAGTGTCCTTTGTTGGCAGATCGTAGACACTGGAGGCGTGCAGCACGCACCGCTTCGCTTCTAAAGACATGTACGACCAGATCACCTCTAAAGAACGTATACCCTTTCCTCCAAAGCTCTGTTTTCCTCCTATCCATCACGCGACCGTCAGTCAATCACTCACAGCCCAGGAATGAACAGGACGAGGACGTACTTGTAACCCAGGCCAGAGGCGAACGCGAGCGCGTCCCCGGAATGGACAAAACTGTAGATGGCGGCGCGGACGGTCACGTCTGGGTATAGCCGCTCCGGTTCTGGTCGCATCAGTGCACAGAGGGACCTTGCGAGCGCGAGCATGGACGGGCATCAACAAGCACATCGGACAGAATCAATATAGCAGTGCATTCAGCTAGGTAACAAGACGTAGGGTTTAAGAGCACGCACCATCTCCCCTCCTCCCTCCTACACCTGAGCAACACCCCCTCTCCTTGCCCGTCCCACCACCTCGGTTCCAACACCACCTCGCGCATATTGAGCGCGCGAGAGGAGGAACAGTGCAGGCTTAGCCTGTCGAGCACTGCTTGCGGAGAGCCGGTGAAGGATCCGGAGAGGGAGACTTCGTATGGGTGGTTGGGGGTTGACATGCGCGTGTATGAGCAAAGAGGGATGTCAGCCACACAGGTTAGGACCTTTAGTTGATTGTCCCATCTTCATCTTATTCTTCAAAACTCTCATCATATCTACTTTACGTGTGAGAGAATATATCAAAGGGAAGCTGATATCAGATTCCCATTTTTTGACATATGCAGAAATGACGTCATATCACGACCTGATATATACACTATAGTTAGCTGTCTCCTTTCACATTGAAAATTAAATGGTAAAATAAAATATTTCTGTACCTGATAAACACACTGTCGAAGAATAGTGTACGAGTAATGTATTGCATTACGTCAAAAGTTACTGCTCATGATGAATATCCGCAGCCCCTTGAGGCACAGCAAGTTTCCAAGAATTTGTCTCTGCACCTACTGAACACTTCCTCCTCCTCCCCTTCTAAACCCAATCTTCATGCCATGTCTCTACGTTCCGCCTCTAAACTCGTATTCCGATGCTTCAAATCAATGGAAAAAGCCGGTGACTGGCTTACGGGCGCAGCGGGGCCAGTGTTCATCTCCTTTGCATGGGTGCTCATGTCCGGCGGCGCAGTGGTTTTCTGTACGCTCCCTCCGCCCTCTTCTCTGTCTACTACTCAGAAAAAATCGCTCTTTAGTTGGGACGATAGCCCCTCGATTACCTTTCATCATCCTCACTCTCCCCATATGTATCCTTATAGCTGCGAACCTGTTCGGACACTACTACCTCGCCTGCACCGTTTCCCCGGGGTATGCAGACTCCCGCACTGCACCAGTCCCAGGCTGGGGGTGGGCACCAAAGCGCTCCAAACCTCTGAGACTGGGAAAAGGATGGGGAAACGGAAGTTTTGAGACACCGGACGGGGAGGAGAATCCGGAAGAAGGGCTGGGTGACCGGCTGTTGAGGTCCAGGTCTAGGGAGAGACGGTGTAAGAAATGCGGTGGTATGAGACCAGAGGTGCGTTCTGGGTTCATGAGTCTATGAGTGGATGGGGGCTGACGGGAGGTAGAGGGCACATCATTGTAGGATTTGTAAGAAGGATGTGCTCAAGTATGACCATCATTGTCCTGTGCGTGCCATTCCCTCCTCCCAAGATTTTCACTGACTGCTTGGACAGTGTATGTACTTTCAGTTTTATGTGCACTCTGTTTGACGAAAGTTAGGGATAAACCAATGCGTTGGGCTGGGAAACGAGCGCCATTTCGTCCTCTTCATGTGAGCCGTCGCCTCCCCCCCTCGAAGCGCTCTCCTCATAACACACCACAGGGCATATTTCGTCCTCGCCTGTTTCTGTTTCTGCTCATTAGGCTATTCCTACGTCTGGCTCTCGCTCAATTATTTCGAGCTTGTTCGTCCCGTTCCCTCCTTCCACACACGTAACGAGTCTGACTCCCGCGCCCTAGTGGCCGTACTTCCCCGGCCGAGTCGCCTTCATCCTTATCTACATCCTCGCCGGCGTCCTCAGTCTTGCAGTACTAACGATGCTCCTCTGGCAACTGCGGCTCATTTCGGTTGGAGAAACTACCGTCGAGAACTACGACAACGATGCCTACAGGCGGATGACCCGCTCTAGAGGGGAGCCGTTCGTGAATTGTTTTGATCTGGGGTGGAGGAGGAACTTGTGGTTGTTTTTCAACTTGGATGAGTAGTGCGTCTTCCCCTTCCTTCTCCATCTCCCTACTATGATGCTGAATATATGGCAGCCCGATATACGCACTGATGCTCCCCCTACGCGTCATGCCCTACACAGCCGGTCACACATGGGCGAAACGACCAGGGTACGAGAGACATGGCGGTGTGGACGATGGTGATGAGATGACAGACGAAGAGGATTATTGATCTTTCATGACTTCCTTCTTCATCTACTTTTTCTTTCATAGTATTTTGATACCTTACCGCATGTGCGGTGGCTGTAGCTATATTGAATATGCCTGCCTTCAGTTGGGCGCCTATGTGACCCCTACGTGCATGCGTTCCGTTGACGCGTCCTGACATTTGGCGACCATGAGCTCAAGAGAAGACCGTCTTTCCTCAGCGCAACAGACGCTTGACAGTACGCGCCATCCCTCCTTTTCGAGCTGTAGCTAAGGACATACAGCATTATTTGATCTTTCTCAGTTGCTGAACACGGGTCTGGACAGGGAGACGCTCGCGACGTGCGTGGAGCTCATTGAGCGGGGAACGAATCCTGAAGCGCTGGCGGTATGTCTACCGTTTGCTGTGATGGGAGGATGCTGACGATGGCATGGGGTTAGGCAGTCGTACAGGAGATGAGGAAGGAGAAGGCTGGGTTGGCTAGAGAGTCGTGACCGTTTATGAGAAAGGCTGTTGAGAGGGACGACGACGAGGATATGTATGATTTACAAGACTAATGTACTCAATCCGCTACTGCTCTCCCTCCTCGTTGTCGCTCTCCTCCCCAAGCTCACACAGCTTACTCCAATCGAGCTCTTCCTCCTCCTCCTGCTCATCCCTCCCCCACCGCTTGCTCACCATCCAACCCCCAACTCCAGGGGGCACCTTCCCCTCCGCACCCTCCTTATCCTTTCCCTGTTTCCTTTCCTTCCTCCCTGAGCCCCTCCGAGGCCGATTCCGATGATCTTTGCAGTCTGCTTCGTCCAAGGCCGCATAGAATGCTTTGAGTCGCTGGGATCGCCATGGGAGTCCTCGAACGCGGAATGTCCTCTCCTTCTCTGCCTCCTCTCCTTCCATCGACTCTTCCTGCACCCCATCCGCGTCTTCCTCCTCAGAATCCGACGACTCGCTACTCATCATTCCCAGCTCCATTGCCCTATCGAATGCCTTATCTCGGAAAGCCGGCACAAGTCCCCTGGCCGCTACGCGATGTCCCAACTTGGTCTTCTTTCGATTCGCCCTCCTCGCCCTCTTGCTCTTCTTCTCCAACCTCTGTTCCTCCGTCTCTGGCGTCAAGCCCGCTTGGGACCGCGCTTTTCGCCGCAGGGTGATGAACGCCTGGTCGAACGCCCGCTCCAGCGTGGCGAAGGCAAAGTCTTCTTCCCTCACCAGCGGATAGAGTGCCCTGCTCCTCTGGAGATCAGTAATGAACCGCTCCTTCATTTTCGCGTTATGCGCGCTCTGCTTCTGCGTCTTATCCCACACCCAGCGTATGGGTTCCCCAGGCCGATTCGGCTCGCCTTCAACATGCGAAGGGGGCAACACCTTATCTGAGCTGAGCCCCATAACGCGTAAGAGGTGTACACGCGTCGCAGTCTGTATCGTCGACGGCCTCGAGTCCCTCTTCCGACGCGCCTTCATCTGTTGCCAAGCTTCCATCTGGTATCTCGTCAGCTCTGCAGTGACGTTATCGAGCGAGGTCCAGAAGGTTTGGGCAGGCGCAGGTGGATTGGGGTCGATCTCGGACGTTGGATGGGGCCGTTTTCCCAGGACGGAAGCGAGGACGCCCATCGTGTGCCCGCCTGGGTTGAACAACGTGTGGGGCTGGATAGCGTCAGGCGGCATAGGCTGGAGTGGACGGAGTCCGAGTGCAGCAGTAGAAAGCGGTGACATGGGCGCTCGCTGGCGTGCTAACAGTGGGCCGGCAGATGAAGTCGGTACGTCGCCCGTCGTCGCCCCGGACAGCCCCTCAGCCCCCAACGCCCTCTTAAGCGCATCAACCTGCTGTTGCAGGCTCGCGAACCGTATGTCCATCTCCGCAATGCGGGCTTTGTACCGCGCCTCGACTGCGGCTTCCCATTCTAGCCGGCGTTTGGCGTCTGCTTCCTGCGCTTCGCGGTTGGCTTGAAGGGAACGGAGCAGATCGGCGAGGAGGACGTCGATGCTGTTATGATACGTTAGCTTGGTTAGCTTGAAAGGGAGGAAGAGAAGAGGACGTACGGTTCGTCGCCCCCCTCCGTGTTGGTTGACGTCCAGTTGGGGGACATTGGGCGCGCTTAAAGTTGTGGTAATGGAATGGATGTTTACTGGCAAGGAAAGGGAAACATCGAGGCAACCTTAGCGGAAACAAATTTATCAGGGGGAGTTTTACAATAAGCGCCCGTAGTATTACCGCAACTCTCATGGATTCATCAGCGTCCACTTCTGCTACCCCTCTATGCGCCCAGTGTCACTGTTCACCGGCACTATACACCTGTCCGCGGTGTCAAATCCGAACCTGCTCTGCAGCCTGCAGCAAAGTGCATAAACTCGCCCTCCCCTGCACCGGCGAGCGGGACCCGGCAGCATTCGTCTTGCCGAAGGAGTATGGCTATAGGGCGCTGGGGGCGGATTTGATGTATTTGACCGATGTGGGGGAGAAGGTTAGGGAGTGGGGGAGGGGGATGCCTCGTGTCAATGGGCGGGGGATGAGAGGCAGAGGCAGGGGGAGAGGGAGAGGGAGAGGTAGGGGGAGAGGGGGAATGATGGCTAGAGAGGGTGTGGGGAAGGCGAGGGAAAGAGTAGAGCAAGAACTGGAGAAGATCGACGCTACTGTCATTTGGATGCCTGATGGTATGGAGCGCCGAGCAAGGAATTCGACGCGCTTCAACGCTCGCGATAACGAGCTGCACTTGACCATCGAGTGCAGGTTGCGCGCCAAGGACGGAGGGAGCGTCACACTGCTTTTGCATGATATTCCGATCAAAAACACTGTTGATCAAGTGCTGGAGAGAGTTAGGCAACAGAAGAAGACTCCTTTGCCGATTTGGGCGATGGAAGCACTCGGGTCGACAGAATCGCTGTTCCTCATGCCATCCTACCCTCGGCGAGGACATTATCTGCTCGAGAAAGGGAAGACCATGGAAGAGGTGCTGCGTGGGAAAAGCTGGGTTGAGTGGCCGGTTGTTGAGGTGTGGGAAAAGGCGAGTTTGAGGAGTCAGATGCCAGCTTCTGGGAGGAGTGAGGAAGGGGAGAGGTCGGCCAAGAGACGGAAGATGGAGGTGGATGGGGAGGTGGTGAGAGGACTTGTAGAGGGGTATGAGAGTGAGGAGGAGGGGGAGGTACAGGGGGTTGCACAAATGCCATTGGTTTTGTATCCTGAAGAGGATGTGGAGGTTATCGAGCTGGATACGCAACCGGCTGAAGAAGGTGAGGACGAAGAAGAATATGGGGAAGAGGACGAGGACGAGGTGGAAGAGGCTGGGGATGAGTTATCCCCTGAAGAAGTGGAGCGTATGCGCCAGGAGCTTGCCAGACGCATCGCCGATGCTGCGAAGCAAGACGAAGACGAGGAGGAGGAAGATGACCAGGCGACGCTGCAGCATCTCAATCGCCTAGTCCAACAATCTAAGGCCAGCATGTTTAGCAAATAGAGGCGTGGTCTGATGTACAGATTGCATAATGATACAGTGATGTGGGTCTATAATGCAAATACGACTTCAAGGGCCAACTCCCACCCAAGGGCAGCGACGGCGTCACACACCATCCGTCGGAGCATCGGAATCTTCCAGATCTTCGATCGCTATCACATCGTTTCAGGATTCTCAGCGCCAAAGGTCGAAGAGACAAGCATACCACAACCGAGCGGACAGAAACGGTATTCCGCTCCTGCCTGTTGACGATATTGACTTGCCTCATCTTCGGGTCCTGGGCTACCGCCAACGGGTCTTCACATCCCGCCATCAACCTCGGCAGCGGATCATACATCCCATCCATCTCCAGAGCCTCCATTTCCTCCAAGCCGGTATCAATCGGGCCCTGGACATCCGCTTCGCTCTGCCCGCCCTCTGGCGGGTGGGAGAAGGACACGTATTGGTGGGCGTCTAGCAAGGGGACGCAGGTAGGCAAAGAGTGCCATGTGTAGTCTTCCGGGTCTAGGAGGTAGGACGGCGAGTAGTCTCCTTTGTAACGCATCTTCTGACAGGAATGGATGTAATACCCTGATATAACTTTAGTCTCGGCTTGCCAAGCTGGACGAGAACGCACCCATATAGAGATACTTGAGGTCCTCCAGCCCCGCCTCATGCATCTCTCGGACGAGCATTGCCTCCCTCAGCGCACTTATCTTTCCCATCCCCCATTTCTCGACCTTAGAGGAGTACATAAAATACACGCTGCTCACGCAGTTGGGGAGAATGTCGATGACCCCTAGGGCGATAAGCTTCCCATCGAGGATGTACTTCTGGTGGTAGGAACCGTACTTCTTCGGTAGCCCAGGGGGAGGTGGTCGAGGGTAGGAGATATCTTCTGGCTGATCTGACATAAGCTACCCGCATCGAAAAAGGAAGTGATACGCACTATGAGCGGACTGTGACATAGGAATCGCTTAAATGAGGAGGGCGCCTTGTCCTCCTCCTTGTGTGCATGCGCTTGATAATTTACATAGAGTTCAAACTTCTCCTCGCTATATGACGAAAGTTCGAGCACGACCTTTCTTTCCCCATGGTCACGCAAGCCCCGCATCAGGGGAGAGATGAAGACGCACCTCGAACTCGTGTGCCGGGGTCGACTCCTCGGGAAGGTAGGACATCTCCGAGGCATGGATAGCCTTGGGCAAATCAAACGGCGCGTTATCCCTTCCCTTCTTCTTGACCGGCTTCACGTCCACCTGCATGGTCCCGTCCCCCACTACCTCCTTCTCTCCCTCTACAACAAACTTATTCCACGCCTTAACGACGCCTTTCTGACTCTTGCCCGCCTTCATCCCCAGCGCATCAAGCTTGATCGTATACTGCGGGCAACATGTCCTTCCCATATCGGGTTTGTAGGCATATGTGCCCGAACGACGCCAACCTCGGTCGAGCATGCGTTGGTAGACAGAGACGGAGAGTTGCCGTGGGTTGAGGCCATAGGATATTGATGTTGGGAGGAGGGAGCGCTCCCCTGAGGGGGAACAGTATCCGCAGGTGTGCTGCGAGAGCCCAGAAGAGAACGAGACGAGTGAGAGCGGAGTCATGGTGGTGGGAGGTCGAGGAGAGGGCACACGAGCAGCGAGGGCTGATAAACGCCGTGTTGAGGGTCGGCGACATCCACGTGATTATGTTCCGCCTTGTCACGCACTTACGGGCGGAAGCAGCACCTGAGTAATGAATGTAGGGGAAGTGAAAAGCCATGAAATCCCATTACAGAATACATATGCAGGTATGGAGATGGACGGTACAACTACATACAGGCGTGTGATATGGAAGAAGACTCGGAACAAGTGTGCATGGGGCTGGGAGATCGTAAGTGTGGGTAGAAGCGGCGTGAGAGCATGGCTGGGAAAGGTACAAGATGGTGACAAAGAAGCAGATAGGTCGAAAAGGGAATGGGAGAAATGGAAATATAAAAAGTTGCGCAAGACATTAACCCCATCCATCCCACCTGCTATATCTCCTGAACTCTTCTAGAACCAGTTGTCGGCTCACTCCTTCTCCCTCCCTCTCCTTTCCCTTCACGCTCTCTGTTGGCCGCTCAGGCAGTCCGAGCCTGTACCATCCCCCAGCCCAAGTCAGCGCAACAAGGTTATGGTCTACCTGGTCCTCGCGTGGCCGGCCTCGCTCATCCATAGCAGGCACCTCGACCCACGCACAGGTGCACCGCAGCTCAGGCTCATCGGGCAGGGTCAATGTCCCCAGATCTGTATGTGTCGCTGGTTGTGGAAGGCGGAATGTCGCATAAGACCATTCGCTCTGAAAGTACTTGGGAAGCGGAAGGACAGCGCTGAGAGGGGCGAGCGCGGACCGCTGGTTCACATTATGTGTCTCCCCGTCCAGGCCGAGGGAGAAGACGTGGATTGTACCCTTGTCGGACCAAACAGCGAGCTCCCGCTCATCCTTCCGAAAAGCGGTGCCATAGATTTCCGCTTTGTCCGCTCCCCGCCGCAGCTCGCGGATGCACGTGCCTGTGAGCGCGTCCCAAACGCGGACCAATGTGCCCCGTTCGCTGCTCGTAGCTAGGAGCGATCCTGATGGTGGGCAGGCAAGTGACGTGAGCGCATTGCTGTGAGCGGCGATGATCGCTATCGGGTTCTTGGGTGTTTTAAGAGTCCGCTTTGGAGGTTTGCTAACAGAATGCCTTCGTGCCGTTTTGCCTTGCTCCTTTGCTGGGCCCGGACAAGGTGGCAAGTGGAGGAATTGGACATGCCCGACCTGCTTTCCCGGGAAGGCGAGCAACGTTGCCCGGGGTGCACTAGCGAACGCCAGCAACCCACGGTCGTTATCACACGTCTCCCACTCCCCCAGCTTGCTCACAGTGGCGATCTCTCTCCCAACCTCAAACACACACACTCGTCGCCTAAGTGCGACGGCGATCATCCCCCGGCGGCAGGCCAGCCCGCGCACCGCTTCCCGAAACTCGAGCTCCGCGACATCGACACCCTGTTCTGCATTGTACAGAATCACCTTGTTCGGCGGGTAGAGTGGTACGTTCCCCCCTCCGACAAGGAAGAGAAGGTTGGTGCTGTGGAGGGGTACGACGTGTGCGAGGGTGCCGTTGGGTATATCTGTGGACAATCAGATCCCCCTACAGAGAAAGGGGCGGAGAGGGACGTACCTCGATGTGTGATAAGCCTGAGTGGATTAGTGAGGTAGACCGCATATCCCTGTGGTGTGATCGTAGTGAATATATGCGCATCCTGATCGAATCCTGCATTGACGATGACTGTCTGTTGGGTCGGGGTGATCGTGTGGCGTGCGAGGTGCATCCTCTTCCACTCCTAGATGGGAGCAGCCAGCGACCTAGAGTGAACGATACGATATACCCCTTAAGTGGTATGAGATGCTGCCAGTAGAACGTCCGCTTTCAAGAAGAGAAGAATAGAGTAAGCGAGGTATATGCAGTTAGGTGACGCGTACAGTGAGAGGCAGAGAACAGTCAATGAGGAGACGACGTCGGTGGTCTGCCATGCGTTGGTCGTCACTCCGCCGCCCCTGAGCGCTTCCTCCACACTTATCGGAGTTGCGGAGCCGAGCAGCTTCTCCACAGCTTTTGATGAACGGATTCTTGTTCCGAGAGAATATATAGCGCGTTGATTATTATACATTAAATTGTAAACATGTTTGACCAAATTATTATGAAATTGCAAGGTAGACCACGCACTCAACGCTGGTCACCTCCTCCCCTGCCGAAGCACCTGCTTCCCCACCCCCTCCATCCCACCATGCACATAAACTCTCTGCATCCTCCCCCTCGCCCTCTCCATTTCTTTCCAAAAGATCGCATACTGCCTCCCAGGTCTTTTCCCCACCTCTGCAATCAGTCTCTCCAGCTCGTCTCCGCGCTTTCCTTCTCTCTCCTCTGCGGCGGCCTGCCATGCACCGTGCAGCACTCGCATACGGTCGAGCGGCCAGAGGATCGCCTCCACCCGCGCGTCGACGAGGGAGAGTGAGACAGGACCAAAGTGGTTCGAGTCGGAGGAACGGAAGGGCTCATCGCCTTCTACCCAGGCGTGCGAAGGGGGGATGCGCACATACGTGTCCGGATAGGGAGGGAGAGTGCGTACGAGATCACCCTCCAGAGCGAGGATGCGTTTTGTAATAAGCAAATCTGGGTTGGTGGGATCTCTGATCCCCAGAAGTGACAGAGAAGGGGTCAGAGCTTCATCACATGCGCACTAAGCAGGGCGACATACCGCAGCGTAATGACATCGCCCCTCTTGAGTTGCGTCACATCCCACCACGCCACAAACCGGTTCAACAAAACCATATCCTTCCTCAGACTCGACTCGGGGTTAAACGTCGGTTGCATGCTGTTGCCCTTGATGTTGATGACCGAGTAACCGACTTGAGTGAACATCTGTGCGCAATGGGATCAGACAGTCACAAGACCCAGGAGGGAGCATGAGGCGCACGATCCCAAATGGCACCCAGGCCAGGGTGTCGATTATTGGCCTCAGGCGGAACCGACTTCGCAGAAAAGAATAGTAAAAGGACATCCTCGCGCAGATGAGTGAGGGGGCCAGCCGGCTATGGTCGGTACATGTCGTTTTCAAGGACACCTACGAGAGATCAGGGACCGAGCATATGCACTTCAATAGATTTTTTTTTCACTGATGACATCAGACTACTACAGCATAATGAAAGGCGTGTATTCGATACATAGTTTGCGCTTTCATATAAATACAGTGCAAGATCATACGTTCCACATCCGATTTTCCATCCTCCGAATCGTCAGTCAGTCAGTCCCATCTAGTCCTGTCCAGGGTAAAGTCTCCTTCCCCGGTACCGGACATAGTCCTGCGGGTCCAACAGAGCTCGCAGCCTCCTCCCGGCAGCCTGAATCGCCTCTTTCGCCCTCTCCATCCCTGTCCAGCATTTCGCTGCGCTCCAGCTCTCCGCAAACGCCCGGCTTGCAGTGTCCATAGTTTCCCACTCCAGCACTCCTTGGGAGTGCAGCATCTGCAGGACTCCAACAAGCGCGTGCATCCCTTCGGCCCAAGCGAGCACGCCTTCCTCTGGCGAGGTGCTTATAGATTGATCGTGCATAAGGTAGCTGGGAGCAAGCACGAGCCAGCGCCGCAGTAGCGCTTGATCCACGGGGCCTGGGGCAGTGTTACCCGGGGCAGGAGCACGCATCCGCGAGATAGCCGAGAGGACACCACGCTGGTAGGTGAAGTTTGTACTGGGATCCGGAGGGTGTACATTGGAAGGTGGTGGTTGGGGCAACGAAGGATGAGGTGGTATGTGCGGTGTCTGAGGTACTGGCTGAGAAGGATGGGGTGGGCCGCCTCCAATATTTGGTTGGGCAGGTGTCATCCCCCGACCTCCTCCACCTGGAGCAGCTGATTGTGTCGGCGCTGGAGTGCCAACTATGATCCTCTTCGTGCTGTGAGGTGAACCGAAGTGATGATCCATCTAGAGAATTACGGACGTGCATGAATGGCAGCGTTTCATAAGAGTGGTGGGGAGCTCACCTTGACTCCAAAGCAGCCGGTGGGTAACCCACTTCTTGATCTTCATCTCATATCCGCTGTTTATTAACCGATGGTAGTTACCCCGCCACGAGGCGTGCAAGTTTAATCAGACATCGGGAAATTTGAAGTCCCTGGTTTCCCGGTTGGGACACCAAAGGGAAGACCATGGTCTGCGGACGGACATTCTCACGGTTGAAAGTACGAAAATATTTCCCTACAACGGTGCATACCACGCCCTTCAGACAAGATTAATCACAGCTTATTGATAGACAGTCGGAAGTAAGAGAAAGGGAAGCCAAGAGGGTGCACAAGGTCCCGCAGTGGAGGGTCCGTCTGCTGGCATGACGGCAGGCGAAAAAGACCCGACGAAAGAGCGAATACGATCACATCGCAAAACACGGGCTTATCGTACCACGGGAAATGGACAGGTGCGGCAGACAGGGAACAAAGTTGACCGGTGCAGAACCGAATTGTGAGAACAATACCGGCTGTGTTGCAGAGTTGCCGTTGACGTGTGGCACCGACAGACGGGAGGGTTCAGACACGAGGCTTTGGCCCCTGTTTGTTCTCCAGGTCCCATTCCCATTCCCATGACCTGGAGAGGTCAGTCCACTCGTGTCTTCCAATGGGTCAAGTCAACCTGGCAGCGGTGTCCACCATAATTGTACAGAGACGGGCAGCGAGACGGATCCGAGTAGGAAGCCGATGATATTGTCGATGTTGTCGATAGACAATAGGCATCACCTCATTCCAAGCAGATTCGGAGCGCATTCCAGTCGAGCAGGCAATCTCGTGCGATCAAACTGGCAGAATCTGGTGGAGAAAGGCTGGGCGAGGAGAGTGCGAGTTCACCGGCCTCGCCGGTTTATGTACGATGCGTGTGTGCCAACAAAGTGGGAGTCAAGCAGAAAGGGACTAGCTCATTCCGAACCTTCCGCACAGAAATACATTTTTAGTGTCGAGTATAATCAAACTTTTGTATCAAGAAGGATGGCACCTGTGCTCAGTTTGTAGTGCAGAGGAGGCCCATACATGCTTTGTTTCTTACCTCCGGTTGGACCTAACGTAATTCAAACGGACCGAAGACCCGATTCGGCCATAACCCAAATTATAATTACGGTAAAATGACAATACACCCTGTTTCTAATTAGCATATACACGAGCCTATAGACCCAAAAAGAAAAGACATCACAAAACATAGTACCGATACAAAATTGGTAGCCTACCCCTCAACGGGGTACAGCAGCCTCCCCTTGTATCTGGTCGGATCGTCCTTATCAAGCACGGCCTTCAACCGGCCCCCAGCACTTTGAACAACGCCCTTCGCCGCTTCCATCCCGTTCCAGCACAGGCTGATACTCCAACACTCAGCCAGCGCCCGGCTCGCAGCGTTCATAGTATCCCATTCCAACTGATCCTGGGCGTGGAGGGCAAGCATGAGGGAGATAAGGGAGTGAAGACCGAGTTGCCAGGAGAGAAGGCCCGAAGGTGCAGGGTGAGTTGACGTGTCTAGAAGGAGAAATGTAGGCAGGAGGAGCAGCCACCGGCGAAGCACGACCTGGTCGATCGTCTCCCTTGGCTCGGTCGGGACCATGATGCCGGACAGCGTCGCAGAAGTGGCTGAAGAGGCCGGGTATGAGGACGACGTGCCGGGAACGGTCATCCGAGTTAGGGCAGACAGAACGCCCCGGTGGAAAGTATAATGTGTTGCAGGGTCCAGTGGGCCTATGGGAGTGTCTGGTGAATGATTGGCGCCCACTGGCGCTGAATGCATAGTCCTGGAAAGAGGAACGCCTGAGGACACTGACCTTCCTGGGGCCGCAGATGCCGTGGAGCTATCCAAGGAGACGGGTGCGATATTGAATGCGCCTGGCATCGTGGGAACAGAAGGACCCTCCATCGGTGCTCCTGCTTGGGGTATGAATGCCCGCGGAACCTGAATAGGTATGGAAGAGTCGGGCAAGTTTGATGGCGTGGAGAGTGATGCTCCTGACGCAGAGCTTAGATGCAACGTGGCTGATTGGAGAGCTTGATTTTCAGAGATCGAAGTTGATGGTGTCCTCCCTGCAGGTATCCGAGACGATGCAGGTGTGATCGGATTTGCATCGCCATTTACAGGTGTAGGGCCATCTGCCCTCTCACCAGTAGAATTGGATATCTGTTGATCGTCCATCTGTTTATTAATGATGATGAGTACCAGTCACGAAAGACAATTGCGCGAGGGGCGCACCATATCCACTGATCGTCGTTTCTAATAACGATGGCGCCTCCCTAGGGTGGAGCCACGACCACAACGCCTCCCCTGCTGGCGAAGAAGTTTCCAAAGAGATCAAGGAATCTCGGTGCTCCGGCCGAAGGGTGCTCGTATGGAATTGTTCCTTGGATGAGGTTTGATCTTGCTTTTAATGGCTGGGCGGGCCTGGGTGCAAGAGAGCGAGCGAGAAAGAGTCGAGCAGAAGCGCACACCGGACAGGGTGGGGATGGCCATCTTTAGTCGAATGATGTCGCTTCGCTGTCGAGCCTGCCCCCGGATTACGGCACCGCTGTCACCCCGGACTGGTTTCCTTCTGCCGAGCCGGTGTTTTGAGACCGGCGCAAAGGGGTATCCTCTCCTCGGGAATCAGAATTTGTCAACGCCCTCAAGCCCCCAAGACTTGCACACGGAATGGTGTATTCGCCGTAGAAATCTCGAATTTGCATCGCATTTTTTTTTGCAGCTGTTACAAAGTATCGGCCCCCGCTTTCCTTATCCGGGGGCTTTGAATCTGCATGCCCGATGGCGATTCGGCACCTCGGCACACGACCCAAAACGCGTGAGCGGAGTTACAAGCGGGTGCATTACCAAGCACTGCCACTCGGAGCCACGACTGAAGGGAACCCCTCGTTTGTATACATAGTTGCTGGGTATCATTATACTTTACTTTGCAACTTATTACTTTGTATCTAAGGGCGCGCTGTATGGACCTGGCTTAGCTTATCTATGCTCTCTGACCACTTGCTCTTACTTGTTGGCTACCCGCTCACCGAGACCCTCGAGTCTGCATTCTTAAACGATCACAACAAGTTGTTGATACTCTTTGCGACATCTGTGCTACAAGCGAAACATTTTCCAAGGGCACATGAATCCCTTGGGAGCGCCATACAGCAATGGGGGGAAGCGCTTGTTTAGTGGAGATGTGGGAGACTCCAGTAGGTAAGCGTTCCTCGGCCCTGTCTCTTAAAATGGCCCGGAATAAAACACGCGTAATATACAGAGGCCCACCTAAACGCCCGCGAGGAATGTGGAATGACCATCCCATACCGCCGTATCCGGATCCCTTCAGCAATGGAACTACTGATAGGCGACCATCTTCACCGATTTCTCAGGAACCACTTCGGGACCGGAATTCCTTTAGCGCGGGCTATAGTTCGACGTCCAATTCTCGACCTGGAGACAACTGGGAGACGGACAAGAACTGGAACGCGCCTCTAAGCGGGGTTGAAGGGCAAGTTCGAGAGCAAGAGCAGGGGCGTGGACAGGGCCGATACAACTCCCCTCCGCCCTCTGTATGGCAGACTTACAAACCGATTGAGCTCCCGGAAGAGATCCGCTATGTCGGGCCTTCCTCAACTTATCGCCCTCCTTCTCCTGTGCAGAGGAATGAACCTCAGCCTCGGCCACCATCGAATGCACCTCCGGGAGGACCACGGAATGGATACACCGCACCAGCTCCGTTTCGGCACCCGCCACCCACAGAGCCCAGAGCTTTGCGGATAGCTAGAGAGAAGGAAAGGCAAAAAGAGGCAGAACGTCAGGAAGACCTTTGGGCCAGGGAGAGGGAAAAGGAAAAAGAACGGGATCTGTATGCGCCTGGCGAAAGACAGGAGTATGAACGTCAGAGGGAATCGCCACGAGATTGTCCTCCCCTTTCCGCCCCTTCTGGCCCTCGGAAAAACCCAGGGTCGATTTTTCTCATCTCTCCTGCCACGGCCAGCGCCTTGGGTAATCACGAGCGCTCGAGACCAGCTTGTTCGCCTTTTCCGAACTCGTTCTCGCCCAGTGGAGCTTCCAGTGCTGCTCGTGGGCTTCCTCCACGGGTAGGGGCGTTTTCTATCTTCTCTCCAGTTCGATCTTCAACCGTCCCCTCCAACAATAGCAGGGAACTTCGCACCAGCTTTCATGCGGGACCTAACCCTTCTAACAGCCATCCTGGGCCCAATCGGACCTCGCCTATACCGAACACAACCACGATCATCACACATCCAATCCCATCCGTGGCAGCCCCAGCGAGCACTGTACGGGCGTCTGGCGATCCACCAAAAGCCGAAGGGTGGACAAGAGAGTTCATTCCCAACCAACGCGCGCGACTGCAAGAATACGCGGCGGCGGATGCCGCCAAGGAACGTGAGCGGGAAATGGACAGAGAAAATTCACAAGCACGAGCACAAGCACAGGTCCGGGCAGAAATATCCCAACATGTTGACTCTGAGGGAATCTCTGCGAACACGAGCACCGGGACAACTCGAGATCAGGTTTGGGTGCCCACCACTAGCCCCAGACGGAACTCTGCAAACTCCGTCATGCTTCGGGAACCGAGTGTCCTGTCCATTTCTCAGAGAGCGGGCTCTGTCGCCTCCACCGCGTCGGGATGTGGGAAAGCGCTGGGTACTCCTCCTGTGCCGCCCGCGGCTGTAGCATGGGGCCATGGTACTGCAGGAGGTGCTCTGAAACAGGACTCACGTGCTGGTTACCAGACTCCCTCTGGCACATCAGGGCGCCCTCAACCAGAGCATGGGTTGGAGATTAAGCGAGGAGAAACTCCAAGAACGGCCGTTAGAGACTTCGTGCCCAGGCAGGTGGTTAAAATGAGACGTAGCGGGCAAGACGCTTCTGCAAATAGTTTGCAAGAATCGAGTACAGTGGAAGACATCCCGGGATTCGGTACTTTCCGGTCCGTGAAGGGCATCCCATCCACTAGTCCCGACAAGGTCGTCGAAGAACATATCGTTAAGCACGAAACGTCTTTTGGATCGTCTGGCCAATCTACTGTAGCATCATTGTTCCACCGTCTCTCCGAGGTACCCATCTCCGAATCATCCCCTGTCGGTACAGCCCCAACATCAACGTCTCTTCCTCCGGGCCTCGGAGCCTTGGCGACAGTCGTGTCATTGGCACAAAACATTGGCCGCTCTCCCAGCCCGCTTATCCAGGCGCTCATGGATGAGATGTTGCCTAAGCCCCGACAGAAGAATGACGCAGCTCCCGCCACACCATCCCCTCTCCGTTCAACAGATGCTTCATCAGATCCAAAATGTGCTTCTTCTCCCGATGCCTCCGCAGAAGACTCGGCTTCAGGAGAACCCTCGGCTGCTGTTGTTCAACGAAAGAGCTCAAAATCTGGTGTTAACCGTCGCGTCAAATCGGCTACCTCTTCCCCGCGTTCCAAGTCAACAGTACCAAGTGTCATACCCGGCTGTTCCAGTGCTGCTGGGTCTGTCAGCGTTTCGTCTTCTTTAGAGCCTATTCCTGGTCTTGGCGGCATTTCTGCCTTCGGAGAACTTGCTTCAATGCCGGATGAGGCTATACCTGGTCTTGGGATCAATAAGTCATCGATAACGCCTCCCCTATCATCGACTTCTATTTCACGCCACACGTCCGCTATTATACCCTCTCGGGGTAGTGCTTCGACGCTTGACCATCCCAAAATCGACAGGACAATAAATTCAAGGAATTTCGATTCGGAGAGCTCCCGAAATACTCCGCGCTCCAGTTCGAATCAACCGGAAGTTTATTCGCCGACCCTCAGTGATTCCTTGTATCCCATTTCGCCATCTCTTGTCCAAGGAACTGGAACTCCAAATGCCACTGTACTTGTCCCGACCGTGACCGATGCGATTTTGCCGTCTACCATCCGTTCCCCCTCGACCATCTCCGAGGACCTGTTGTCCTTTTTTGCACCATTGCCACCTGGATTAGGGTCCCTACCGCCCCCACTGTCTGCCATCACTAGCACAAACGAAGGGGAAACGCTGGAGCCTCCCACGACATCGTCAATGGATACATCCCCCACATCAGAAAATAATAGCACTCTGTCCATGCTACAGGATTTAGTGATTCCATCAAAGGAAACTGAAGATCATGGACAACAGGAACCTGAAAAGGCGCTGCCACAATCACATGATCCACCACCCGACAAGCAGGAATCTGCAAGGGTTATGTCGCCTGTGTTTCCTGCATCACATCTATCTTCAATTGTCGCCACTGAACCTGATTCTTCGTCCCCTCTCACATTGGTTCAGTCTACATCTCCCGTTGAAAGCTTGGTCGTTCTTCCAGGCGGCCAATCTCTGGACGAGATGGACATGCAGATGACTAAAGATTTCCTCGGTGGATCTCATTCCGTCGCCGAGCAACATTCTCCTAAAGACGTGAGCGAGATGTCTCCGAAGGTGGTAGTTGAGAACGCCATGGAGGCTGCTGCAACAGACGCCGCAATTGATCCGATCTCCCGGATTCTGGAGTCTCACAATTATGCCGCTCCCTCTACAGCTTCGAAGGCAAGTGACCCTGAAATATCATGTGTCGACTACATGGAAGATGTTGGTGATTCCATGCCCTCCCCCCCGTTTCTTCCCCGCACATACTGTCCTGAGCCCTCTTCAGATGATCCTTGGACTGTCGCCGATGGAACGCTGGAGTTCCCCACGACATTGGGCCCTCCCAACGCATTATTCTCTCCATTGGAAACTGCAGGGGATTTCTCAGATCCTCGCATTGGCACACCCACTCCTTTCGAAACTTTGTCGGTCATTAGCAATGCGGTGATTCTGGATGATGGAGAGGTTCAAGCAACACCGGCTCTTGACGAAGAGGATCGTGTGATATCCTCACGTACTGAACCGCCATTGTCATCACCGTCGTCATCACCTCTTCTGTCACCCCCCCCTGCACAACGGTTGCAGGACTATGCGAACTTTGTCAAATCCAATAAGCAGAGGAAGCAGGCCCTTCTTGTTGAGCTCGCGGTCACCACTGACCCCATCGAGCGATACCCGATCAAGATGAAGTTAAATGAACTTCAAATGGTAGATGACATGATACCTGACTTGGGCACTACGTTGGCGTGGAGACCTGAGGCATGGCACGACCCAATTGTTGGAGTTACTGTGGCTCAGGCGCCTACCTCGGAAGGCTCAAGCACCCCTGTCGCGGTTGTGAAATGGGTGCCACCTCCGGAACCTACGGAGTTGGCTTTTGATCAACCTTTCAGCAACCTTATGACGCGAAACGAAATGATGATGCCGAACCGAAAGCAAATGGGCACCAGCCGCCGCTTTGTACTGCATGGTGTTCCCGTCAAGTCGCTCAATGCTGTCAGGGAGTACGCCGAGGTATGCAAGCTTTCTGTGCCGCGATGATCTGACTCATGTGAGTGGAACAGACTTATGGATATGTTAAGATATTCTACCCCTTGGCTCATGAGGATGTTCTCCTTGTATTCAGAAAGACACCACCGGTCAGTCCAGTTCACTTGACATTAGCATACATATGCTCATAAGACATGACAGGCATTTGAAAAGCTTGGAAACTTACATATACCATCTCTTGGTACTATCCGTTTCACCGAAGGCTGCTCTGTTGCATAAAGAAGAGCGATACATGTATTTTATAACCTTGAAATTAGTACTGCCTGAGCAGGCTGTTATTACATTCTGTTGTATCTAAACCACCGTTGAATATTCTCTCTTGGTATCTGAAAGCTCAAGATAAGGATATTGTTACTAGGTCAAGTTACATGGTTACATCGTAATCGAAGCGATGTGCCGTCCGCTGTATTCGTTGGAGTGGTCGTGCAGCATCGTACTTGGACGAACCAGGCTTGTCATCGTCTTCATCATCATCTGGCAGGAACAATGGCAGCTCGGGTGGCTCGGGCCGAGAATCTCGAACGGCCCTGATAGAAGTTTGTCCAAGCTCCTCTTCGTCTTCATCTGGGAGGAATAGTGGGGTTTCTGGCGGAGCTGCCACCGGAGGAGTCAGTTCTTCCAGATTTTTGTTGACTTTAATTGAACTCGAGCTTGGGACGGTAGGCTGGATCTCCCACTGTGTGCTATGGTTCCCCGGTTCGCGTACAATGTCATTGAGATCCACCGGAGGTAGGCGGTTTACGATTTGATGCGTATTCCCATTCAGGTATGCGTAACGATACCTTGCTGGAGGAAGACGCGGCGGCCGATCAGCAGGAGATTGATCTTCAATTGAGCTGTGTTCGCTAGATGGCGACCCGGTTTCTGGTGCTGACTGTCCTTTGGCAGGGGACAGAGAAACCGCCGAGGATGGTCTTGGCTGCCCACCTACCACCTCGCCCAGAATGCGCCGAAGCACCCAAGGGCCTAGCTCGCGGTGGAACTCTGGAGTAATGGGCGGTTGTCGAACAGGTAAGAAAAGTACTTCGGCAGGTGATATTGGTTCTTCTGGAAGGTCGGGGATTGGTCTGATAAATTCTGGTGCGTAAGGGATGGCATATTGCCGAACAACCTGCTCTTTCCTTGGGTGATCAAGAGACATGTGATTCCGCCACGCAGCTTCGGTAAGAAACCCTTTACTGCAGTCTACCATAGTGAATGTGAGTCATGAGTGATCCAGTGTGCTGTTCGATCACGAACCTTGGTAGGGGCAGATATAAGTGTAATGACAGAGATGAGCCTTGTGAACATGTGCTTCTAGCTTCTTCACGTTATGGAGACGGGTGCCACAATCATCCCACTGACAGATCTGTTCATTTGGAATGAGACTATGTTTTTGTTTTCCTGTCAAAGCAGAAACCCATACGTGATCTGTTGACGGGTACACATGATTTTTCAACACATGCTGCTTCATGCGTTTTGTCGAGTCCAACAATGCATCACAGTCACCCCATTTACACTCGAAGAGTTGAAGACGATCTTGGGGAAAGGGATTCGGATTGGCGTCCGCTATGAAGCAATTAGCTATGTGTTTTGCTCGTGTTCGACCAAAGTGCGCGCACCCTGTGCCCTCATTTTTGCCTCTTCCGATCTTATAAACGCCCTCTTAGACATCCGAATCTCAACTTCCACTTTGAGACCTTTCGGTGGGTGATGATACTTAATGGCAGCATCGGGATTCCGCCAAAGCTCAGCAAGAGGTCGTTTAACAGAGACGGCCCCAGGATCGCCATACTTGATCTGCCTTCCTGGGTCCAGATGGACAAGTGCACCCAAACTATCCATCCTCATTTGCACCAGTGGTTTCTACTGGGAGAGTTAGACTATTGGCCCAAGAATGTATTGTTAATCAGCCGCTACTTACGCGATGTGGGCAAATCTCTGGCCTGCTCGTCTTTCCCGAGGTCTTGCCAATCAAGGTGGTTGAGTGAGGGAGAGCGTTGAGCTTGGCACCTGGGCTTGAGTTTCCAGACTGAGTGGCTGTGCCGGAAGAACAGCTTATTCTTGTTTTGTTAACTAGTGGCCCTGGGCAAGCAAAATGTATTTTGGAGACCTATCCTAATCATCTAGTCTATTGATCTTCAATCTTTTGTATTCATTGTGGCTGGATACAGGGTTCAGGGTAGAGACGGTACTGTAGGCAAGCACCTTTGGGTATAATAACTAGTGAATGAGCATTTCTGTGCTGAGGCCCCATTTCAGATCCAGTTTACTTGGTTTCAGCAGTTCCATCAGGGTTTGTCATTATCACAGTTTCCAAAAATACCTCCGGTAACAACATAGCCACTAACTATTCCGCCTCGGTGTTATGACCATCGATCACCCTACCTGCACTACAGTTGAGTTGGCATGAACAGAACTGTGCATCTTGTTCGAGCTGCTCGCCGTCACTTGCTAGATCCATTACACTCTCATTCTCCTGTTACGCCTGATCGATCAGTAAGATGCTTTGCCACTGCCTCTGGTTCTATTAATCCTGGTACTCTTGGACCCTTTCAAGTCTTCGATCGTCATGCGAAGCGTTTGCAGAAGGACAGAGCTGCAAGGGCCGATAATGGCGATCAAAGCCGACTGGTCGATTATGTCCGCAATGAGGTGGCCGATGTTATGATTGAAAGGCTCCAGGTATACAAAGGTCCTCAGAACGTTACTGCGCAGGTGTTGATGCTGAATCAAGGACATAAAACGGCGCTTTGAGAATGTGATTGATCTTGGTTCTGGACCAGGCCATCTCACCAAGATGCTCGATAGGGAGATGGCCCCCAGAGTGACCATGATTGACTTGAGTCGTATGCGGTGCGCTTCGTTTATCGGATTCGAATCTGAAGAACGACTACAGACCACACACTGCATCGAGATCCAAAAAGTGAATTCGAAGGTCAGACCATAACGGCGACCTTGATGCACAAACCTCATGAATGGCCTTACAGTGGACGTTGATCGACATCAAATGGATGAAGAAGGCCTTTTAGCAGCTATTCCCGCAAATTCCCAGGATGCTGTCATTTCTTGCCTAAGCCTGCATTGGATCAATGACCTTCCCGGTCCGCTTTCCTTTCTCTCATTTGTCACCTGCTTATCTTGATCTGAAGGAATGCTTGTGCAGATCAAGGAGGTGTTGAAACCGGACGGCGTTTTTCTAGGTGCCTTATTCGGTGGAGATTCTCTTTTCGAGCTTCGGTATGGAAAACAACAAGACACTGTTGAATGCTAAAGATTGTTTAGCTCATCGCTGCAAGTCGCAGAAGTGGAGCGAGAAGGGGGTATATCTCCCAGAGTATCACCTATGACACGTGCGTAGCACATTAAGTATCCGATTTGGACTAATAAATAGGTAGAAACCCAGGATATGTCGAACTTGATGGGGCGCGCTGGCTTCTCGTTATTGACAGTGGACATTGATGAGGTGAAAATATCATACCCCAGTATGTGGGAGTTATTAGAAGATCTCAAGGCGATGGGAGAGGGCAATGCTGTCATAGGACGGTTTGTGAATAACGTTAGTTCCGAACCATATGGCTGACTATATGCAGTCGGCATTATATTCCAAGAGATACGTTGATCGCGGCATCCGCTATCTACGAAGGTAAGGATATGCATGTTGTCTATGCTTCGCCTTACCTTACTGCCTGTAGCATTGCATGGCGCGGAGGATGGGACAGTTCCCGCGACCTTCCAGGTTATTTATGTGGCAAGTCCTCGACATGACGACAGCGTTACGTTTCTTACAACAGATTAGATTGGCTGGAAACCATCTCCGACCCAGCCCAAGTCATTAGAGCGAGGATCCGGACAAACGAACTTGCGCGACGTGCTATGAATATTGACATATTTTGATGCTCTAAGTGCCTCCGGTGTTCTCTGTGGCTGCCAGCGCTTCTTCTGACAGTGCAACATCTTCCGGATCCTCTTCAGAACCTTCATCAACATAATCTGAACCTTGTAGACCGGTATCGTCTTCGGCCGCCTCTGCTGCATCTGTCCTCTCCTTCCCCTGAAATTTTCTTTTCGGTATCTGTTTCCAGAACGCTTCCCTCCAGTTTCGATTCTCCAACCACATCAACATAATATCAACCACTTGATTCACAGTCAAGACCTTCCGCGTAGGAAGCTCACTGAGAAACGTGCCGATAGGTAATCGCGCCGCGCGGATGCCTTGCTCCATAGCCTTGTCACGGCATAGATTCTGTACAGGTGTCACAATTAGGTAGGCCTACTCAGAGGCATTACTCACCTTGTAACGATTGCGGTCCACGATACCTCCAATAATGTACGTCTCTCCCTCTTTCAACTCAGAAATCTCCTCGTCACCGTCCGCCGTCAAGTATACAATCGACTCCTTTGCTACCTTCAGCAGGGGTGCCTCCGGTTTGGCTGGCGGCTCGTCGGCGCTCTCTCCCTGGGCATCATCTGGCTCCTTCCACAGATGTTCATACCCATCTGCCCACCAGTCGACCCCTCTCCACTTCTTGTGTGTCCCATGAAAACCATCCTCCATCCTCTTCTCGGTCTGGCCGTTCAGGGATGCGAAGGCTAGATGAGCGAACGTCGTTGGAGCCTTGCGGTTAGCACCGTACGTATAGCTCATCTGACTGCACAACGACATAACTTCCTGCACAGACATTAACCTTTGCTTTGAACACTCTATATAAAGGCTTGTATACCTTCTCTGTCATCTTGTCATCGAACCCGAGGTCAATGACCACGGTCGCGTTGAATTTCGTCTGTTGTAAGGGGGCAGGTCTAGGTCGCTTCCTCGGCGGTTCCGGTGGCTCTCCATTGGCAATGGCTTCTTCTCTCTTTCTTTTCTTCTCCGCCTTCTTCTCTTTATCCTTCAACTTGCGGGCAACCTTGAGAGCAGCCTGCTTTTCGACCCTGCGCAGGCGTCGTTGGGCGTTCTTTGACAAATGCGGTTCTGACGCTACAGCTGAGGCTTCAGACGGTGCCCCCTGTACGATGTGGGTTGCAGCACTATTTGGCGCTGGCAGCGCGGCGGTTTCTTCAAGGACGTCTGGAAGTACCTGCTCCTCGTCGTTCGACATGACAGTGCTTCGCTGAAAGAAGTCAAACCCCGATGGAAGGCTGTGTCACGAGTCACACAGTGACGCGACCTCCCCACAGGTACTGTAACATCGTATGTTGCGTCTTGTACGTTTAGGGCTTGTACTAACGCTTCTGTTTGCTGGCATCGCCATTTATAGAGGACTATTGTGGTCGCCCAGTCCCTATCCCTCAACGTCTTTCTCTGATACCATGGCCCATCTACAGCCTTTAAAGTTCGTTCAAGTGCTGCCCAAGGCGAAGCATACCGCGACTGTCTTCTTTATGCATGTGCGTGTACAACCGGAACTACCGCATCTCAGAGTAACAACCGCGGTAGGGATTGGGGGATAGCGGTGCAGGATGGGCGCCAGTTGCGGATATGTTGTCCGAGAAACTTCCTCATGTGAAATGGATTCTGCCTAACGCGTTCGTATGACTTTCATGGCGTAAACGCCGTGTCCTTATCAATAAACAGTCGGACGCAACCGGTCACCGTCAACTGGGGAATGGATTGTGAGCCGGTTTGGCCTGCATGATATTACATTCTCATGGTCTCAGCCCCGTCGTGGTTCGACATCTATACACTCGGAGACCGATCGATGCCGCAGCGAGAGGACGAGCGGGGCATGTTGGACTCTGTGGTTTCAATAGAGGCGCTTGTTGCCGACGAAATCGAGAAGAACAATATCCCGAGCGAACGAATCATTGTAAGTATTCCCTTGTCCTCTCCGTTTGCTCCTGACCAGCCTTGAAGGTCGGCGGTTTCAGTCAAGGAGGTGCTCTGAGCATGTTGTTTGGCACAACCACGAAGCACAAGCTAGGTGGGATCGTCGTATTGTCAGCCTGGCTTCCTCTCCGGGACAAGATCGCATCGGTAAGTGCCGCTGTTTGCTCACATCTACATGTACTTATCTTTCGCAAGATGGTCTCTCCCGAGCTGAAGACCCTCCCGATCTTTCAAGGTCATGGGGTTCAGGATGCGATTGTACAGTGCGAGTGGGGTCGTCTCAGTGGGGAATATTTGAAAGAGAAGTTCGGTGTCAAGGTGGCAGAGCCGGGGAAACTGAAAGAGGGTGGGATCATCTTCAAGACTTACCAAGGATTGTAAGTTATGAGTTTCTTCACATTCGCACTACCGATTTGATATTATCCAGGTTACATGGTGCGTCAGACGAAGAGATAGAGGATCTCTCCAAGTGGTTGCAGGAAGTTCTCCCCAACAATTGACTCGCACCCCGATTTTAGATGACATGATGGACTTGGATTTGATGATTCCCTTCCGTGCTTGTTCTCTCTATAAATGGTAGCAATGTTTAGTGTACGTAAAGAAGATGTAGGATGACCTTGTACTAGAACTCGGTGCCAGTTACTGCGCAAGTCACATAGGCCTGCCCTAAACAATAACAGTCTGACAGCTCAGGGTTCACTGACGTAATAATTCAAAGTCCGCTGCATGCTCTCCACAATTGCCGGTCAGGGCTTTCGCACTTCAATACCCTGCCATTGATGCGCCGAGAGCTCTTGGCTCCTTGTCTGTATGATGTTTGGACTCTTGAAGCCCTAGTTTGGATGCGTTGGTGTTGAGGCAACTAGGCGGTGTTTTTAATCTCTGTGACTGAGTAAAATCGAGCGACCAACGGGAGGTCATGTCATATCAACCTTTGAGCATTAGATGATTGCAAACGGAAGATCTCCAGACAGAGAGTTTTCATATCTAAATGCGGGCCGGATTACGGCGACGAAGGAGTCAGCATTATTCTCCGCTTATGGATCACATCCCGGTGTTTCCTGGTGATTCTTGCCAGGTGACTATGTCGAGTCGGGGAAGAAATGATCAGTCCTGTTTGACAGAATATGTGTTGCCAGGTGGCCGTTCAATGGTAGTTACCCCGAACTTCGTGATGTCAAGGTATACTCTAAAAACATGTGCCTCTCATAGGCAGCAGTCTGCTGGCCCAATTGTAAACCCGTTTTTACCCAGTGCGGCTGGAAGTCAGCCGTGAATGCAAGCGTGGTGATTAGAAGTTCGTTTACATAACTCTATATAGGTCAATCCCGTGAGATTTTCGCCCAGATATCACACATTCCAGTCGGCAACGCGTCCCTATCTCGCGCAAAAAGAATGAAGTAAACGTGGCGATGGACCTGACACTGATCGCGATCATACGGCAGATAGGCACATCGGCCAAGCGAGGGACCTACGAGCACCTTCCCACAGCGTTTCACACGTCTAGCTCTTGACAGGTCAGTCATCTGGCGAGCCTTTCACTTGATCTCCTACACTGCGTGGGCAGCCCAGCTATCTCTGTATCCCAACTAACGACTTGTTATGGACTACTTGTCTGGCGAACATTAATTTCCCGCAAGAGCTCTTCACTGGTTCTAACTGTGCTGTTCGTTGGAGATTGCTGGCTCGTCTTTGCATGGAAGCTCGAAACATAGTGGGCTGGGTTCGCAAGCCATGTCTATGAAGAAGAGGGGTGATGCACACTTGCCAGCCCTGTCGACTGCGTGCAGGCTGGACGCTGCTCAGTCTCTCTCAGACGCAATGTCTGTGGTGATTGTCTCACGTCATACCCATCAGGGACTACTTCGGAAGCAAACTGACCTCAGCGCACGGACCCACGGAAGCAATGACCGCCCTCTGGAGCGCGCCGTGGGACAGTTGGTTTGCTCGCGAGCTCAACGCCCCAGAAAGGACCCCTCTTCCTAATCGTCCGACGACAGGACGTCGCCCCGGCGTTCGACCTCGACGTCTACCCCTTTCTCTTCAACCATCACCCTGCATTTCACCACATTCCTGCATTCCAATCAGTCAACTCTGTTCTCAACGCGCATTGTTTACCCACCCAGAGCTCTAGTTGTCACGAAGGACCCCGGTCGTTCATCATCCTAGCGCGTCCCTGGGTACTTCAGCACAACAATCACGACTTTTGGCACAAAATATCACATCACTTGTGTCGCATCTTCACCACAAACGTCAGCGATCAATCACTGCGAACGAGTTTATCGAGTCTCCGCTTGATCTGCGCTGCTTTTGCTAGGGTTGAGAGGGTTAAAAGTCTGAGTTGTGCGGCGTCTTTGTTTGGGTCAAGTCATCGTATGTTTGGCGCCAAGGTCTTGTTTTTCTCTGTCTGATCTCGTGCATATCTCTAGAAGCTTCCATTGTGGTCCCTGTTTGCCCAATCTGGCGGCTCTGTTCACGCCTAGACCTGCTGCCCCAGCTTCGCCGGCCATTCTGACCGACGAGGGGCTTATCAATCAGTCCCTCCTGGATTCTCTCGACAGCTCTCTTGAGCAGGATCACCTTCATAGTTACGTTCCAGAGATTACTGGGGGTGACAGCGAGGCAGAAGCCCAGTCCACCATCAGACGCACATACTCGACATCATCTCACGCGTCTTCGAACGGCTCCATTTCTCAGTCACATACTCGACGCTCTACAGCATCAATGGCTACTTACTCAGGCCCGCAGCTAGCGCTGCCACCGCCTCACGAATCATATGCGGCATACCGCTTGAATTCGCTGTCATACGCGCCCTCTGCCTTGTCACCAGGCTCTGAACCATTCGATCCCGTTCGAGGCGGTCCACGGTTTGATCAATTCGATGACGAGCACATGACTCAACTCCCCAACACTGGAGCTGCCTTTGGAAACCTAGCTCCGGGTGCTCCTTCCGTCAATCAAATGCTTGGGCGCGGTAGCGTCCAGCTTCACAGCGGTTATACTCGCCCAAGGGCTCCGCAAAATGCGACCATCACCACCACATATCCGGACTCGATGAATAGGATCGGCTCCGTGCCCAACCTCATGAGTCCTGTTGGCGGACCCTCTGAGGCTTTCCCGGGTCGTCAGGGTCCAAAGGACATCCTGTCGCCGCAAGCAAGAGCGTTTGAGCTCTCTGGGACTGGTGGTGCTGGTGCTCTGCAGCAAAAGCTCCTGCTGCAGCAACAGTCCAGTAACCAGCAACAGCAGCTCGAGGCTCAAAGGGCTTTGCAAATGCAAAATGTGCAAGCCCTGCAGCTCGAAAGACATCGACAACAGCAGCAAATGGTTCAGCAACAAGCTCCGGCGCAGGGAAATCAGGGTGGTTTTGGCGCGAACGGGCTGTCCAACGCAAACGGCCAACCCATTAACCTTGGCAATATCTCATCGATGAATGGTGTAGTTGTCCCTGGCGTGGGTGCGGTGAAAGCTGCCTCGTTGCCGAGTTCTACTCCCGCATTCCAGCAGCAGAGCCAACGTGTCCAGCGCGGCCAGGACACGTCTGGAAATGCACCGTATGCCAATCAGCAATCCTTGGGAAATGCACCTGGTTCCCTACATGTGCCGCCTGGATTCACAAATAGCACGACTCCGCAGTCTTCCGGTGCAGCAACCGGTAACACGTCAGGCGGTGGTCTTTCCAGCGCTGCTGCCGCACCTCCCTTGGCTGCCGAAGAGATCTCAACGATTTTCGTCGTTGGTTTCCCTGACGACATGCAGGTTAGTTCATAAACATCTTGGCACGACCCCGGAATTGACATCATTTCAGGAACGCGAATTCCAAAATATGTTCACTTTCTCACCGGGCTTCGAAGCGGCTACCTTAAAGATCCCCAACAAGGATCTCACGTCGTATGGCCCTGGTGCTCTCGCCCCAGGTTCCTCAGCTGCTGCTGCTGTCAATGTTCTCCGTCAAGCCGGTTTCGCTTCTAGCTATGCCGGCGGAGGCGCCCAAGCTGCTGGTGATCCTTATTCCCTCGTGGGCCTTAATGCACAAGGCGGCCTAATCGACTCGCGCGAAATTTCAAGTGGCCTCGCTGCAGCCGCTGCCAGTGGTTGGCAGATTCCCGAAGACCCCTTTGCACGGAACAGCGCATCGGGTCTCATGGGAATTGGCGGCAATCCCACTGATCTCACCTCTCACCTTGCTCTTCCCATGCCCAGAAAACAAATCATCGGCTTCGCTAAATTTAGAACTCGCGAACAGGCCTCTGAGGCACGTGATGTTCTCCAGGGTCGCCGCATTGATGTAGAAAAAGGTGCCGTCCTGAAGGCTGAGATGGCCAAGAAGAACCTGCACACCAAGAGAGGCGTCGGGCCACTTGGTGGTTCCTCTGCGGCTGGTAATGCGGGTGCGAACGACCCGATGTCACTGGCATCCCCTCCCGGCATGAACGGTCCCAACGGTGCAGTTGGCCTGCCAGGTTACGCTGGTGTCCAAGGCTCCGGCTTGCCACCTCTCGGTAACACTATGTCAAATGATGGCTCGATACCTTTGACGCAGAGAGACAAAGATATGCAGACTATCGTCGCGATGGGGCTCAATCCGTCGTCCCAGCGCATCATGGATACAGACAGGGTGAAAGACCGCCAGCAGCGGCTCGAAATGGAAGGGGCGTATCAGCAGGGGCTACAGGGCCCCACCCGCTCTCGCATGACTGCTTACGATGCCTTCCATTCCGTTGCCGATCCCGAAGTTCAGCAACACGTCCCAGGGCGGCAGCCCTCTATCGTTGGTCGTGGTTCTATCTCTGCTGGTTCAGGTCCCGGCCTTGTCAGCCGCGGGATGCTCTCTCCAACTTTTGAAAGTATGAGCCCCTCGGCCACGGACCCGTACGCCCCGTTCGGATTGCTCAATGGAGCCGGGGATCATGGCCTCCCTGGTGGGATCTCTACCCGAGCCGGACTACCAAGTTCTATGCTCGATCGGCGCATGTCCCATTCCCATGGTCAAGTCCAGCCGTCTAGACAGGATCCCATGGCAGCGACGCAGGACATGTGGGAGTCGTTGCCCAATACCAACGCTAGTGACCCCTACAATCAAGGCATGTTGAAAGGGCTATCCCACATGAACATAGCAGAAGACCCTGAAGAGGATGCAGGTGCTGCCCCTCGAAGCGCAGCAGTTCCATCGTCCACCTCATCCAATCGTTCTCAACCCAGTCCCCCTGCGGATAAAGATGCCGTCGGTCACCGTAGCAATGGTTCACCTCCTGGTATGATTCAGGGCAATCGCATTGATGCTCGTCCTCCGGGCCGTGAGAGTAGCCCTCCGAGAGGTATGATGTCCGGACAGAGCATGTCTTCCGAAGGTTCGCCGTCTAGGGAGGAGTCTCGTCTTGGGAACATCGACTCACTCATTCGAAGGGACTCCGGGGATAGTGATCTCACCCGGTCCTCAATGACCGGTATTCACACCAATACCCATGGCGAGATGACGTCTCCGCCTCTATCCTCCCCTGGTTCTGGAGGATCCTATATTAGAACCAATTCGTCTGACCAGAATCCTCCTGTAAGTCGACCATTTTTGTCATCCTCTCACGTCTGATTGTATATCAGATTAATACGTTATACGTCGGTAATCTTCCAACAACGCCTCCTGCCTCTCTTTCGTCCAACCCTCTTGAAGAAAATCTCAAAACTGTCTTTTCTCAGTGCCCCGGGTTCCGCAAGCTTTGCTTCCGTCAAAAGAGCAATGGACCCATGTGCTTCATTGAGGTGCGCACCTTTGTTCAGTGCATTTAGAGAGCACTGACAATTTTCCCCGTTAGTTCGATGACGTCGATTATGCAACTAAGGCGATGCACTCATTATACGGACATACACTGAACGGGCTTGTGAAGGGTGGTATTCGGTTGTCTTTCAGCAAGAACCCACTTGGCGTTCGCTCTGGCAGTGTGTCTGCCGGCTCTAGTAGCGCTCACGGCCACATTGGACAAGAAAGTGTTGGTCGATATGGAAGACATGGATCGCTGGCTGAGCTGAGAGGACCCTCGAGACAGAGCTCTTTGGACATGCTTTCCCCCACCGGTTCCTCTTTCTCTTTCGGGTCCTCTCCGCCTAGCCGGTTCTTCTCCCCACCGCCACCAGGACAAATGGGATCTGTTAGCCCTCCCATTGGCTCTGGACGCAATCTTCCCGGAGGCTACTTCCGTAGTAGCCAAGCCTTCGCCGATACCACATTCTCACCGTTCGCTGTCCCCGTTGCCTCAGGCAACTTATTGGGCCCATCTTTCTCCGAAGAAGGATTTGAAGAATTCTCTTATGCTCTGGCGCCGTCCCCCGACCCCGAAGCTAACCGTTAGGTTGGCGCGCATACACATACATCCCGTGGCATATCATCCAGCACAACCACCCGCTCTGTATTCTAGGTCGATACCCGCATGCTTGCACGACATGCGCTCCGGCGCAGCAACCTCGTTCATACTCCACTATATATATCGCAGCTGTTTTCGTGGACATTCGAAGTTTCTTTCTGCTGGGTCTACCGCGTTGTCTCTGTAGTCAAACGATACACCTTCGTGTTCCATTTTCAACACTCCCACTTCTTCCAAACCACCCCCTTTCGCAACGCTCTCTCTGGGTTCAAGTTGTCCATTATCTCTGTCTCCACGTCTCCACGCCCTCGCATACGTTCAATAAAGCCTCACCAAGTGTCTGTGCGATTAGTTCCTCTCACACTATCCCCTCTTCTCTCATCACTGATATATGTCTCTGCCTTTCTTGCATCGCATTCTCGGAAGCGTTGCCGTCGCCGGCGCTCTGCCGACAGTTTTGTTATTTTCCTAATGCCGTTACCCCGAATGTATTATTCAAGAATTACGATGTTTTCCATACAGAATCAGTTATACTGTGCCGCTTGAATAACACGACCACTGAAGACCCTTACTTCTGAGCTGAATCCTGTCTCTCGGGGCACGTGCACCTCATCCATTCCCTCAACCACCACCACCCGCTCGATGTCTTCTTGAACTACGACCATCTGGGAGGCATGAATGGCGTTTTCCCATACAAGGCACTTCTCTTTACCTCCATCACCAACTTCTATCAGGCAGCCCACCAACCCGACTGGTTCGACTGCAGCATTCAGGGCTGCCCCTCCTGGCCCTGCTGACCGGCTTCTACTTCCGGCCCTATACGTTCGCAAAGGCAGAGACGCGCCATTATCTTCGTCACGATCTATTCGCTCAGAACGAGAGACACTGAAAGGTGGTCTAGATTCCCTCGATGCAGGACAGGCTACCGATGAGACGGGGGAAGATGTGTTGGCAACGGAGCTCAGCTCCTTTGTGCTCGAGGAGGCAGATGTCCAACTAGAGGGTTACCAATTATATGCTGTGGAGAAATGGTCAGTTATTACGTATCAACTGTTAGCATGTGGATCTGATTGGGTCGTGTAGGGTTGTGGAGCGAGAGAAACTATTACCCACTGTGACAGTCTGGACTGGAGATCCCACAGACAAGGTGAGTACAGCATCCAGGCCGAAACAGGCTTGTTAAGTATGTCAATAGATTACTGCCGCAGTACTGCGACTGAACGATGCAACTATACCCTTCGATAAAGCTACCCATTCCTTCCGTCAACACGGCGCAAGACCGATGGAACATGCTCGTGGTACCATCATGGTCACATCACTGGCGACATTCCGCTCCGACCTCAATATCGTTCAAATCCCTGGAGGCGTATACGCATCCGCGAAACAAGATCTTGCTGTGAATATTGATTTATCAAGATTAGGTTGCAGCGGTAGAAGAGCATTAACACTGGAGCAGCCCACGTTAGTTTGACTGTCCCTAATCCTTTCATACATATCTGACAGCGTCACCAGTCAAGCAGCTCAAGACAAGTTTCTACAGATCTATCACTTGACTCCATCAACGCCATTTTCGCTTACCGTCATCACCCTAATCAAGCTCGTACAATCTGCCTTATTCATCTTTGGCTGTTTCCCACCTGCTCCTGAGCTGCGCGATGGTCTATTATGCGATATCACTGAGTCTGGTTTACAAAAATGGATGGCTGAAATTGGTGAACCCGTTTACGATCTTGAGCCATCCGCCCGGATCCTCGATGATCAGGTCGTTGCCGCTCTGCTCAGCAGCATTACTGCCGCAAGACAAAGACTCGCGGCAAGCGCAGGGCGCATTAGAGGAGAAATGGGTGGCCGCAACTTCCTATCGTCATCGGATGTTCCGAGGGATCCACTGGCGCATCCCACTACATTTCTCAAGGTTCTCGCAACGTGGCAGAAGTCACAAAAGATGCCTGTCAGCTGGTTGAACGCACAGACCATTAATCAGCTAAAGGGTGATCAACCTCGACAACGTCGCCTCTCCGACCCACACAAAGCTACAATGTCCCGCGCCCTCCGGCAGAAGCTAGACGAAGCATTGCCTGTGAACCTTTACCATGGTTCTGGGCACGACCTGGATACCCTGGACCTGGAGAAATTTGCTCGGTATAGCGTAACAAAAGGCGGTGAAGGAGTGGACTCTGTCCGTTGGCTCTGGACAGGCCGAGCAAGACCTGTTATCACGCGCCAGGGACAGCCAGGTGAACCTCAAGGAAAGTGGTCCCGAACTGACGATGGTGGGGACGACGATAACGACTCGTATATCGGTACCGCATTACAGCGTAGTACTGGGAAGATGGCCAAAAGGAGTCATCAGCTCATGGAAGGCTTCACTGGTTGGAGAAGAGATATTCTTGATTTCGGCCGTCATAGGAAACCTTCGAGTCCCGAGTCGGATGTAGAGGTCTTGCGCTCCCCTAGGCCGCGGTCACCTCAGACAGCGGTTGAAATACCCTCTCTGGTTGTAACAAACAGCTTGGACGAAAACAAATATCCATCAGCACAGAGCCAACGTGAGCCTGTTCATCGCGTGCTTGGTCCACCTGCTAATGGTGTGGTGCTCCTAGCAACTCCATCAGCAGTGCGGTCGGCACAGAGTTCATGGTCAAACCTATCTGATACGCTTAGTAATCAGGCAGTACCTGCCACGGCACCCGCTGGTAGCACTCGGTTTCCCCCTCTGCGTAGCAGGAAAGGCAAAGCAGTCACATCAAAACTCAGTCGACCCACTTTTTTCCAAAGCCAGTCTGATAGCGTTCTTCGCGAGCTAGATTTCGAAGATTACGAACTTCCAGCGGCACTTCGTCCGGGTATGAATCGTGCTGTGACCTACTATGAAGTCTCTGCGCCATCAACCGTTCCAAAGACACCCAAGTGGAGGAGGCATAGCTTCACGACGTCGGACGGGTACAAAGAATTGCGCCATGTCGCCGTGGATCGTCTGAAAACGGACGTGGATCTATGCCAGGCGTTGTTGGACATGCGGCAACGGGAAGACGCGCTGCTGCATACACTCGCTACCCTGAGGTCTATCGTTTATGCTCAGAGAGACGCAACCGCTGCTGTTCGAGGTGATCTCAAAGATCAAAGAGCCAAGTTGGACAGCCTACGAGACAAAGCGCGCCAGCTGATCGTAGATCCGGCCATTCGTCGCCGACCAGGAGACGGTATCGAACCCACTTTACTGCGCATCCAGCGCGTGGGGGACGAGCTCGGCCGCCTAAAGTACACGTATGAAGTCACCGATGACCGGCTACGCGAAGTGGAGGGCATGGTCTGGGGTTTGACGAGGCGGATCAACGATAGTGGTGTGCGGGACATGTTGGAGGAGGAAGAACACAAGCAACGAGCAAAGGGTGTCGGGCCAGATGGTCGTAAGCTGTGGATGAAAGGCGGGCAGAGGCTGAGGTCGAGATTGGTGGATTGGGCAATGTGGTCCGGGAACTTATGGAGTTGGCTTACGAGACGGAAGGTTGAGGTGATCCCTCCCAGTGGTGCTGGCACCCCCACTCACGGACGGAGTCGAGCGCCTAGCCTGACATTAACCCTCCCTCATCCAGCCTAGCGATTGTGAAGAGGCATGTGATGTAGCAAGTGCTCTACCAGGTCCACAGGTTAAGAGCATCTTCCCATAAGTCAAATATGCACAATAGATACCAGGTATTCATTAATACCTCAGCAATGTACTTTTACAGTACCCATGAACAACTGTATGATCCACTCTCCCCTGCTACCCTCAGAAGATCATGTGATAACCAGCCAATGAATAGAACGAAATATAGCACGAGATTGGGGGAGCAGTCGATCATTGACGCTTAACGAGCTTGCCCTGCGCCTTTTTCATGGTGCGTTTGCGCTCCTTTTCCTCCCACTAGATAGGCGTGAGCGAACTGCCTCCCGATAATATGCAAGATACACACCTTCTTCTGCTCTTCGGCACTCAGCTTAGACACCCTCTCCTGCTCTGCCTTCCGCTTCGCAGCCTTCTTATCCTCTCCTTCCTCCTCGTCGCGTTCTTTCTTTTCCTTAGCGATCTCCTTCAGTAGTTCTTCCTCAAAGTCCTGCCTGCTACGCTTGAGCTTGCGAATGGTCTGCACAACCCAGTCAACACCTCTTCACAAATACAATAGCACACACTGACCTCGACACGCAGTGGAAGCTTGTCCACTGTATCGACGAAGCGGAAAATAGATTGCACCATGGGCAGCGTCTCCGCGTTCTGTCCACCAGAAGGCGGCTCGAGGGCGAGGATAACGTGCCTCTCACGCTCGGCGAGTGGGATGGGTACCTCGGGCCTATCAGCAGGCTGGTCGGTGACCTAAATCCCCGCCCTTGGTCAGATGATAAAAATATAACGATGCGAGCATGGTACTGACGATCAGGTAACGGAAGTACTTGAGCACATTCGGGTCGTTCAGAGTCGCCAGAAGAGGCCCTTTTAGTATCGCTTCGGTGATATCTGCTGCTTCAGTCATGATTCCCAGCGAGACAGGAAGGGTCTTATCATCACCGGCTTTAGTGAGGGACTAATGCGAAAGAATCAGGGTAGCCCGATTTCGTAGATAACGCAAACATACGAGATCCCACCGAGCGCGGCGGAGAGTCTTCATCTCATCCTTCTTCATAACTGCCCAAACGAATCCAGGCCTGGTACCATCGTCGTTGAGCCTAAAGTCGAGCTCCAGTAAGTCCCGAGGGGAATAGTCGAGCTCGATCAGACTGCGACCAAAGTCGTAAATCATATCGATCAGGTTGTGCCGCGAGAGCAGGGTGAATGTCGTATGCAATGAGAGGACACCGCGTCTGCCAGTGGAGAATATGAAGTAATCTGACGGGCCGTCTGACTGTAATTGTCTCACAGCAGGGCGTGTGAACTGCGTCTCGTAGAACGGCAGGTGTGTTTTGAACCTGGCGGTTGCAAGTCAACGTGCGCGCGTACAACCAGAGAAAAAGAGCTAGGACGCACCAAGCTCTCACACGACCACCATTAAGCGCCCTGCCAATCGCCCAGACGAGGAGGTAGATAATAACAAACCCAAGCCCGACAGCTTCGAACTTGAACTGGCCCGGGCGGAAGACGATGTTCCTCCACCGGTATTCGAGGCCTTCGTACTCGCCTTCCGGAACCGGCGGTGGGGGTTGAAGAAAGCGCAGTGCACCATTAAGTTGAGTGAGCAGCGCTGCGGACATGTTGATTGTTTAACGAGAGGCCGACCAAGGTATACACCTGTTGGAATTGTAGAGAAACAGACTGAGGAAGAGTGGGAACGATGCGGGGATGTTCCTTAAATTAACCATCACGTGGACCTCATTCACTCGCTTCCGGTCGGAGAAGATGACGGAGGCAGAAAGTGGAAAGAAGCATGGACACGACCAGTAAGGGATCGTCGCCCTGACTCGAGCATTTATTACTTTACACATATCCCTCTGTGGAAAATCATGCCTACCGTCGCAGTAGACAAGGCGGACTTGTTTGAGAGACTTGGGAGAAACTACAGTACGCGAAATGAACATCTTGTTTGAAAAATGAGGCTCATGAAGCTGCAGCGACGGAGGAATTCGATCATCTGTGCTTCGAGTTTGGCATAGAGCTGGATGAGGACGTCAGTCAATGCATCAACACCTGAGAGTAATACTGAGCCCGCGGTAGACAACAGAAGAGGTCGAGGAAAACATCAAGAAGGGTCTTCCTGCCGAACGTCCCGTACGTCCGCCGCTTCACTCACTCCGCACTTAGGCTCACCTGGGCTCAGCAACTGAAAATCGAGGTTGGCGCGAATCGCTATGACCTTCTCTGCTTGGAGGGCATCTCCCGAGCGTTGCGCATCTTCCTCCAGCTTCAGAAACCTCCTGTGTATAAGTATCGTAAGTTCGGGCCGGGGGAGAAGATGATAACCGCGACTGTCGCGCCCGATGTGCGTGGCCCTTCACTGACGAGCGCTTCTAGCACTAACAATGTAATTGTGATCAGTGCGCTCGCGTGCGCCCCTTCTTCGCCGGTGCGGTCCTCCGCAACTTGCACTTCACCCAACGCTCCTATGACAGCTTCATTGACTTGCAGGACAAGCTGCACCAGAACATCTGCCGGCGGCGTTCACTCGTCGCTATCGGGACGCATGACCTTGACACTATTGTTGCACCCTTCTCGTACGAAGCCCTCCCTCAGAACGAGATCAAGTTCGTGCCATTGAATAAGAGTCAAGCATATACATGCGAGGAACTGATGGAGCTGTACAAGGTACAACAGCTCAAGGAATTGCAACGCGCGGAATTGACTGATCCTGTTGTAGAGCGACAAGCACCTAAGCCGCTACTTGCACATCACCAAAGACCTTCCTGTACACCCGATCATCTACGACACCAAGCGGCAGGTGCTCTCCATGCCCCCCATTATCAACTCCGAGCACTCGAAGATCACATTAAACACGAGGAACGTGTTCATCGATGTCACCGCGACGGACGAGACAAAGCTCAACATTGTCGTCAACATGGTTGCCACGATGTTCTCCGAGTATTGCTCGGAACCTTTCACGTGGGTATTTTGAGGTCATCCGAAAGATAATAGACTGAATGTTTCATAGCATTGAGCCAGTCCAGATCATCTACCCTGATGAGAGGACAAAAATCACCCCCGAGCTCACACCGCACAAGATGGTCGCTCATGCCTCGTATATCAACGCCTGCACCGGTCTGTCTATCACCGCGAAAAAGGCTGCCACCCTCATTGAGCGTATGTCCTTGCACACGTCCCTTTCTCCCAACTCGTCCGACGAGATCCTCGTCGATGTCCCGGCTACACGGCCCGACATCCTGCACGAGTGCGATATAATGGAAGATGCTGCAGTCGCATACGGATTCAATAACCTGAAGAAGACTTTCCCCTCCACGTCTACCGTCGCACAGCCGCTCGCCATTGGCAGGCTATGCGATATTGTCCGCCGAGAGTGTGCCCAAGCCGGATGGATCGAGGTCCTCCCGCTCATCCTCTGCTCGCATGATGAGAACTTCGCCTGGATGAACAGGAAGGACGACGGGAAGACCGCCGTGCGGCTTGCGAACCCCAAGACGCTCGAGTACCAGGTCATCCGTACTTCACTCCTACCGGGAATACTCAAAACAGTGCGTGAGAACAAGGCGCACGCTCTGCCTATACGCGTGTTCGAGACGAGCGACGTGGTCATCCAAGACCTGAGCAGGGAGAGCCAGACGAGGAACATTAGGAATATGGGTGCTGTATGGTGTAACAAGACTGCGGGTTTCGAGATCGTCCATGGACTATTAGATCGCATTATGGCAATCCTGGAGATTCCCAGAATTCACGAGAAGGAGAGTACCGACTTTGGCTACTATATCAAGGAAACACAAAGTACGTCCTCTCCTACGTGTGTCACATTGTCCACGTAATGACTTTTGGGGTAGATCCCACTTTCTTCCTTGGCCGAGCCGCCACTATCCATTATCGTCCAAAGCCGGCCTCGTCGCACCAGGCAGTGAACAGCTCCATGGCAGCAGCTCTAGCCGAACCTGCTGTGTCGAAAGGAGGTACCTCCGTCCCTCTATACACACTCCACGCGCAACAGGCGAACAGCTTGTCGACAGTAGACACACTCAAGACGGCATTGTCTTCGATCGCCCCTTCTGTGAACGACATCCAGCTGGGTATGCTGGGCATCCTCCACCCAACTGTGCTACAGAAGTTTGAGATCGACTTCCCGTGCTCGGCGCTAGAGCTCAACTTGGAGCCCTTCAAGAAAGAATCGTTGAATGTATGGGGCCAGTAGATATTTGTAGATTGAATCATTGCGATAGCCGTAGATGGTACCGACTGAGAATATACCTTCGGGAGCAACATTTCCAGACAAATCTCTTAGCTATCTGCTTCTGAGCCTCACATTGGTTTACTAGTTCAACATATGTCCCTACCACAGAGGTCATAGTCCTAGACCCTCGGTCTTAATTGTACAACTCCCCGATTAACACGGCTCGAGCCTTGCTTCCTGTCGGAAGAGGAGCATGATCTTCTTTCGTCCCGGGTGGGACGTAGACCAGCCCATTTGCCCCACTCAAGCTGGCGACTCGACTGGAGCGCTGCCCTCCTGTAGAGAATGCATTGAGACCGTCCGAAGTTGCATGCACGTGCACTCGGTGGTACTCCGGCCTCGGATCTCTCGGACATGGATCTTGTAGCTGTAGCAGCAGGGTCAGTGCGTTCTCCGTGACCAACCATCGTCGTGCGTACAGTAACAGTAACGGTAGGCAACTTGCGCTCACTTGCAGGCCAGCCACCCATTGTTCGCAATGCTGGTACGACAAAAATGTAGAAACACACCAAAGCCGAAGCTGGATTTCCAGGAAGGGCAAAAATCGACTTCGTTTTCCCGTGGTGTTCCAAAGTGGCGAAAGTTGTAGGTTTGCCAGGTTTGACCTTCACCCGTCCGAAACGGATTGTTCCATTCAAATAACGCTCAATCACTGGCTTCAATAGGTCTGTGGAGCCCATAGAAGTACCACCGGTTGTGATAATGATATCTGCAGAAAGAAGACCTTCCGTTAGAGCGTCTACATGTGACTTGATGCTGGGAAGACGTAAGCCAACAGATCGCCCCGAATTACGGGTAGGTACTCACTCATCCTTCACAATGCCGAGATCCACCACATCATATCCCATGCCTTGTAACAATGCTTGAAGGCTTGGACGGTTGGTGTCCCAAATTCCTGTCCAATCTTCGCCGTCAGTTCCAGGTCCGATGCCCGAGACATCCGCGATCTCATTGCCGGTCGACAGGATGGCAACGACTGGTTTGCGGATGACTTGCACCTGGACAATTGATGGGTACAGCGTTGCAGACGCCATAAGAAATAGTACCTTCTTCTGACCAACGAAAGCGACGGTTCCGAGCTCGCCTCCCCCGCTTTTTAGTACTAACCCCTTTTGAAGGACAAGGGCACCTTTCTTGACATCAGAGCCTGGTGCTCGTGTGTTTTCGCCCACCTCCATCTTGGCGAGTGTCTCGACCTCAACCTCTTCTCCATTATCGTCGCCGTCACTCTCGACAGAGGAGATCAGCTTCGTATCTTCCACCATTATCACCGCATCCATATTCGGGGGTAACGGCGAACCCGTATTTATCCGATATATGTACCCGTTTGGTACGTTCTTGTTGCGAGGAACCAGCAGAGGCGACAAAACGCGATATATACCAGGCTCGTCAGACGCTAGCACGTCTTCAGTTCAGGATGGATATATTTGATCGAATTAACATACCTCGGACGGCGTAGCCATCCACGTTTGTGGTTCGTGTGTTTGGGACATCCTGTGGAGCGTAAACATCTTCTGCAAGTACATGGCCAGAGAGAGCCACGCTAAACTAGACCAGGAGTTAGCCTCGAAGCAACCTTCGATTTCGAAACATCTCTCGAACCGGTTTCTCAACAATTTCCAATAGCCTCGAGTGTTTAATCACAAGATCGATGGCAGCATCCAAATCTAGAAGTGGATATCGCGATTCCCGGTGTCGCAGTGAGACTGAAGGAAACCCCATTAGTTACGCGCGAGACACCCGGAAAGCAACACACCTGGCTGTGTTGGATCATGGCTGAGCAGTGTTCTTGGTATGGGAACATGATGAGTGTGATTTTGAGATACATGCTCGTGGTGATGATGATGGTGATGATGGACCTGCACAGAATCGGTCGGTTGAGTTGATGTGGACGCATGTCCTGTCCCCATCCCAGCATGCACCGTTTTCCCGCTTCCTCCTGCGATCAAGTCCAAAGCATGCAACACCAGACCATTCCCCAAAAGGACATCCATGTTCTCCTTGACGGCTTTCGAACTTCCGGGAAGAGTGACAATAAATGTCTTGTCGATCGTACCCGCAACTGGTCGTGCGAGTGCCGCAAGCGCAGTTTGCGTAAGAGAATGCGCCATCATAGCGTGGGCCAGACCCGGTGCATGGCGCTCGATGAGAGGCGCGATTGCCTGTGTTCATCTGCCTCAGAAGAAAACGCTGAACAAGTCAAGTCAGCCTCGAACCTCAGGTGTGCAGTCGCGAACTCCAAAGCCCGTCCCTCCGGTGGTCACGATCCAATCGATCTGTCCGCTACTACACCATTCCTTGACAATATTGGATATTTGTTCTTTGTCATCCGGCACGATCGAAGACTTAGCGATGTTGAAGTCCCCGCCCTGGCTAGCGAGGATATCTCGAAGCAGTGGACCTGACTTATCCGCGCTCGCATCCGCGGCTGCTGTATCACTCACTACTCAACAATAAACTGTATCAATGTGCATGCCTCAATGTAACAGGATCTACCAGACCTGTAAGAACAGCAACCTTGTAGGGCATTCTACGGCTTGCAAGTTGGCGCGAGATGAAAGGAAGGTGAAAGGGCGGAACCTTATCACCCGCACATGACGGTCAATAAAACAGGCTCCCGAAGGACATGGAAGCTCGCACTATCAGGAGAGGTGATTAGTCGTGCACCTACATATCAGTGACAATAATGGAAGTTTGTAATTCTACAGCTACATGAATGTCCCGAGACAATAGATTACTCCTTGTAGGGATACTCGAGCTTGTCGCCTTTGCGCCTCCAAAGCTTTTTCCTGCAAAAACGGTCAGGCTGGAACTTTGAATGAAAATCATTACACACTTTCGTTGCGTAACCACATGCGTTGCAAACACTTCAGAGCAGTGCTTTGCTTTGAACTCGCGAATGAAGCGTGGGTCCCTAGACAAAAGTCAATCGCGTGGTCAATATCGGGCTGCTGGTAATATACCAAAGCTCGCTGGCAATGCCTAAATCCTTGCAGCAACGCATGAGCGCATTGCTCTTGCATGCCTCTGTAGCAGTAGCAATTCCAGAGGGATCAAAGTACTCCTGCTCTCCACGAGCGATGCCCACCAACCTTACACAATTTTTAGTCTTTCTTGACCGTCTGAGACACTGGGGGCTTGTGACTCACCTCCCGAGGCAAACGAGTGCATACTCCCTGCTCACTACTTTCGGGCTCACATTCGTCTCCCCTCGCGGTGCCAAACCCCATCCTCCAGGACCAAATGCCTTGTTCAGGATGCGGCGGTATTTGATCTCAGGGAGATAAATGAGACCGTCTGTGGAACAAGATTAGCCTTTGAATTGTACGAATGAGATACAAATCTTACCAGGCTTTATCTCAACATCTTCCGGATCGAGCGGTGCCATGAGAATCTCCGCAATGTCCTTGGGAAATGGCTGGGAGGATAACCCGTGGTAGCTCCGAGACCAATCGGTGGGACGTCCATCGCCAGGCTCTGGGAGGGGACCCATGTCGGCGGGAGCGCCATCACTCCAGACGACAGCAGCGTCGGCAGTTGGGGTCGTAGGAGCAGTAGCACGCTCGATCTCCTCTATCTCGGCTTCGAGCACACTTGAAGGAATAGGTGCAGAGTTGTCGACTGCCGAACTCCTACTACCGTTCGTGCTGGGTGCGGCAGCAGAGGCAGAGCGAGCTGGGGTCTTGACATAGCTTGGTATCTTAGCGGCACTGGTTGTGTTTTGTGGCTTCACCGTCGTATATCTGACACGGGTCGAATATCTAACTGAGCTCCGAGAGCTCCGACCAATATTAGGCTGGATTACTCTCAGACCATATGCAATCCTTGAAATTGTCGACATGGTCGTCGTGGTCGGAGTCAAAAGTTCCGCCGAAGGGCGCGTCCCTATGGTGGACGTTCGCCGACAGCTCATTAGGGGTCCTTCGAGCGGCGATAGGGTCTAACGCTGGTGGGGATGTGGCCTCAAAATAAGGATTCAGAATGCTGTGCACATTTGTCCCCAGTTAAACCACCTTATTTGCATCCGCGGAAGCTTATATAACCCCGCGAAAGAAGATTGAAGAAAAATAAGCTCGACGGAAGAGAGTAAGAACTTCCGCGGAGGCCAATGGAGGCAAATCAAGAAAACGGAAGCAAAAACTTCGCCTACGCAGGAGTACCTATCTGCTTCCACTAAATGGAAGCGAAGTATTTGCTCCCATTGAGAAAGAAACGAGTAATTTCCTCCGATAGCACTTTTTCGGAGGCAGAGTCCCTAGAATGGACTGCCGGGCCCTATTTCCTCAAATCGGCCATATGCCTGCCCTAAGCAACACCCTACAGTCCAATTAAGAAAGGTGGTGGTAAGAGATCAACCCGTGTGCGAGTGTCCGGTCTGTCATTTCGTTCTAGTTAACACTACCGGAACTTTTCAAGGTGTTTTTCTTTTCATACAGTATGCCTTATGTGCCGCTTCTCATATGGGAAATGACCTCGATGATACTGTAAACCCGCCGCCGCAAAAACATTACATTGGCCGTCGCACTGTAAAGCGGAAAGAATAGTATATATAATAGCCATGCATATAGCTACAGTATATAGAGAAAAGTAATATAAATGAGTTATAAAAGAAAAACACCTTGAAAAGTTCCGGTAG